CACCCATGTGAAAATGGTTATGTAATTCATTGTATTTCAATTTTGTTTACAGCGTTGTATGACTAAATACTGTATTTATTTCATTAAGATACATTACCACTTTATTTTCAGTTTAGAAGAGGGAGTAAACTTTGTGCAAGGGCGTTTGAAATATCGAAGCATTGCTCTGCTTTCATTCCAATATCCTTGTAGGTTATTGCTTTTGCTTATAAAATCATTTATTTTCGAAACTGCTTACAACTAAGGTACAGGAACGGTGGAAATTAAATTATCACCAATTAAGGGACAGGTTGCACCAGGTCTCCTGTTGTTACTAAGCCCCGGGCAGCTCGCTATATAAAGTGGCGCATTCCATCAGCGAAGGGGCCTCATTCACATCCAGTGCGTACAAGGGCATTGGACAGAGAGAAGAAGGGAAGGTGCCGAGCACTATCGAGTGAATGAACCAAGTCAAAGGGGTAACGGGAGGCTTGATGAAGAGTAGTGGTGCAGTGCTGCCAACCCAGCGATCTGAGCTAAATTCCTGGCCATGGCTAATATCAGTGGGGAGTGAACATATCTTAACTGGACCTGGGTCTGCCCACCTTTAAACACAGAAGGGATTTCCTTCCTGTTCTAAAAAGCATTGAGGCATCGGTGCTCATCTCCTGTTTACATCCTTGAGCCGGTGGTGGAAATTCCACATTCCTATGACATGGGGGAGTATTTTTTTTCCAAAAGTATTTTATTGAACAAACGATTCAGGTACACACGGAGGGCATGCATGGGAATTGACACCAGGATAGACACAATGCAAAGTACAATTATTATTAACAACGTTTTATATTTTGAACCTATCTGTGTGTTACAATACACTGTCCATACCTGCTGTCTACTTCCTTGACCCGGATCACCCTCTAGGCAAGTGTTCTTCACTAATGTTCAGAGGGGGGACACTTTCTCCGATAAGACATCATCAGCATGAGGGCCGCTACGCATTTGAAACCATTGGGGGTTGACAGCAGCCCGATGATGATGATGGGGGGTGTTTTCACTCGTTGCGAATTGTCGGGGGCCGCACGTGAGGAGCCGCACTCAAGGCCACCAGGGGCCGTGAGCGGCCCGCAGGCCTTGCAGTGAAGAACGCTGCCCTCGGGGAACGACGGGGAGGGGGGGGGAAGGAGATGGGTGGGGGTGCCTAAATGCCCGAATGGACGAGCTTAAAAACAATGCCCACTGGAGGAGAAGCCGTGAAAGGGATCCGAGTTTGGTGATAGGCTTCTTCGCTGCCCCTTCATTTTATACAACCGCTTTTGTCTTCCACCCAAAGTAGTAGCCTATTTTATCAACCACGTAGGGATGATGTGTTGAGTCAACCCGCAACCCGGATTTGAACTCGAAACTTCCCCGTTACAAGCTGCTCACTCTGCCGCTGAGCTCGCCGGGAGCAGCTCGTCAGGACCATCGTGGTGACGGATTGTCAACAACCCCCGTGCCAGATGATGCTACGCAGCCCTTCATGCAGCAGTGGATTTACAACGGCGGCCTGTACAACAACTAATTCACAGCCACAATGTGTTTCATGATTTAATGATTGAAACGCATGTGTAGAATTGTTTATTTTATGTTTTTGTGTGTAACGATGAGATGGCGTAGTAATAGGTTTTTACCCTTTCAACTGGTACAAAAACTGACACCTTTATACAAAACCTATTACTATATTTTGCCACTGGTAAAGGAGGTATCATAGTGTTGATGTGATGGCGCTTTGGGTGGCAGATTTGTGCCAAAAAGGCGCCACGTGTTAACCCAAAACAAATTGGCTTGACCTGTAAACTAAAGCAAACGCTGATCACCTCCATTGAGTTTCTGACCCAGTGCCATGCACACATCGTGAGGCCAGCGTGGAACAGTAGGGCAATATTAACCCCTCGAGATGCCGAATGCAAAAGGATATTTTTCACAACTGTCCAGTTGATTATTTGAGAGACTGATGGTGGAGCCGCCGACGAGGAGACATCGGGGCAGTGCCACCGTGGCGACGAGCCGCTGCCTCGAGACAGGGCCACAGATTGCTGGGGCTTCAGTAGGAGGAATGATTTGACCAGCACCAGAGCTGTAAGGTTGAGGAGGTACAATCAGCAAGGTTGAGGTTAGTGTGGTGTATAATTCAGTGCGACCGTCATAGGGTGTGATTGTAACCGCCGTGGCTGCCAATGTGGCGATCAATTGGGGGAGATGGAGACCAAGAAAGGAACAAAACACACCTCTCCATATCTCTCCCGCCACACAATTATATTTAAAAAATATTACATTTCATCAGGCGTACACAGCCTTCTGGGAGTGAATTACTTCAAAAGCAACCCTCAAATAGGATTTGGACTCATTGTCTTCCCCGCTTTAGTCTAGCTCTACACTACGGTGATTTTAAAATAAAATTATATAGAGAACAATGTGTGTGTCGTGTTATTTTGTATTGGGCACGGACATCTCGGCTGAATGTACTTATCCATGAGACCTCTCGACATGGATTAGCTGTACGCAGTGTTTGTTCGTTCGAGACAAGTCGGCGTTATATGTCAAGTTCACACGCCGATGCGTGGGTGACACAACGGAGAGCGACTGCATTGGCTGCTCACAGGAGTCTTGTGGTCACCTTCACCATTGTGAGATTTCCAGACAGCTTTTGCGCTCAATATCGTTTTGTTGGCGGTGGTGCGGTTATTGTTTGACTGCCAGAATGTATCACGACTTTTGTGTGTGTGTGTGAGATGTTTGTGCTAGTGGGGAGCAGTGGCGCAGTGGTTAGCGCATTGAACCGGTTAAGGCCCTCCACTAGGTCGACTCAGCCTCAAATGAGTACCTGATGTGATGTGTAAACAAAGTTGGCCAGGCGTTCTACTGGCCACCCACCCCCTCGTGTGTCGTGTTGGCCTTTGTAGGTGCTCGCTAACAGCACTTGCCCCAACAGTCTGTTAAGGTTATACGGGGGAGCTTAGGCTTTTTTTTGCGCGCTAAGATTGTCTTGATGGACAACAGAAAGATGCCTCTTTTGTGGTTGCAGAAATGTCCTTTTTATTTATCACTGGAGAACATACCCAGCCTCAGGACATCATTCGAACGACTAAGACGAGTGGGCTTGGGCAGGACACCTGGAATTAAGGGATGATGGAGGCTAGTGAAGAATAATAAAGAAGCAGCAGCCCTCCTGCCACTTCTTCACATCCGAGGGGGCATTCGCCACGGATATGGAGCGATGAAATCAGCTTGTATATTAGTGGTAGGTGGATTGTTGCATCGCAGGATTGTGAGAGATCGTGGTGTCTTCATCCAGCAGTGGTTCCACCAATTCTGATGGTACCATTTTTGGTCACCCTTGCATAAAATATATATTTGTTTTAATCTAAGTGATGCTCAAATGAGTTTGTGTGGCCACTGGTGGAAATTCCACGTTCTCATGGTGGTGGTCAGTGTCTCCATCGGATAACTGCTTTATTTTGGTGCTATGGATCACTGTGTGTGTGTGTACTTACGAATGCATCCTTGATACATTCATGATTTGAAATAAGCCATACAAAAGAAATGGGCAAATAAAGGCAAGCAGAGTAAGGGAGGTAACTGACAAATCGCAAGGGCATGCGGTACTACGACGTAGTTACTGTACTGTATTCTGGCAACAGTGTGGGGAAGCCTGCATCTAGCAGTGGATAGACCACGCTTGATGGTGATGATGGGGATGGCTCTATTCTGTGAGAGATATCAGCCTTGAGCACAGCGTGAAGTGACACGTGGTGCCAACAGCAGCAGGGCAGGTTTGAGTCTGCTGCCACCACCTGGTAAACGTCATCGTCAGCAGCATGAGAATCGCCAACATCAGCCCCAGCGAGAACATTTTACTTCTAATACAAATTAGCTGATTCGTCATACATGTTGATTGTTAACAGGTAATTCACTATTCATATGCAAATTTCTAGCTGTTCATCAGCTAGAAAGATTTGTGAATGTAGTGCTAATCAGGACGCATTGTATAAAAAGTGCAGTCTCTCAACTCTTGCTATCCATAATATATATTTTTAGTATTCTTTGGGTCTTTCGGTTAAGTCATGTAGAACAAAAACATTTACAAAAAACTACGACGTTTTGTAAAAAAAAAAAAGTGTTCGAGAGTGACTTTACAAAAAAACCCAAATAATATAAATCCTGCAGTCACGGAAGCTTTAAGTCAATATTTTTTTAGGTTAGATCGCATAAATATAAATGTGTCGTTAAACCCGCCACCACCCGACACAGCCAACTAGTAAGTTTTGCCACGTAAACAGAACGTGCCAATTCGTTACTAGTACAGCACATCGGTGTGTTGGAGAGTAAATCCACAACATTTACAATCTGAGGACGATGTTTCGCATGTGATTACAATTAGCATCATCAGGCGACCGCCAGATTGCAATCGACTCTACATATATAAACTATTTTTAAAAAAACTCTCAACTATCTTTTCCATTTACCAGGTAAGGCCCACTGAGCTATATAGTTATATTTTTTGAAATACTCTAAACGCACGTTTCTACATGTGGAGGGAAAAACCGGAACACCCGAAGAAAAATCCACGCGACTACGGGGATAACATGCAAACTCCAAATTTGCAGGCGTCAAGGTCGAGATTGAACCCACGACCTCCTGTATACCAGGCGAAGTAGTCAACATCTCCGAGCCACCGTGACCCCCTTTCTGGCGTCTCAACGTGAAGAGACATTGCCCGAAACGTCGCCTAAACTCAATGAGTTCGTCAATAACACACAGTGTTATTGACGAACTCATTGAGTTGATTTTTTATTGTGCTTGTGCACCACTGCCAACGCAGCATCACCATATTATTATTTCGTGTATAGTTAAGTAGTTATTAATTTTTAGATAATTCGATTACTAATTAGTACAATCTGACACATGCCCGAGTTTTCACAGCGAGTCAGCCCCCAACTCGCGCGCGCGCTGTGGTCCAACGTCACCGTGACGTCATCGCGAAGGGGAAGTGCCGTTGGCAACAGTCTGAGGCGGTTCGCGTCGCCAAGCGAGTAAAATTTAAACTCTTTAACATCAACACTTGAGTGAACCTTGCGACGGGGAGATTACTTTAAAATATATAGTTTACTGAAGCGGTGCTAATGTCTGCGACTATGGACTGGAAGCAGCTGCTAAAGGACCGGTTGGCTGCCTCTAAACACGGTGAGGCCTCGTCGACTCGGCCCTGTGTGCGAGTCGCCATGGGCCGTGCTCGATCCACTGCTGGACGTGGAGGCTGCTGCCGCCGCTGCCGCTGTTGTTGCTGCTGCTGCTGTTCCTGCTGCTGTTCCTGCTGCTGCTGCCGCTGTTGCTGCCGCTGCTGCTGCCGCTCCTGCTGCCGCTCCTGCGCTAGAGGCCACCGCCACTTCTCGCGCGGCCCTGCGACGTCGCGGTGCCAGAGAACAGCTGCGCACGAGCCGATCTCATCGCTCCGTCTCCCTCGTGGACGAGTTCGTCTCGACGTCTTGGCTCCCATCCCCTCCTGACCCCCTCACCCCCCACGTTGCCTCTCGTCACCTCTCCCCCGGCCCCAGCCCCCCACTCGGCCCCCCACTCGGCCCCAGCCCCCCACTCGCCCTCAGTCCCCCACTCGCCTCCAGCCCCCCACTCGCCCCCAGCCCCCCACTCGCCCCCCACTCGCCCCCAGCCCCCCACTCGGCCCCCCACTCGCCCCCCACTCGCCCCCCACTCGGCCACGACGTCGTCGGCGTCTCCCGGGGCACGCGGCCCGTGCTCTGCACCTCCCACGAGACGCTCGTCTCGTCTCACGTCCACGCGTCTTTGCGCACTTGTCAATGTCCCCTGCTGCTTGAAATTGTCCACGTTTATAAAGCGGTTACTTTATAACAGGTAAAGCAACTAAATTGTAAAAAGACCTGTAGGCACATTGCCATGTTGCTTTTCATTACCCTTGAGTTTTTTTTTCCTGAGCACTCTAGCTTACTCTCATAAAATAACATTTGTAAGTTTAAATACATAATGTTATGGTTTCTAATCTGGCACTGTTATCGTCTTGTTGATCATCAACGGGGCAAGTCTTATGGAGTGGTGGAAATTCGACATTCATATGGCAGGCGGAAGTCCCGTAAATAAGGCGACTACGTACGACTTCCCATCAAGTGATACCGATTTTATTGATCACGGGGGGATGAATGGCCGATCGTGTCTCGAACCTGAAACCTGATTGGGCATTGATTAAAGTCCTGATGTGCAATAGTCAATGTTTGCCATTATTGTGGAATAACGATGTGCGTTTGAGATGTAACAATTCTATTTATTATATTTCGTTGTCCTGATTCTAGGTTACAAATCAGTATTTTTCGTCGTTGTGGGTTACAAGTACTGTATATGTAACATCTCTGTTGGTATGATTCTGCAGGATCCAATTGCATCCTGCAGAGAAGTATAGGTGTTAATGATGTAACGCATTGAGTTGACACTTGATGTGTCTTGCTTTGATGGTGCGCGAACGCTGACACTGACCTTGCTGTTGTGGCTTCAGTGTGGCGCTCGGAGCAGGAGATGAAGGATGAGGAGAACGAGCTCTTTCAAAAGTTCTACACCGCCTGGAAGGGAACCAAGAGGGAGGACAAAACGCTGAAGGCCATCCCTCGCTTCTACTACCGGGTGGGCAGGCAGTCATTTCCTGGCATTCCTTGCCCATGCCAACGTTACCAATCAATCTTTATTTTACGTGCCAACATCGCCCTCAAAAGAGTAGGCATCAGTGCAGCAGAACGGGAATGGTTGCAGAGGCATAGAGCAACAGACATGCAAAATGGAATCCGCACTACCTCAGCAGTTTACTGACCTGTATGCATATGCCACACAAATCACAATCTACTCTTACCGTATACATTTATAGCACTTTCTTGCCACGTTCTGCTCCGAACTTGGGTGTTGCTTACCCTGTCCTACCTTGCCGCTCGTGTGATTTCACGCGGCAGCTGCCCGGTGAGGATGAGCTGCTGCTGCAGAAGCTGCGGGAGGAATCGCGCGCCGTCTTCTTGCAGCGCAAGAGCCGCGAGCTTCTCGACAACGAGGAGTTACAGGTGAGGGGCGTACGAGCACGGATGTACACACGTGTCCCTTGTTACAACATTAGGCTCAATTTGTCACTGAACGTTTTCTGGGTCGATGGTAGCCTGGAATAGGCACGTGACTATTAGCCACAGCTATAGTGGGAGATATACTGGATGTCGTGTGCCGGTTGGGTAAATAGTTCTAAATGTCATGGACCTGAACAGGCCATGCTGAGTTGAAGCCCTAGTTACACCACCGGCAGTGGATCAGAAAACAATAGCAGCGACACTGGTGGGTTGTAATACATTATCATTTGTAACGAACGCTTTTTAATAGCGGATGAATGTCAATGTTGGATGGTCACTATTAATGGTATAATGCATGAATGTGTTGCGTAGTAGACGGAGGTACTCGGAGACGGAGGTTGAGTTAGGGGCTTCCGCCAGGGTTTATTAACACGTATCACTATCCCTGGTTCCCTCTTTACCCCTTCCACTATCCCCGTTCCTCCAGTGACCCCGCTTACGTTACGGGGTCTCCCTTAAATACCCTAGGAGGGGTGACGTCACGTGCACTGCCCAGCGCGTGCGACCCCACGTCCCGTGAGGTCACCGCACCGGACAGCGCACATGACGCCACCACTCTCCTCTATTCCTCTACAAATGTATAACTTTTAACTGTCTGTCACATATATATCTTAAAAGTTGGAGTGAAGTGCGTGCACACGCACGCAATCTCCCTGGTGTAAACGAGCGTGGGCGTGATCAACACTTGACACTTGTTGCTCTGCACAGAACCTGTGGTTCCTCCTGGATAAGCACCAGACGCCGCCCATGATCGGTGAGGAGCAGATGATCAACTACGAGAGCTTCCTGAAAGTCGGAGAGAATGCTGGCATGAAGTGCAAGTCAGTAGACCACCCTATCTGCCTCTTCGTCTTTCGTACGGCTGATGTAGATGCAGAGCAACGACTCCAATTTCACATTCGGGTGGTCAAGCCAGATCACCGCACCAGGAGTAGCAGCAGAGTGTATCCCTGTGATGTCTCCTTCGTATTTGTGGATCGGGGCATTGCGTCGTTATGTGTTGTGCAGTCTGTTCTAGATGACCACAGTCGCACGCTGGAGAGTTTTTTAAGTTTCTTTTGATGCATCGGATATCTGCAGATGCGGTTTAGGGTGAACCATGAACTGCTGCCCCTAATATCTGCCCCTAACAATAGCCCATAGGTCGGTATGGAGTGTAATTATTTATAAAGGCACAATCAATACACGTGCCTATTTTCTTTAAAGAAAGAATCAACCAGAAACACAATGAGCTGTTATATTGAAGATACAGACCAAGGTTGTGTGTCACAGCCAGTCTGGCATAATGTTGATGCCTTGTTAATTACAAAGAAATTCCGACGTGATTCGTGCAGGCTCTGGGGAATTGACTAGAGGTTGCGTGGCTGTTGTGCCTTGTAATGCAGTGTCACTGCAGAGACATCACTAGAGAGTGACAGAAAGTAACTTTAAAGTATTTATTTTAACCATTAATGAAGATATTAAACTCGTTTCAGACAAACTAAGGCAGACATCTTCATGAATTCCAATGCCACTCACTGGACCAATCAGCCTATCAGCCCTCAGGGGTGACTAAAATAGGTCATGTTTTGGAGGGAGTCAAAATCATTGCCCGTACATATTCACTAACTACTACCAAAGGAATATTAAATTTTCACCACTGGCTCAGGTCTGCCAACAGAGATGAGCACCCATAATAGGGGTTTTTGGGTTAGGTCGCTTAAATATATAAAAGTGTCGTTAAAACCCGCCACCACCCGACACAGGCGACTAGTAAGGGTTGTCACGTAAACAGAACGTGCCAATTCGTCACTAGTACAGCACTAGTCTATAGTGTAGTATACTAGTACAGCACACCGGTTGTTGGAGAGCCAAGCCACAACATTTACAAATTGAGTACAACGTTTCGCCAGTAATTACAACTAGCTTCATCAGGCGACAGCCAGATTTGTGGAGAAGTCCACCTGCTTCCTTCCTTATATCGAGGCGTAGATGTGGTGACCACGCTTCTGCGCTCTTGCGCAAAGTGGTGGGGGGGGGGGGGATTACTGAGTCAAAGTACATTATGCATGTGCATTATGCGAGCCCTTTGATATTGTCCTTCCTGTCTATTGTGTGTATTAAAATAGCCGTACCAATGGTAATCTCTACTGAAGTATGCTGCCCTGCATAGGCATGCATTTAAATCGTGTATTATTTGATGATTCGCTTCCACGCAGCACTAAGGTGGTAGCTATCCGAGCGGTAGCTATCCGAATGATTTTAATGATACTTTTATATACTTCAGCGATCTGACCCAAAAAAACTCTATTATGGATGATGTTGGTCGCGAAAGCCTACGTGTTATACAGGGATGAGCAACACCCAATGCTCATTTAAACAGTGAACCACTGACTTTTGATGATTGCAACATACGTTTGTGATGATCATGCTGATGACATTCATATTAGTAAGTAAGGTCAGGGGGGTATAAACCCTTGTGGTGGTTAATTAATCATTATTTGCCACGCTGGTCAGTGTGGGTTGGTGACTATGGGGGGCATGGATGTGGGAGCATCGAAGTACTGAACAATGTATTTTGCTGTGGTTCTCTCAGTTGCTCACCATGTAATCTCAAAGTCCAATAAGATCCTGCTTGTTCTTTACATGGTGGTCACCATGCTTAGCTTCTGAGAGTTGACAAGATTGGGCACATTTTGAGTGATTTGGTCATAGGCATGTATTGCTCCTAGAAATACTGTGTAGTTCCTCAAACCACTGAGCGTTTAATGGTGATATTGTGTCACGTCCACAGACAGTTCTTCTCAGCCAAAGTGTTCGCCAAGCTGTTGGATCGTGACCCCTACGGCAGAATCTCCATCATGCAGTTCTTCAACTATGTCATGCGCAAAGGTGTGTCTCCTATCGTCACCACCACCACCACATGGCCATGCTTTAAATAATAATTTATGGCCGTATGTCAATTCCACTTCCAGTTGAAGGACTCTACGCATCATGTCGGTCACAGGGTAGTATGATCATACTTGATCACGTTGGTCAATGCACGTTGGGGAAGTGGTTTGGTGGGCAATTACCGAGGATCAGTTCAGCTTTTTGCCATGGCTGGGAACTGAACTCAGAATGCTGGGTTGAGCCTGGCCAAGCACTTGGATGGTTAACCACTACGGCTTGCCAGGTGGGGCTCGGAGTTACCATTGTTGAGTGTTACCCTCTTGTCCGTGGATTTTCTCCAGGTATTCCAGCTTCCAGACAGCAAATGCTCGTTAATGGTAATAGTCAAATATCCCAATGCAGGACCCAACTGAAAACGTCTCGTGACACAGTGGGCAAATAATTGGCATATTCTAATGAATGTACATCGAACAACTATGTACAGAGCATGAAAAAGTCATGTCTAATGTTGGCTATGAGAGAGTTGGTCAAGTTATTTCAGAAGTAGTTTTGTAGTGTCATCTTTCAGGTGTCATGTGTGATCCTCTTCTGAATGAGATCATTCCAAAAAGATGTTTCTTTGCTAGAAACATCACCATTATGAAGCATGTTTAATCCACTGCTCTCTCATCACTCGACGCCATTGGAAAATTTGGAATTGTGTGATAATTAAAGTACTTTAAAATGAGTGTGTATTCATCCACATATAATTGCGTGTACATAGGAATGAAATGTGGATATTTGAGCTGGTACTATGTCGTGTGCATTAACATTCTGTTTCTGTCGATATCTGCCTAATTACTCCGCTGCTATCTCTTGCGTGATCTGATTTCTCATGATGTCGCCACCCTTCCCCCGTCTGTGAGTGCAGTCTGGCTGCACCAGACCCGGATCGGTTTGAGCCTCTACGATGTTGCTGGGCAGGGCTACCTCCGGGAGTCTGTACGTCTGCCGTGTCATCGTGACCGGACACAAATATCACCACTCAAATTACAGTCGTCATAGCTACTGTGGCATTGTCTTAGTTTATGACAGTCCTGTCAACTTATCTGGCTGGCACTGGTCACATGGAACTTTTGCTTAGTGCACTATCCTTTGAACCTCGTAACTCCGGTTTGATTCCCAGCCATGACTAACATCACTGGCGACATAAATCTGAGCCAGTCCTGGAGCCGCCCAACCCGCTCTGACCTACGTGATGAAGTATGGCCGAAAAACTCCATGTTTTATAGAACCGTGTTCCATTGCTTCATCGGTTCATGCACTTCGTTTAGTTTTCAGTCTTGCGTTAAACCATGATTCTTATAATATGGTTGAGCCATTGGTTATGGAAAGAGAGTGTTATCAGTGGTTGGATGCATAACCTGCCTGAATTTGCTAATGAGCCATTTCAGTTTGGTATGCAAAGTGTGTGAAAAATATGTATACCATAGGGCGCATTGATTATTTATTAATGAAAGGTAAGGTGTGGTATGAACACGATCATAATCAACGTTTTTGGGTTTAGATCGCGTTATTTATAAATGTGTCGTAACCCTCCACCACGATGTTTAACATTCATATGATATGCATTTTTAAGTCCGTATCGGAAGCATTTGTTGCTGTATTTGTTTATGAAATAATGAAATTGCGACAACTCTATCAAGAATAACAGAAATTACAGTGAGAGTCTTTGTGCTGTCGTGCAGTTTTACCAAACTTCAGTGGTGATTAAAATAATTGTATGTGTGTATGTTGAACTGCTTTTGCACCGTATGTGGCCAACCATTCTAATCGGAGGTGTGGGACATTGAGCTGCTAATGCCCTGTGAGGAAGCTGTGCCTGTCCTTTTGCCCTGCATCCTTACCCTGCCCCTTCCTGGCTCATGCAGGACCTTGAAAACTACATCCTGGAACTGATCCCCACGCTACCTCAGCTGGACGGACTTGAGAAATCATTTTACTCCTTCTACGTATGCACTGCCGTCAGGAAATTCTTCTTCTTCCTTGATCCTCTGCGCACAGGTAGAGGGACGTGGCCTAGTGCCTCAACATCCGCTTGTGTTTCCTTGTGGTCGTGTATTTATGCGCAACCGTGTGTTGTCTCTCGTACGGAATCTGTGTGTTAGTTTGTCAGCAATGCAAATAATTTCATTTAAATCGATAAATACGTTATTGTTGAATGATCTGGCAGAACCTATGCTTTCACGATTAGATATCTTTCTCTCGGTGATTCCAGCTATGCACTGTTTCTCGAGTTGCCTCCGCCCCCCTTCTGCACCTGTAACAGAGAGTGGGCCTGACAACATTCCACTTTGAACGGGTTTGAAGCCCATTTTAGCTAAAAGGATTCTTACGGTTGTCGAGACAGTCCTCATCCCTTTTGCTTTCCTCCTCATTCTTGTGTACAGAGATTGAGACATTTTACCTAAAGGGGCTGTGTTGGTTGTACCCCCAGCCCCGGCTGCCAGAATTACTCCTGGGGGGTGTGGGGGGGGGGGCTTTTTCCACTCTTGAGAAAGAGGAACCAATCCAATGAGACAAATGGCAAAGTAAGAGGATGCGCTGGATAAATGACATTAAATACCTGGGCAATGACGTTTCTGATGGAGGTAAATGTCAAACCAGCTGAAATTTACAGGCTAGCCTCCAGTCTGGTGATGTGTGTGTCTCATGCAGCAGTGTGTTGGTGAAAAAAGGTTTAAAAATAGGCACAAGTCAGTAAAATGTGATGAGGATGTGCGAGCAGATGTTCTGAAACAGCTGCGCCCATGTCCTAATGAATTCTACGCAACTGAAAACAAGCGCTTACAACACTGGTGGGACACATGCTTAAGTGCAGCAGGGGAATTCCTTGAATAATAGGGCAAATTTAATTTACTTCATTTCACTTTCAAATTATCTTAAACTTTAATTGCAGGTTAACCTTGAACGACCCTTGCAGAAACAATCCATCCCTTGTGTACATAGCTTGCATGTTATCTGCATGCATGTGGTGTTAGCAGGAGCTGTATCCGTGTTTCCCCTTGTGCAGGTAGAATTAAGATCCAGGACATTCTCGCGTGCGGGTTCTTGGACGATCTGCTCGAGGTGAGTCTCCACCTGGGTTGATTGCAGTAGCACAGGTGTCAAATGCTTGAAAAAAAATTCAAATCATATCTGAAGGGCCCCTCTCTTGTCCAATTCGAGACCCTGTAAGTGTGTATATGTGACCATCCATTGCAGTTTGTATCTGTCATTATTTGCTATGGCATTTTTAAAGCCATTGACAAAACATTACAACTGTGTGAGTTTGGTAATCAATTTGATGGCATGAGGAGTTGCTTGATGTTTAGCGTTCGTACCTTATCGTATTTTATATGTATACGAGTGCCTTAAGATAGTTTAAAAAGAGGTAACAACAACCGAGTGATTATATGGCAGGGGCATGCAAGGGTCTGGGAATGAATGACCGGAGCAGAGGGCACACGAGGGTCACGAGAGGGCTATCGGGGAGGTACGGGACAGAGTGGCGGGGCGAGGGGAGGGAAGAGGAAGGCGATGGGCGCCTCTTGTGTGAGCATACAACATGCGGTGGTGGGTTACGGGATGGACACGTTGCACTTCTCCAGATTCTCAAAAAGGCAACTATCTCGCATCATTCACAACGTTTTGAGAACAATTTAAATTATGCACGCATTTTAATGTTCATTGCAGTTGCCTTCATAGACTCACCTGGTTATAAACAAAGTACATTTCGATATGTAGGTTTGTATTGTTCAATTATACACTTTTTATTTAGACAAGGGCTTTAAAATAGAAACACCAGTACAGTAGTTTGTTTTGTTTTAATAGTTTTAAACATTTAAAGGTATGTATTGCATGTATGTTTAGTGTTTAGTTTGTTGTCCTTCCCCCGCACCTCCGAAGAAGATCAAAATACATTTGTATATTGAATTTCTTTAACGCCGTACGTAGCCAACCGTGCTCATTGGAGGTAGCCAACCATGCTATTTGGAACCTCCTGTGACCAAATCTCCTGGAGTACACCTAATGTGGTCGTCTCACAAGCCGAGCATGTCTGGGCCTGTATCCTGCTCGTGTGGGGGAACACCGTGCACAGACAGGCTGCCATAGGCCTCGGGGGCTACCTGGTGTAGACCAGAACATGTGGTAAAATAATCCGCACAAGGGTAGGCCCTCATCTTTCAGTGGATTGACACAAGGGCTGTACGTGCACAATGTATTCGATACACATGTTGTTATTGTTGTGCATTGTTTAAAAAGCATGAACGCAATGCCCGAGTGTATTTCTGTTTTTCAAAAGGGCACCGCACATGCCGCCTTAAACATTAATTAATGTCATTATAATGCGCGTTGATGTAAACGTACGCGAGTCAGTGCGAGCACCTGCGTGCTTTCACTCATTTTTGAATCAATGGAGGGAAAGATCCATAAAATCTTACTTAAGGAGATTGAGGTAGCGCTTGGTTTTAATGAAGTGAAATTGTGGATAATTGCCTGGAAATTGCTTTGCAATTACAAAGTGGAATGAGCTTCATTAAAGTACATGCCTAATGTGAACTGCAGCTGCAACACAAAACATCGGGCTGATGGCTTGTTTTCACGCACTTGGATATTTATTGCTCTTGAGTGTAAATATTCTCGGTGTTATAAAAATACAACAAAAATTACATTACTATGAACATTTTTCATGTTTTTAAATGTATATTTAAAGATTCATATTCATGCGTATTGTTACTTGATCATTAAAGAGGTTCACATTTACAGGTGCCGCCCCACTCGACTGACCAGTGCCCCCCACTGAGATGTCGACAAGAAGCCAGTGCTGACAATTCCACATTGCTATGGTGGAGACGCTAAGAATATTTGAATTCACTCTTTTGCTCTACATAACAGTAGTTATTTTATGATGGGCTAAGTTAACTCCCACCTAAGATACCACCATCTGAACTATTACACCTCTTGATCAGATTACATTTCAGTTTTTAGCATGAACTATGCTAATTGTGCAACACAAGTAGGGTGACGTAAGAAACCGCTGTTGTGTGAGCACATGCAAGTTATATGTTTCCTATCTTCTGTCTGAACCACACGTGCTCACGTGAAAAAATTTCTACGTGTTAGCGATTGTAAATTATTATTTGTCAGTCTCATCTTGCCTGTGTTTTTTGTTTTTTTGTAAACAGCTGAGGGATGAAGATCTATCCAAAGAGAGTCAAGATTGCAACTGGTTCTCTGCACCGTCTGCCCTCCGTGTCTATGGTGCGCTTGCCATTAGAGCCCCCGTGTATACTCATCATAATTAGCACACTTGGCTATGAAAGAAGTTCAACATACATTACCCATGTTTACTCGGCATGCAACAATTCAGCCCCACGTGATATGGTAAATTGTCTTTATTTGGAGTTTTGATCGAATTGTAGATTTTTTTTCCCAATTATTTTTGCTGTCTCATTGTTTCTCATTTGTTCTGTTTCATTACTCAATTAGCCTAACTGCTATTGCCTTGTTACTGGCATAAATCATATAAATAATTGATTCTTACAAGGATAATCCCTGCGTGTATCCTCAGTATAAGAATCTATTTTAACTTTTGAATTGATGAAGCGTTATCTGTTACAGTAAAGGTTCACCAAGTTAAAAGACCAACTTTTGGGAGGGTCCTGATTTACATTGTTGCAGCCTTCCCATATCTGTACATTTTTACACAAGTAGGAGGGAAACCCACGTGTGCATGGAGATGGCAATACGATTCTGTACACACAGCCTGGCTGCAACCCACTTGCTATACTGAAACCATGTTGCTCTCCGAAGTGTGTGTTTGGCATGTCCTGGGAGCTTCTTCAGAAACTGAAGAAGCTCCTTGCACTTGGCCTGGGAAGCTCCTCGCACTTGGGAGCGAAAATGTCGAACACCGTCCCGAGCAGGACGCAGTAAAACTTGATAAGACGCCGGGGAGTTATAAGGCACAACCGTGAAACCTACGCACCAGAAACTTACGTTATCTTGTATGGGGGTGACTTGCAAAGATTTTGCACGGTCTGTATACTCGGTTGTAAAATGTGAATGTTTCTCATTGTGTAAAGACGTGCACTGCTACCATTCTCTCATGTGCCGCGTTCATGCTCTCTCTGTATGACAGGGCAGTACCTCAACCTGGACAAGGACCACAATGGGATGCTGAGCAAGGAGGAGCTGTCACGCTATGGCACGGGCACACTCACCGGCATCTTCCTCGACCGCCTCTTCCAGGAGTGCCTCACCTACGACGGAGAGATGGTACTTAGCCCCGAGTGGAATGTGTGGTGTGTGTGCGAGTGGAGGACAGTACTGGTCACTTAGAGGCAGCTGCTCTCCGGCGACGGTCAACACAGCAGAGCGCCGCCGGCGACTAGAATACAGCAATTTCGCACAGTTGAGGGCGCATTTTGTGTATTTGCCAGTTGTCTCAGATAACCCTGAACACCTGGGTCTGTCCCATGACCTGCCAGTGAGCAGTCGACACTTGGCCTTGCCTCAAATTGTACCCAACCCCACACTAGCACTGTGGTAATGTCTCCATCACTTAGTTTTGAATGTCGGCGGTTGTGATGTATGTGGTGTACGTGCATATGTGTCGTTGTTCTCCACTGCTATGATCCCAGTGACCTGTGGCTGATTGGCAGTACATAAAACATCGAGTGGAAAGTGATCTACGAGCCTGTCCTGAGCCGAGCATCCAATAGGGTTGCTTGGTCTTCAATGGGTACCTCTGTGAATGAGCAGTGGGGAGACAAAGGCAGCTGAGCTTGCTTCTGGCTACCCCTCCCGCTTGTAACAAGCACTTGCCACAACAGTCTGTGAAGGCTATACGGGGGATCTTTTGAGTGTAAATCTTTTCAATGTGTTCCTCGATGTGAGCAGGACTACAAGACGTACTTGGATTTTGTCCTGGCCTTGGAAAACCGCAAGGAACCCGCCGCGCTGCAGTATTTCTTTAAGCTGCTCGATGTCCAGAGCAAGGGCTACCTCAACGTCTTTTCCCTCAACTACTTTTTCCGGGTAAGCCGGGAGTCGTGGCAAGTGTCCGTTACCCACTTCGGGAAGTGAATTTTTTACTCATGGATACTCAAACGTGTTGTTGGAGTGAAAATCATTGCTGTGTTTTACCATTATTACAGTTATGTGAGTGGAGGGAGGGCTTGTGTGTGTGCCTGGAACATTTTTTTTATATATATATAAAGTGATGATGGCGATACTGTTCAGGACACGAGTGTAATATAAACCTAATAGGCACACTCCCGTAAGACGACCAGGGACATTTCTAAATAGACCCTCGCCTAATTGAAAGAAAGGTCATCGATTGATGTGCGAGATGGCACAAGGCAGTGTTGAGTTGCGCTGAGCGTGTGTGGCTTAGTGGTGTGTTCCTGTCCCAGGCCATCCAGGACCAGATGCGGGCGCACGGGCAGGAACCCGTCTCATTTCAAGACGTAAAGGTGATGCCCTTTTGTTGCTGTGTAAATGACATGTGTCCAGAAAATTATATCCCACGATACGAAATCGCGTGGCACGAGTGCTGAGCTCTTAATGTTAACAAGTCGACGCTGTGTGTACCTGTGCAGGTTCGACGTGTGTAGACCCCCGTTCCGGGGTTTTCTCAGCATTGCGCATTCAACATCACGCGTGTTTCTTTGTGTTAATAATTAAGTCATATCGAGGAAATTCTGAGTCTTATCTTTTCCAGCAGACTTGTGTATTGTTGGGCCAATTCCATTTTAAGGAGTGTTGTGTGTATGGAGATAACGGGTACCCAGAGAAAACCACCACTCACGAGGGGTTAACGCATACAGATCCAGAGATGGGTTCTCAGTCCCCTTACTGACTCTTGGACAACTCCCTTCAATTGCTTTGGAAGTTTGAAGAAACCAAATTTGAGCCAACAACCCTTGCCTCCAAATAGCCGGATTATAAGCATTGGCCACCTTGTGCTGAACAGTCTATTTCAAGTAATATTGCAGCGTTTAAAACACTCTTACAATCCAGGTCACTTGTGTGCAATTCCTGGCTACGCTGCACAACATCGGTGACAAACAACATCAGAACCTGGCCTCCACCTGACTGGGCTCAGCGCAGTCTAAAATAAGTTATTGATGGTGAGGCCAACATCAGCACTTGGGAGACAAAAGCATCTGGGTTTGTGTGATGCTGGCAGCTCCTAGATTAAGGATGAGTATAACGACGACGATGATATGTTGCATTGCAGGATGAAGTGTTCGACATGGTGAAGCCGCAGGACCCCCTCCATATAACCTTGGCTGACCTCATCTCCAGCAACCAGGGCGACACGGTGGTGAGCATCCTCATCGACCTCAACGGCTTCTGGACTTATGAGAACCGGGAGGTGCTGGTGACCGATGGCAACGAGCCTGCCACCACCGACCTGGACGATCCGTGACCTGCGCTCGTTACTGGACTCATTCACCAGACCCCCCCCCCCACCTCTATCCCCCGTACCCTCCTCCCCCCACGTTCACCAGACCCCTACCTCTCTATACTCTCCCCCCCATCCCCCCTGCTTCCCTTCCTTCCGACAGTTATGCTGAGATGCGGTAGCACCATGTACCCTTGCTTTGATCAAATTGATCGTAGCAACGTTTGATCATACAATGTCATTTAGGACGGCCATATGACATCCATAAGGATGTGCCCGCTCAAAGGATGGCACCTGACAGGTGTTGTTTTGAAGTCTTGAGTAGTTCAGATGCTTTGTTCCCCCGATATACAAGTTGGGATGGCATTGCAGGAATCCTACAGAGAGGCAACGATGCTACAAGCTCGGTGTTTGCTGTAGGCGTAGACAGCATTGAGTGGATGTTCCATTGGGCCTCAACATGATGGCCGTGTGCCTTTATTGTATGTACTTGGTTGTCAAGTGAAAAGGTAGCATCCAAGGAAACGCCAAGGATTTTTAGGTGATATGAGAGGCTAATGGGTGACGCCAGCAACAAGTCGACTTTAAGGTGGCGACACTGTCATTAGCTGCTGCCTGGGGGTAAAAAGGGCTGCGGGTTTTTTCAGCATTTAATAGCCGGTTCTACCAGAACCACTGCTGTAAGTTTGAGGTGCAATCAGCAAGGTTAAGTGGACCCTGAGCAGAGGTTAATGTGGTTGTGGTATAATTGTCATCGGCATATATTTTGATAGCACCGCGGCGCGATGAGCTGGCCAATTGGGGAGATGTGAAAGGAAAAATAAAGGGTCGAGGGGAGATCGCTGAGGAACTTTGGCAGTGGATGCGGCGACTGGATGGGGAATTGGCAACCTTGACATCGGACCTCCCATCGGACAGGTGGGATGTGAGTCACTGTCACGCTGTCGCTAAGAGCAATTTCAGATTCACATGCCAATACTCTGCCCATAAAGGGACATTTCACTTAATGATCTACCTTGACGCCTTTGCTTTGACTCTAAGTCGATTTTGCATCTCATTGTGTTTCATTACTGTTAATTTTGGTTTACATAAACCATATTGTTAAATATTGCAATTATGATGACTTTGCCTAATAATAATGTGCAGCCCTTAATTCCACTGCTGGATGAAGGTCTGAACACTCTGTGTCGCTCATGGGGGTTGTTTGACCTGACTTCACCTTAGTTGGTGGAGGCAGGGCCCAGGGCCTGTTCATATATCACCAAAGCAAATTGTGCCTAGGATTGTAAATCAGGTCCCTGGGTTCATATCGCAGTGTTGTAAACACTCAATCACTTCCCTTGTGGATGCACGTGTGTACATATTGTAATGCCAGAATAATGTAATATTTTTTTAAAGTGTGATAATGTTGCTAATTTAACTGTTCTATGGCTTTGAGTTTCATATTATATAGTAAATACTCTTATATAAGAATTGTTTGAAACAAAACTGCAGTTTGTCTCTTATTGTTTCCTTTAAAATGTTTTTATTATTCAGCAATACACATAAGCAGTTAATCAACATCCAATAAGTCATCGTGGTCATTTTAATCGATGCCACGTCACTTTGCCATCACTTCCTTCTGTCACAACTCACAGCTTTTTACAATCGACCTGCGACCTTACAGGTTTGACACAGCCTCATTGTCACCATCTGTCAATGGAGTGAGATGGCACAAATAAAACAAAAACACGTGTAATAGTCAACTATGTTCTACAACATTTGTTCTGCCTACGTAGAATGGGTGTCAAGATGTTGAACGCGTCTTGGCTTTATTTAAACTTAATGTAATTGGTTGACTTTCCAACATGTCTGTGGTCACATGGGCACCAACCCACAACGAATGAGTAGCAGCGAACAATTTGGAGAACTCTACAGCACAACCACGAATGAATACAATTAGGCAACCTGAATCATCTTTGGTTTATAGAGCGTTAACTGTCATATCTATTAAAGGCAGTGTTTCATTATGTAACGTGGTGTAAAGGTTGGTAAATTACTCCCCAATCCAAGCTTCCCCAGTTAATTGCCTTGTCATGTCAGTTAAAATCTCTGATGGACAACCTTGGTACATTTTTGGTTTCCACCCATGTCATATGGCTTGAATTTGATTGCCAACTTGCTTGTGGTGGGATAAAGTGGGGGGGGGGGGTATATCATCACATCTTATAAACTTCCCTGACCAACCTGGCGAGTTGAGAGAAAACGCAGAGTCTCCTTAACAGCAGTGCACATTCACTGGCTTGTGTGAAGGAACCGCTCTTAGGAAATTGGCGCACGGGAGTATTCCATTCACGAGGGAACGTCGACTCGTCTTGCTTGTATAAACCCTTGCCGTGAAGAGTGGGGAACTCCCTTGGTAAAGCTGCAGGCCCTCCGAAGGTTAGATTGCAAGTTCGCACCCAAAGCGGAGTTGACAACAATGATCATCGTCGCTCCTCGGTCCATTATCCACCACCCGTTGAGGCTGCGCCACTTGGTGAGAAGTCGGCGGTTTGTTGTGCTGTGGATAAACTGGTCCCCGCCGTCGCAATGCGTCTTCTTCACCAGTGGCTCAATACCACCATCCAGCACTGGTTAGAGCGCGGGGACATTTCACATTTCCCTTGGGTCACCCTCTGCAGAGGAAGACCACTGTGAGCTTGCTGCGACGGCTCCATGAGAGCCGCTACAGCCTTGGGAAGTTTACTTTGGGGTGGACGCTTTTCTCGGAGGGCCCGGAGGAGGCGGTGACATCGCCTGGCTTCTCGCGCCTGCAACGATCAACGCAGACAGCGCCACGAGCAGCCGGGCAGATTTAATTTGTTAAAACAACAATACTGCTCTTGTTTGGACAAAAAGCAAGGTCAGTGGTAACTATCAGAACACATCCATGTCTTCTTTCAATATTTGTGTTTTTTTAACAGTTCTAAATATTTCATAACACTTATGGGAACTTTACGTGAAGGAAGATGCGTAGACTTAATGCAAAGGGTTTTACTAAACCATGTAAAATAGCGATTTATTTCGTAGAGGAGCGAATTATAACCGACGTCAAAGAGGTAGTTTATTTTAGCATCTCGGCCAAAATGCACTAAACCAATTCATATAATTGTATGTACTATGGGCATTTGTTGCATATTGTTGGCACATGCCAGGTTATATGTTTTATCACCATATATTCCCAAACAAATTATACAATTGTTGCACAAACAGGGCCCGGATACTATACAATTCATAATGCGCATTAATGCGTTTATATCGTATACAAAGTCATACATGAAACTTAAAATGACCAAATCGCCCTGAATGCACCTGACATTGTAATATACCGCAGGGCTCTTCAGGACGAAGCCTGATTGGTAGATGTGGCCTGGGGCTGCGGAGGGGCCAGCAGATGGTAGTCCGGCAATGTTTCGTATCGAACTGTGCAGAACTTTGAGTGCCATCTCATATGCGTGGGTTTTCTTCAGGCATTCTGGTTTCAAACCAACATGCCAAACACTCATTTGTGATGGGCCAAACATCCTAATGAATGACCTTCACGAAAAATAACCTTGAGACTTAGCGGGGGCTTTCCCAGGTAAACCAAAGGAAATTCACGATGACAAATGTGTACCTTCAGCTTGGTTTGCCCGGCCCTGAATGCAAGGCACGTGGCGTGGGTCGTACGGTGGGGCTGGGCCGTACAGCGGAGCTGGGCTCCGTGCTGGAGGAAACGCTCTAGGAGGCTGCGCAAAGCCCCTGTGCGGAGGTGGAAGAGGAGCAGCAGCAGGTGGTAGGCTGGGCAGCAGCATGCGGGGGTCCATCAGCGGGGAGAGGTTGCGCCTCGGGCCCATGTCGCTCCCTGGAGGCGAGAGCGGTCCCCACGGTGCAGCGGGGCACCAGCGCGGAGCTCCAAAAAGCGGGGAGAGAGGGCCTCCTCGGCGAGGTCGGAAAGGCGAGGGCTCCGTGAAGGAGCCTCCGAGGGTGGGCGGTGGCGAGAGCGGAGCTCCGCAGTGGGAGGATGGCCGTCGTGGTGGCGCCACAGCCAGGCGTCCGTCTGCTCTCGCGATGGAGAAGGGAGAGGAGTGACTCCCGAGTGCATGTGGATTTAGACCTGGGTCATTTGTGTGTCGCGTACGCACAGCTTTAAGCAACCAAATCACACCTCCGAATGCACTCGCTGTCATCATTTACTGCAAACTAGGCAATTAATACTTGATAGGGGACTCGCTGGATATAGAAGGTTCAGGAGGCAACTGCAGATTAGTGCTCACCATTATCGACGTCCAGACTGCAGCTGGATGCCAGGGAGCTGTTGGATCCGTGGTGCTGGGGTCCCCTGTGTTGAGGGGGGCCAGGAGATGGGAGGCTCCGCCTCCTGTCCGGCACCAATCCTGGGGGGCAGCATGCGGTTCGCACAAATCCAAGGACTTGAAGGAGAGCAGTGGGAGTAGCCTCCGCTGAGAGCACTGGAGCTCTGCACTTAGGAGATACATAGGAGATACGAAGCCTCTGTGCTACATTTAGACAGGGTTTCATTTTAACTGGGTCTGTCTGTGTCGGTGGCCCAGACAAAGCTTCGGTTCCTGAAGGGAACCTCCACGCACGTGGAACGAAACGTCGGACATTGTGCCGAAGAGTAAGCAGCAGGACTCTAACACATCGGAGAGCTGTAATTAATCACTCAATATGCACAACCATCATCGCACCCGACTGCAAAACTCTTGGCAGGACCCTCTTAAAAAGGAGCCGTCAGATTCAGCGAGGCTTTCCTGGGTAAACAAGCCGAATAAAACAAATCATAAAGGATATTTATCATTTTTAGGAGTGGGTGCTCCCTGTGGTACGGAAGCACACGCGTGCCACGCTGCATGGGCCGCTGTCGTTGAGTGCGACCCTTTTACCGCTTGTAGGTTCAGGGGGGAAGGCGCCCAGTGGCGGGCCGGTGGGAGGGCGACTTGGCGTGGGGTGCACGAGTTGGGTGGCGCTGCCCTTCACCTCGGACAACCTGCGGCGGGTCACGCGGGGCGAATCTGGACGTGAGACGGAGTACGCACTCTATGGCCTGTAGATATGTTCAACTTCTTTCGCACCATACATAGCAAAACGGGTTAAACGGAGGTGCGGGGGAAGGACAACAAACTTATTCGCCAGATGTGGGGAATTTAAAACCGGCCCCTCGATTTAATTTCACACGAGACCAACCACTCTGCAGCAGTGCACAAACTATAATTATTTTCACACGTAAGCTTTCACGACCAATATCGATAGTCGAGGTTTTTTGGGCGAGATCGCATAAATATGTGCCGTGAACCCACCACCACCCATGTGTAATGTTTGTCGCGTGAGCAGAACGTGCCAATTATCTTTAATACTTCAGCACACCAGTGTGTTGAAGATTAAACCCACAACATTTACAATTTGAGTCCGACGTTTCGCTGGTGATTACAACAACCAACATAATGAGGCGATTTGTCAGAATTGTAATTGTCCGTCACGGCGACTATTTTAGCCCCGCGAGTCTGTCAGGGATATTGTGACCTGGTAACAACGCTGCGCTTCGAATTTTATCACCGCACTCAGTCACTTCTGACTCGACAGGAGCATCTTGTCGTGAGAGATGTGACTTAGATATGTATTCATGTGTGACCCAAACCAAAGGTTTTTGAAAATCCTGCTAGTGACTACCGTAGTGCATTAAACTGGAAAGTGGCATCATACACAGAGGGGGTTGCAGCGATGAAAGGGAATGGCCAACATTAAAATATGACAATAACGTTGTCACCAACGTAGTGTGATCTCAGGACAGCCAATCTTGTGTTTGCTCCTGACTTGAAAATTAGTTTAAAACATTTCTAACGCGTTCGGCTTAAAACATCTTCTCGGTTATCATCAGCATCAGGCCCATGTGCTTCCTCGTGTAGCCAAATGTTCCAGAGCAGAACATGAGCAGTGGAGCTCCGTCCACCGGAGTGCACAAACACACCCGCCACATTGACCACACTCGTTGTATCGCCATCGGGCCCCACTTCAGAAGCACTGGGAATTGGACTCGAGGTCAAGTTACCTCTGGAGCACGCTCATTTCTTTCCTGACCTCCACGAGCTCCCTCTTGGCCTTGCAAGCAGCAAACTATGAGGTGCACACACATTGCCGAATGAGTTTGCTGTACCTCCATAGCAATGTGAAAATAATACGCGCATTTGAAACTTTAATAATTGTTTGCATTACTGTCCAGAGATAGATCGTCTTTAACAAAACAACTGGAAAAGAAGCGTCTGGCCTTCGAATCCAGGTGCATACATAATAATGATGACAATTCCTATAGGGTGCTAAGCAAGCAACGAAAACATTAACCACAAGTCTATTGCAGTCACTTTTGGCAACTGACAAGGCGGGTCATTTCGAGTGATGGCTGCGACTCAGTGGCTCTGACGTGCAGTGTCAGAGCCACTGGTCCGGGCAGCACGTGGGCCGGTTGTTAGGAACTTATTGCAATGTCGAGGTAAACAACTCGGAAGTTCAGAATAGTACTTGGCAGGAATGTGTTGTATCTGTAATCAGGAGAAAGAGGTTGCGATGAGTGGGATATGCATGCATGCCCGCATGCATGCCCGCATGATGGATGACGGCGGCTTATGACGGCAATGGAGCGGACACCCCGAGGCGTAACCAAGTGGAAAGCTAAAAGCCAGACATTGAAGGTCAGGTGTGGAGCTCACACCATCCATGAGATCTATCCGAAGGAAGCAATGGTGAAGTGTCAGTATATCAATGGCAATGGCCGTGACGACCTCTTGAATTGATATGGCAATGGTTCCCATGTGTCCATCGCAAATAGAGAGAGCATATCAATGAACTGTCACTTGGTTAAAGGAAACCAATCTGTATTTGGTTAAGCAGATTATGTGATGCTGCTGCTGCATTGGCAGCGGCACACCAGCACAAATAACGCAAAAGTCAACACATTTGTCAACAACACTGTGGCCCGAAGTGGAAAATTATATACGAAGCAAACGTTTTAGGCAATTGGCCTTCTACATAGCACAAACCTGAAAAAATGTGTATTTTATTGTATGTATTATATGCATTGTATCGTATATATTGTTTCCTTTAAGGCTACAGAGTTACCAACAAATGTATTGAGTTTTTTGTTTTTATTAGAAAAATATTGAAAAATGTTAATATGGCAGAGTTGTATTACTTTGTTGCGTACATGTCCCAGGTGCAGCTGTTTTCTTACCCACTGCTCGTGAATGTCCTTCTCTTGCGTAGAAATCTGCAATGAGAGCCCATTGATGAACGTGACCTAAGCGTGCGCACTCCTCACAGCAGTGTCCCCTGCGCTACAGGGACATCGTCGTGCCTCCAGAAGAGGATGTTAAGGCTGCTGTCTGCTCACCTATAAATGTCATATTTCTCAGAGAACATTCTTCGTAATTAACAGGTTTTTATAATTAAATTAACCAGGTGAGAAACCTTTGAGATGCATTATTATTTTTACAGTGAAGGCATCGGCAATTCAAGTTACTTGGGGCAAATTCATGATTTTTCCATTTATTTTACTTTGTGGATAATAAACAAATTTAACATTTGAGCGAAAATATCACCACATAACGGTGTACTCTGACGAACGATGAATTGTGATAGCTATTGGTGTTATGGATAAATGGTGTGCTTTGGTAATAATTATCTCCAAAAATGATCACGCAACTTTGGGTGTGGAATTGGTGATTGTGTGCACTGCCCCAGTGGACTGCTTCGGCTACTTCAGCCATGCCAAATATACACACGCATCACTCGCCAAAGGCTGACGAGTGCCATTTAACGACACAAGGCGACTCACTCCAAGAGGCAAAATAATCAAACAAATTGAAATCGTAAAATAACTCATGAGGACATGAACTCCAGCATCTCACACAAATTGCCCATTCAGAGCATACTACCATGACAAAATGTGACCAGACAAATTTGGCTGCAGTGGCTACTGTTCCTGCTCAGGGACATTGTCGTCAGCCTGCAACTTCCCACTGCTGGGCAAGGGCACCGTCCCAGAAATAATACTCGTAGACTCACACAGAGACCCGTAGACTCACACAGACACGCATAGACTCGCACAGAGACCCATACAGTCACACAAGACCCATATACTCGTACAGAAACACGTAGACTCACACAGAGACCCGTAGACTCACACAGCGACCCCAAGACTCACACAGAGACCCATACAGTCACACATAGACCCATATACTCGTACAGAAACACGTAGACTCACACAGAGACCCGTATATTTCACAAAACAAACGCTGACCTCATTACCACACGTCTGAGTCGACCGGTTGGCTATGTACGGTGTGAAAGAAGTCCAACATACATACAATATACAGATTCATAGATGTTCCATCAATAGCTGGAGGGTGAAGCATTCCAAGACGTGGATTTTGAAACTTCCCATGTAAAACTTTTTAAATAGGGCCCTTGAGCTTATGGGCACAACCCTGAACCGCATCGACACAAACTATGGCAGCGGACGCGGATACCGGACGCACAAAGAGAAATGTGAAACTCTCCGGCAGTGCCCGGGGACGGTGGTAACCCAGAACAGAATCAGGGAAAATGTGACGACTCAACGTCCCATTCATAAACACAAAGGAGGCATCATCGCAGCGATACGCTCCGCGACTCCTGACGCAATTAACCGGCGCAACCACCTCAACGTATAATTACAGTCCTTGCCATACACCGACATCAGCCATATGCAGAAGAAAATCCCCTACAACAATATGTACATAAACCATTCAATGTATTTTCTCTGGCAGGGCTGGCGATTTCCCCCCACCCCCCCCCCCCCTGGATCCACCGCTGGGCAGTCCCCGTTCGTCTAAGGAAGGACAGCGGCGATGATGTTGGAGTCGTTTGGGAAGCGCCGCTGCGTGCAGGCTGCTGGGGGTTGCTCACTTGTTCCCTGAAGGAGTCTTCCGTCTGCCTGAGCTCCCTTTTGAGGTCACTCACGCGCTGCCTGGTGGATGGCAACACACACACATGGCAACACGCACACATGGCAACACGCACACATGGCAACACACACGGTTCATGGCAACACGCACGGTTCATGGCAACTTCAGGGAAACAAGATCCAGCTGGCGAGTCCAGCATGCGGAGAACAACGTTGGACATCGTGCGGAATGGCGCGTGGCGCAACCATGGCGCCCATACACACTGGCCTGCTTTTAGTAAGGCATCACAGGATCTTCTCTGCCCACTTGTGTGTAGTATATCATTGTTACTACTACTCGTGTAGAGGAACATTGTGAGTAACCAATGAGGGGGCGAGCGGAAGGAGGTGCGAGCGGGTTGAGAGTCACGCGGGGCCAAGGATGACGTCACGTAAAGAGCTTTCGGGAAAGTGGGCGGGGCCGAGCTGGGGGGAGGAGCCGCCCAGGGGGTTCTTAAGGGGACCACGTGACGGGGGCATGGTCGTCGTCTGGGGCCAGGCGAATGAGCGGCTGGAGTGGGGTCTCTTCTCTGCTCGTCGCGGGGCGGTGTTGGCTGATCCCCCGCCCCGGGCAGACGAGTGAGAGAGCCAAGGGGATAGCCGAGGGGTAGGGTCCAATTAGTGAGTCAGTGTCCGTGTGAAGGACGGAGATGGAGTGCACCTCCATTGGTGTGAGTGGAGGATGCCGAGTGAGAAAGTGTTTTAATAACGGCAGCCGTTACAGTATTCCTCGTCTCCACGTGCTTGTACTGCACAACGCTATCATGGTCACATGGTTATTAACCCTTTCCTGTTCCAAGACATCTACAAGTTGCAGGGGCCTCCCACTGACTGCTGAATCTCGCAATGCACAAGTGGTTCAGCATACATTTGATTTAGATAGGCGTAGCACCGTTGTTTGTAAAGACATTGTACTCACCGCAGTGAACTGTAGTGATACAACCGCACTCTATGATAGCTGGCGGAAAACTGTACCACACCCCCTCCCGCATTCTGTTCCGTACGTCATCGCAACGGGATCGGAAAAAAACCCGATGACGTGCACATACATCATCGCAGCGGGGAAAGGTTAAACCCACAGCGTTAATCAGCGGGACCGTTGGATGAGAATTGTGAACCTCTGCAACCAGCGGCGAGCACGCGACCGCTAGGCCACGTCACCGCCCAACGATGAGAACACTCAAACCTCGCACTGACAAACTGGTTACTGCACTGTCTTCTACATGCGATCGGTTGCACTGCAGGAAGGTATCTCATACATGGCTCCTCCCATCCCTGCATGACCCACTAACCCCCCCCCCCCCCACCTCTAAGTTGTACGTTTATAGTCACACAGCCCTGTCACTACACTTGCTCCAAATCCACGACTACATTATCCCACAAAGTCAGGTGTGGCACTTCAGGCTGCCGCTTGCAGCAGGGAATCGAAGGCATTGACTGAAAACCGAGCCAAGGCAGGCGTGGGGGTGAATGCATGCAGTCCAGTGCTTTGGAGCTTCAGGGTTAGTGGAACGCACAGAGAGGAGTGAAACTCTCATATCCGCTGGACAGAAAGTTGTCCAACAAATGGGTTCATGAACCCGTCTGTGCGGATCTTTTAAGAATTATCCCCGTGCACGTGTGGCCTTTCTCCAAGGCGCTCAACTTTTTAATCAGATGCAAAACACCCCTTTAAAAAAATTCATAGCAAACTTTGAAATGCAAGATCCTCCTGAAAAGAAGCATTGAGACTCAGTGTGGCTTTCCTTAATGAATGCATTACATGATAATTGGTTCTTTACCCTTCTATCTGGCAACAAAACTAACACCTTTTTTTTTGTTGCCAGATAGAAGGGTAAAGAACCAATTATCATATTTTTACTGGCAAATGAGGTTCCCATAGAATGCATTAAATATTTATTTATCTTCAACCAGAGGGTTAAATGAAGACAAATCTCGAATAGTTGTTGGTCCCTCGAGCCCAGGGGTGGCCAACCTTGAACAGACCAAGAGCGAAAAAGTACCCACGAGTTTTGGAAGTGTTTCTATAATATATTATACCATACAACTTTAATTAATTATTCTTTGCGACTGTGATAGGAGTATGTTCTACATTATGCCTCTTCGAAAGAGCCGCGTGTGGTGGATTAAAGAGCCCCATGCGGCTCGGGAGATGCCGATTGGCCACCTCTGCTTTAGTCGTACTTGTATTGTGTGGCTTCCTCCATCGCTTGCAGTGCTTTCTGTTCAGCCTCTGAACACGCAGAAGCCTTCGTCTGCCCAGAGTTCTCCTTTTCAGACAACTCCCTGTAAAGCGTGGGAAACACAGTGACTGTTGAACGGAGCTGGAGGAATATTGTACACGTCTATGTATCAACAACTTCAATGGTCTGTCGGTCTACCAGTCTGTCACAGTGTTTACTTGAGTCATTTCCATTGTACAAGGTCAGTGTGTAACTCGTTTTGATCAGAATAAATTGGGGGCCTGTGGTAATGAACATGAGCTGTGGATGACCTTTAACAGATGTAAACAAAACCATGACCCAGGTGGTGGAGAGCTCTCGGGAAGGGTTGGAACCATGGGGAATGGCCAATGATGGAAGGGGCAGGCCAATGGAACTACACACGGCTTATCCGATCTGTCTGCTCGATGAGTCATCGGCCACCACGTTGACTTGAGAAGTTTCCATTGCGGTATCTCTGGTATTCAACTTCAAACTGTGTACGACCTATGCCTCTTGATCGAGATATAACAATGAGTGGTGTGCCACTTTTTAGACTTGAAAGTACTGTTGCATGCCACCTACGCTGCGCTAGAAGGCAGCCCCTGCCGCACACGAATTGGTGAGCGGCGAGCGTCAGACGAATGTCTGCTGTGTAGAATGCGCGGGCGGGTGAGCGGGCGGGTGAGTAGATGGGTGAGAGGGCGGGCAGGCGGGTGAGTTAGCGGGCAGGCGGGTGAGTGGGCGGCCGGGTGGATGGCAGGCGAGCGAACCTCTTGAGCGACGCGTCCGTGCCGCGGTGCATGTCGGTGAGCAGCTGGAGGCGCACGCGCAGCGCCTCCGCCCCTCTCCGGCCCTGCTCCTCGTCCTGCCGCACCGCCGCGCACTCCCTCCTCAAGGCGCTCGCCCGCTCTGCACGCACAGCGAGCACAGCAGCACTGCTGGTGATCAGCCACTTCGTCGCGCTGTGGTTTGTGGCCAGGTCACTTCTGAAAAAGAAGCTCACAGCTCAGTGGACTTTACCTGGTAAGATTTAAAAAAAATATAGTTTTATTTGTAGAAATGTTTTAGGTGATTTGCTTACCTTTTCTGTACTTTGCACTCCTATCGAGTTTGTGTGCTGTTTGTTGGTGTAATGTTCTGAGCCGCCCCTACTGGACATCTGTGAAAAAAGAGCTATCCACCCTTGCCCCTCGTGGGGGCACGTGCGGTGGTGATGGCGGTGGCACCTCGTAGCTCCTGGGTGGCTCTCTCCTCGCTCAGCAGCTGCTCCCCGAGTCTCAGAGTCTCGCCCTCCACACGCTCAATCGTGGCCTTCATCTGCACGAGAATGAAACACCTCGCCCGCTCAGCTGCAGCTCCTGATGCCTGCTGCCGCCTGTTCACACGGTAGTGCTCGCTCAGCCACTCCCAAGTGGGTGTAGGTGGATCGCAATGGGATTTCAGGCGATGAGCTCCGGCACTGAGGTGGACATCTGTGAAAACGAACTTAGCTCATCGGATTCCTCCAGTATAAATACATTATTCTGATTCTAATTTCACAAATGTTCTCTCTACGATGAAACTCGAGTACATTTTTTTAATTGAAGGTTGTTGAATACAGACGCAAAAGTCTAGAAATAGCAAACGGATACGTGACTGACTTCAACGAGTAAACTATGTGACTGACTGTCCCAAAATTAACTAAGTCTGAGTGAAGAAGCAGACTGAGGTGATGTATGAACCTTACTGGAAACTGATGCGCACTGAGGAAGACCAAACATTGTAAGCGCCTATAATATATGTGTAAAGCAGGACTCAGTTCACGCAAGTTGCAAGTATATTTTTTTTATTGGGCCAGGTGAGCACTCAAGAGACCAGGATGAGTGTCACTCACACGAGTGAGCTGAGAGTCACGATTTGAATGACCTGCCAATAATGGGGGATGGCAACCGGGACCCATTGCCGCTTGTTAAGCGAAAGCCTACGTGAAATCCACAAACTAAGACCGCACTGAGACTCCATAGGTTGTCGCTGACTCGACTCGTACGACGACATGCTGCCTACATTGGCACCGCCGTGGCCACAGTTACCAGCACGGCATTGGTAGCGTGGTGCTCGCTTGACGCCCACACCGGATAGGAGCCTCCCGGGCCGTCGGCACCCAACGCGCTCCCACCCAGCAACTCCAGCTGTTGCAGACCCTCCGACATCATCTGCACAGACCACCACCACCACGTGTGATCCATTGTATCTCCTCGTGTTATCACCAGCTGTGCCCCATCTCAGCAGACGTTATGTTTAAATGCTATGCACCCCCGAAATTGTGTTGCATAAAAGGGGAAAAGGTGCAGTCCTGCAAGTGCTTGCTCACGCCACTGTTGGGGGAAGAGCCACCAGTCGGCCTACTCTTCCACAGTGGCCAGGCATCTTGGAGGAGCTAGGCATACCCACACTTAAGCCGGCAACCTCCGAGTTGCAAGTTCGGCATGCTAACCATGACACCATGGCAGCGACATCCCAAGTTTATATTGGAATACGTACCGCGATTATTAGTGGGGTTGCGTTGCTTTCACAAGTGCGGGATCAGGTGGTGCGGAGCAGCATTATTGGGGCGGCACGGTGACTAGGAGATGTTAACTCCCTCGCCTGGTATACAAGAGGGCGTGAGTTCGATCCCGACCTTGACGCCTGCTGCTGTATATCTGGAGTTTGCGTGTCTCTCTATCAGTGGTCGCGTGGGTTTTTCTCCAGGTCCTCTGGTTTTTTCCCTCCACGTTTAGAATCAACTACTGTAACATTCCCACGTGATAACCCACTTCATTGAGCTATCTTGTGTGGCGAGTCGCTTTACCTGGTGAAATAAAAATATTGATAATGATGGGTGCGCGTACAGACCTGGTGCTCGGAGCACCTGGCGGCCAGGGTGGTGTCCAGTGCGGCCTGCGTGGACCTCGCCTCCTCCAGGCCTCGCCGCAGAGCGGCCACCTCCTCCCTGCAACGTCGCAGCTCCTCCACCTCCAGCTGCGAGAGAGCCCACGGCACTCACCCACGACACTCACCCACGGCAATCACCCACGACTCTCACGGCACTCACCCACGGCACTCACCCACGACACTCACCCACGACACTCACCCACGGCACTCACCCACGGCACTCACCCACGGCACTCACCCACGGCACTCACCCACGGCTCTCACCCACGGCACTCACCCACGACTCTCACGGCTCTCACCCACGGCACTCACCCACGGCTCTCACCCACGGCACTCACCCACGGCACTCACGGAACTCACTCACGGAACTCACTCACGGCACTCACCCACGGCACTCACCCACGACTCTCACGGAACTCACCCACGGAACTCACTCACGGCACTCACCCACGGCACTCACCCACGGCACTCACCCACGGCACTCACCCACGGCACTCACCGCACGGACCAGGGCCTCCTGTACACACGTAGATCGTATGTATGTATGTACTGTATATGTATATGTATGTACTATGTATGTACTATTGTATATGTATGTACTATGTATATGTATGTTGTGGAGAGCGGTAGTAAAGCAGTTAGCGTGCTGCGCTACCATCCCGGATACCTGAGTTCGATTCCCGCTCACAGCCAAAACACCATCCTTACCAGGCTGTTGGGGCAAGTGCTGTTAGCGAGCACCTATGAAGGCCAGCACGGCACACGAGGGGGTAGGTGGCCAGCACCACGCCCGGCCACCTTTGTCTCCCTAGTGGCAATGTTTACACATCGCACCAGCTACTAATTTGAGGCTGAGTCGACCTAGGGGAGGCCCAGAACCGGTTAAGTTAATCGTCACTTGTGTTGGCGGTGAGCGGAAATCAAACTGGGATCGCCGAGTTCGTAGCGCAGCACGTTAACTGCTGCACTACCGCTCCCCACACACACACACCACACACACACACGCACACACACGCACACACACGTACACACACGTACACGCACACACACACACACAAACACACACGCACACAAGCTCACGCACACACAAACACACACGCATGCACACACACGCACGCACACACGCACACACACACACCAAGTACCTGCTCGGTGCCACTCACAAGGCTGTCTCTGCTCTGGATCGAGGTCTGCAGGGTGGCAGCAAGGACGTCCACTCTGCTCAGGGCGGCAGCCAGGAGATGTTCTGCCTGCGTGGCCACCACCACCAGCACACAACAACCGTCGTCGCGCTCGCAACACAAACCCCACCCGTCTGCATCGCCAGCTTTCATGAACTATGCTAAACCATGTGGACTCGTACAACGGCGTCTAGAGATGCGACCGCGTCTCAGTGGTCGTATTTAGTTTGTAGCGAGGTGCAGTCGGTCATCGGCAGAGGGAAAGGAAGGAGGTCTCCAGCCAGGAAAGGAATATGGGGCAGGGAGTGGACATCACTGGTGGCTGGGGGAAGTAAGTTGGGGGGTCGTGCTTGGATGGACGACCCCCGTGCATTGCGCTTGTTACAGGCTGTGGGGATACATTGCGGGCAAGTAAAAGCTGGCTATGATACTGACAATGCAATAAACACAGCGCTCTTTCCTGAACAGATGACAATAATCACACCTCAACGAGCTTAGATCCCAGATCCTCATTCTCTCCCCCCTCCTCGTCCTCCTCGTCCTCCTCGTCCCTCGTTGGTGACGCCTGCCAGTTGAGTAACGAGAGAAAGAGCCACAGTTTAAAAGCCTCTCGCGGGATCTAACCCAGCTTCGTCATACCATTACTCAATGCTGTTATATAAGATAACAATACAAACCTAGGAACCGACTGACAATATCTTAGTACACATATATTAAACAATAATAATACCCTTATTGCAAATTAAGAATCTCTTTCGAGAAGGGTCTGACATTGTGATATTTGTCCAATGCCGTGTGTGTTTGTGTACTGTGCATGTGGGAGGAAATCAGAGAATCTGTGAAAAACAGATACTAGACACCTGCTGGGAAAAGAGCCTCACAGCTCCTCGGATTCCTCCGGTATAAATAAAGATTCTGAATCTGTAGAAAGCAAACAAATGCGTCGAAGCAGAACTCTTGATCCTCGACTGAGTGGAGCCAGGGGGTGAATGTAGCGATCCGTGAGACGGCATCGACGGTGGCGACAGGACCTGTCACGACTCACCTTGTCACGCCTCACCCCGTCACGACTCACCCCGTCACGACGCACCCCGTCACGGCTCACCCCGTCACGACTCACCCCGTCACGGCTCACCCCGTCACGGCTCACCCCGTCACGACTCACCCCGTCACGACTCACCCCGTCACGGCTCACCCCGTCACGGCTCACCCCGTCACGGCTCACCCCGTCACGGCTCACCCCGTCACGGCTCACCCCGTCACGGCTCACCCCGTCACGGCTCACCCCGTCACGGCTCACCCTGTCACGGCTCACCCCGTCACGACTCACCCTGTCACGACTCACCCTGTCACGGCTCACCTGGTCACGACTCACCTTGTCACGGCTCACGTGGTCACGGCTCACGTGGTCACGGCTCACCTGGTCTAGGCGCCCCCGGTGCTCGCTGCGGACGTCACTCAGCGCCGCGGTCACTTGGCTCGCGGCGCTCCGCAGCTCAGCCACGAGGCGCCGCAGCTCAGCATTCGACTCCTGTTCGTCATGGGTCGAGGGCGGTGTGGCCAACATGCAAGCGGCTTTTATTTTGTTTTTCTAATCGGCAACATAATTTTGTCAAAACGAAGGGCGCAAAAATTCTCGCCTCTCCTTGCCGCGAAGGCCGCAGAGCAACGCAGGCGACAGCTCTGGGTGCTGCTTACCCGCAGCTCCGCCACGTGTCCCGACGAGCCCGCCTGACGAAGCGGCTCCTCCTCGGCGTCTTGCTTTGCTGCCAACTATTCAACAGAATGAGCGCACAACATTTTGAGCAAATGACGCAGTGATACTGCATTGGCAGTGGTGCACAATGTGCAGATAACAAAAAGCTCAACATACTCATCAATTACACATCCATTCTTTCTCTCTGGGCAACGTGCCATGAAGAAGGGTCATTGCACGAAACGTCACCTATTATATATTTATTTTAAGGCCACAGAGTTATTGAGTAATGTGTTGCGTTTATATATATAAAATTTCAGTTATACGATGCACAAATGCTTCACTGGGTCTGGGCAGTTCATCGGTCTAGATGGATACGTAATGTTGGATATGCAACCATGTGCTGTATTTTCATTCCATAGCGTTATCTTCCAAGGCTGTTTCCCGACGTTATGTTTATGTTCCGCCGACAGAAATGCGTTGGAAAGGGTCGTTTCTTGGCCTCGTGATGCCACCGATGGTACCGGGATACCCATGCACACTCGGCTCTCCACCTGTCTGCGTTTGACCCCGGGCAGTCCGGGAGTTGACCTCTGTGTTCGGGTATCCAGAATGGATTTGTACCGAGATCGGGTACCAGTGCCGTTGTGTTGAACTTGATTACGGTATACTCAGGGCCGCATTAAGGTTATGCTTGGCCTAAAGGCGAATATGAAGGAAGGGCCCAAGTATGTATTACATTTTGCAAAAATTGAAGTCAGCAAATATTTATTTATTTACCTATGTAAAATTAACACATTTATCCAACTCAAGGTAAATTCATCAAACACATATCACTCACTACACTAATTTCTTCAAACATTTGTTTTTCTCCAAGCTTTTGCTGTGGAAGGAGTCATGAATGATGATCTCATTGTAATTCAAAGACAAAGGGTTCTGATGGCCGCACTCCCGTCTCCCAGCTGTGACTTCAACATGGAAGGTCGGGCCTCCAGGAGGGCCGACGAAACACGACCTCAGGCCTCATTAGCCGATGGATTAACCCAGCTCGGGCTGAACGATTATAATCGATTTCAAATCGAAATCGCAATTTGAAACAATGCGATTAGCAAATCGCAAAGGCTGCGATTTTTTGCGATTTCAAAAGTCCTATTACTTATTGGAATTGCTTTATTTTTTATTATAATGACTTTTTTTATTTAACTTAACAATTCTTATATGTTTGATTGTTCTATTTCAATTAAAACATTTTCATAAATACATGTTGGAAGCAATTCATATATTGTATGTTCTCATCCTTGCATTAGAATATATAGAGCAGTTAATATTTTGATGGTATCATGTGGTAATGCTCCATCACGTTTTAAATCAATTACGCAGTGAATATTGAACTGAAGCTTGACTTAACAAAAATGTAATCGCAAATCAAATCGCAATATCTGTCAGAAAAATCGCAATTAGATATTTTCCCCAAATCGTTCATCCCTAAACCCGGCCCTGGGTACACTGCACAGATGATAATAGACCCAGGCTGATGGGCAAATGTGTCTGCATTTGATCTCTACTGTAAGCACCGACCTTTTGAGTGCAGTTGCTGATTTCCAGGGCGAGTGCTGATTTTTCCTGGAGAAGAGCAGCTACCTGGCACATCAGTTTTGCTTCCCTCGCTCCCACACAGACAGGACAATCACAAGTTAATTGTCTCTTGACAGAGCTGGCCCTTGCCTATTAACATCTGTCAGTTTACCAGCAGTGGTTCCAGAAAACCTCACTCTGAATGTTGACACCAGTCCAGAGATTTACTCGTGGAGCAATCAATGGTGCTGAAATGATGCGCTCCGAGAAGGCCGTCGTATTGCTGATGGAATGTGTAAAACATGATATATTTTTTGTACATGGAAGGACAGATATGTGAAGGAGAGGAATACCCTGCTTATTAATTTTGTGACGCGTTAAATCCAACCATTTCATTAATTCTGAAGAAGGATGCTTTCGTGAAAAATATGCGCGTCTGTATTTTTTAGGGATTGTAATTATTTGTCTGCTTCGTGCATTGCCACGATGCGGCCCTCGAGCAACTGCGAATATTATTTGTACCCAGTGCAGTCTGTCGCGTCTATCTTCTATTATTAAAATACTGTGCTCGTGAACACTCAACTAGTTCAAATAAAGGAACATATCTTTATTGGAATGTGACGCTTAACATTTAATAATGTTTAGTTTTATATCGCATTGTGATTCATGCAGAGTGCATTCACACTCACTGAGTAACAACATAGAGGCTGGAAGGCAGCAGCCAGGTGGTGCACCGACACTACTAACAATTGCCTACGTTCTGCAGTCCTCTATATATTAAGATGTTTACAGGCACATAATTATATTTAGATATTTTGGAGGGAACCTGAGCACCCAGAGAAAACAGACGTGTGTGGGGGGGGGCAACGCTCTATCCCACACAGAAGGGGCAGATGGAGATTAGTCCACACTCTGCTGCACCACCTCCTCCTGGCGAGCCAGAGTATGCTGCCTCCTCGACGCTCACGGACCGGGAGGCTCACAACGTTTCTCTGATCCACGAACCCTTGCTGCTGCCTCCACAGTGCTGGGTTACAGACTGCCAAGTGCAGTCAAAAATTTACAACGGAATTAGTTTAACATGTTTTTTAACTTGACGTTCATGAGATTTATTTTGCTGTGTTTAGGTCTCCGTTGAACGACTTTTGGTGTCTCTGGGCTCTAACCTGTTGACAAAAAGTCTACGTTGTGAATTTGAATATTTCTACTGTATGTAGGTTAATTATAATATACAAGCAGTGTTTATTATAATGTGGCAATTTAAAATATTGTACTCACATAGACATCTTCTATTCTTTATCTGGAGACACAAATACATCGCAAACGTCGTTTGTAACCCAAACATCACACCTCCTGCCTTTGACATTCCTCGAAGATAATTGTGGTGGAACCATCAACCGCATCAAAACATCAACAGGCCAACGTGCACCACATCTCCTTCATGAACGGAAACTTAAATACACAAACCTCAGCAGTTGCATTGTGGCCATGCTACCCAAACTATGGGCCATATAGTCTACCACTGTAGTCTGTGCTCCTTCAGCGGAAAAATATCACAACTCCACGAACTCTCTCCCAAAGCCCTCTCGTGGCGAGCAGACATCGACATTGCCATTTATCTACCATACACGGAATGGAATAATACCCACATCCACTCACATACACTTTCATTACACCTCGCAGTTGCTCTCTCTTCAGAGTGAGCGAACGCTGTGTCCGTTACAAGTTGAATGTATTTTATTGGTCGAGTAATCGATTGCGGAAACATTCCGTTTGGAGCCAGGCTCTGCACGCTGTTACTCAGCCGGCGTCCGTCGCTGTGCGACTGCACGTACCACAGAGCAGAGGCGGAACACAAAGCCCAGGAGCAGGCTGCTGACCCCCAGAGCGCCGAGGGCGGCCATGGCCAATGGAGTGAACTGCCGAACGTTCTTCACTCCACCTGGGCACACCCAGTCTGGCACCATCTCCACATACAAACACACACGCACATTGACATGAGGCGAAACCCAAAAGGAACCTTGCCCATTACATCGGTCAGTTCAGCCTCATTGATTCAAGCAAGCCTAATTTCGCTGAGACACTGAATATCAAAACCGATGCAGAGTTTGCTTGTACTGAGTCAATGCTGCTGAAATGATGCACTCCCAAAAGGGCGTGGGGCCGATAAGTTGAAGAAAAATATCCTTTTATTTATGTTACGTGGTGAGACGGATACGTGAAGCAGACGCGACGTCTGCTTACATATTTAGTAACTTAAAATGTCCGCCATGACACCAGTGGTTCTTTCGTGTTGTTTTGTAGACCCAGACACACGTACTACCTAGGTCGCGTGTCATGGGACCATCTTGACAAGCGCTTGAAGCTTTGTTGTGAGAGCAGAGCATTTGGATGTCGCTGCGAGGTGCGTGGCAACACCGACCACTCGGGAAGTCACAGACCCTGCTGGGGCCGCTCAGCTCCGGTCACTGCATGGCTGCCATCGAACAAATATAGTTGCTGCATTGCACGCTTTCAGATACACTTCTGCGGCCGTCTGGCATGCTCTTCCTTTCGATATTAAGAAGCCACTTGTGTTATGCACTTTTAAATAATCTAGATTGAAATCTCATTTCTTTTTCACTACTTTGTATCTTCAGTTTCGTGTCCTTTCTCCGAACCTCTGATTATCACGGTTGGCTACGTACGGTGTGAAAGAAGTTCAACAACAACATACACACAGAAGGTGCGAGCCCCGTGACCCGGGATTTTTTCTTCTGGCAAACCTCACTCTGACGTTGTTGTATTTGCACTTTTCCCTCGATGTGCGTGCATTTCGTTTACAGCCGTGAAACGCCTCGTTTGGTCGCTGTGCGATATTCCTTAAGGACCCTGCTGCCATACCCGTTCTCTGCAGTACCGTATTGTTGTTTTGTGTTGCTGCTGGCTGCAAGGATCACACGCCGCCGGGAGAACTGGCTAAACGGGATCATCATCATCATGCGTGTAACAAATCAAATTAACTCCAACTCGCTCTGTGCCAAGACCACGCGGTGTGTGCTGGGAGCCGCTCCACGCTACCCCAGGGAGCTACGGCACGGCCACTGTGTGTGCCGGCGTCACTGTCCACGTTTCTCCCAATTTTAAAGTGTACCCCCACTTGCTCAATTAGAATATATCGTGGACTGAGCAATCATCGCCCCCCACTGCAAACAATTTGGCAGGACACTCCTGAAAGGGGTGTCATGAAACTAAGTGAAGTTTTCCTGGCTAAACAAGCATAACATAACGAACATACACGAGGATGCAATCTAAGTATGCAGGGTCATGCCCAATCAGCTCCACGGATGGAGTGGAAGATGGCAGCCTTCACGTGGCCCACTCTGTCAAGTGAGAAATGACGACGAATGCCATCAACACAGCGACCGAACATCGATCATCGATCTCCCGACCAGCAGAGGAACAACAACACAAGCCACGCCAATTGAGCTCTTCAGGAACAAACAATGCGCCACACAGGCTCCTGGCGTGATTGTCTCAAGTGAACTGGTAGTCGTTGCTCCGCATCTACATCAGCCATACGCAACAAGAAAAAGTTCCGAGGATTCAGCCTCCTCCCTCGGTGCCGGGACCCCACTCTGCGTGTGTCGACATCGGGAGGAGGTCCTGGACTTACCAGGGTGACTGTGGGTGCCAGCGATGGCCACACGGAGGTGGAGGCCCTCAGGAGCAGATGGTCCAGCCTGGACACGAGCCATGGCACCGGCAGCGACCCAACACCAACATCCAACATCGGTTCGTCCAAGGACTCGGAAAGACCTGCTGGAGGCAATGACGCACCGACATGCATATGACATCATCGCCACAAGATATATATATAAATTGGTTCATATTCAGCGCTTTGTCGATCCACTGCTGATGAAGTTTTTGCCACGCCGTGTCATTCATGTGGTTTGTTAGACCATACTTCCCCATGCTGGAGAGTGCGTTGGTGATTAGGCAATATCAAGATGTCTCCCTGTGCGAATGCGTTTGGGGCAGTGCTCATTTCCATTCGTGACCGGAGCCAGTGACGTAGATATCGAGTGTGCAGGCCGTGCAACTGCACCGGGACCCATACGCCAGAGGGGCCGAGGGGCCGGACTATGAAGAGGGCAGGGAATTGGAGTGGAGGCCCGATTTAATTCCGTACGCTATGGCCCATGCTAATCCACTACGCCACTAGTCTTAAGCAAATGATGTATGACCACTGTTTATTTTACATTAAGTAATAACGCCATTTTTTTCGCCTAAAATTTATTATTTTTCCGTGTCGACCCTCACCGGGATTTAACCTCGCAACCAATAGTGCCACAGCCAATCAGTAGCCTTCACGCTGCGTGTTGGATATAAACACGCACGTGCGCTCGGGTTAACCTACTTGTTGTATGATGTTTTCACGTAAAAATCCTACAGTACATAACCAAACTCACTTGTGAATGTAATCGGAGCTCATGATTGCTGAGTCACTGTTGATTAATCATTGTGGTCATGGCTTAAGCAGTCGCATGCTGTCCTGTGTGTGTTTGCCCTGTGCGCTACCTTCCCAATGGTTCCTCTTGCCCCTGTAAGCTGGCATCTCGTCTCACACACGATTCATCTCTGTGTAGTCCACAACCCCCATCTCTGAATCTCTGCGCCACCACAGCCAGCGACAATCAAAACGGCTGTTGGTCAAGAGAGGCAACCTTTGACCGTCATAACAATCCCACCACACACTTACCTTTCACATAAGATCGGTGCACCCTTCCGACCTTTGCTATTGATTCTGAAATCTCTGAGTTGGTCAACCGTGGTTCCTGCTCCTTAGTTCTATGTGAAGCCACAATGGGGGCATCATTTCCTAGCTTCGTGACTGAACGTTCCTTCACAATGTCTTGTTCTTCCAGCATCGCCTGGGACTCTCCGGATGTCGGAGAGCTGTCGCTGGGTTGGTCCTCTTGTTCCTGAGATGCGCCGTGCAGAACTTCAGCTTCTGCTGTCACCAGTGTTTGAGACGCGTCGCCTGCGTCTTGAGAACTGCGTGTGTCTATTAAATCTACGTTTTCAGCAACACTGACTTCTGGCACCAAATCATCGTCCGTACGTCTTTCGCTCACCATTCCCATATCTCGTACCGGTGCAACAATAATCTCAGATTCTGAGCGATCATTTTGGTTTTGCATTTCCATAGCGACCGCGTCACTCGTCGTGTCGTCGTTCTCCCCCACGATGCTGCCTGTGGAAGTGTAGCTCGCTTTAACAGCATCTACAGTCGGCTCCTTTTGTGCCAAATTACCTTGATCGCTAACGATCAAAACGTCAACCGTTCCTGCACCCGCACCCATATAATCCATCACTTCGGCGTCACTGGTAGGCTCACGCCACCCAATCACTGTGCTGGTGTCAGCATTGTCCTGCTGGCTTGATGTTACATGCTCATCCAGCTGTATGCGCTCACTAGCCATCATTTCAGGATCCGTTAATCCGGGATCAAAATTGCTGTTGGCATACTGAGATGTGGTGCCACTCATTTCAGGTTCAGGGACAAATTGTGCGCTGTCGATGATGCCGTGTTCATTTTCAGCGTCAACATCAGCAACAGAGCCTAACTCCTGTGGCTCGTCTGAAAAGTCATTTCGGTATACTACATTCAAGCTTCTTGAGTCATCTTCGGGCTCATTCACTGTGTGTGCAACCACTTCAACAGATGGCATAGTGTCTTCGTTTTTAACCTCTTCAGCTATGGTATCGTTCTTCAAATTGACGCTTTCGCCAATATGATCTTCAGTGACAAGTGGATTTGGTGGCGTTTTGATGTGTAATTCTTCCTTAATATCGTCACTTTCTAGAGAATTGTCCTCTTGATGCAAAATTAAGTCTTCATGCGGGTCATCTCCTACTTGGGTTCCTTGGTCTGATGGAGTCTCTTTATTCTCATTCCAAGTTTGCAAAGTCTCGTCACCAGAAAAAGTTTCACCATCTTCTGCTCCATTACTTTCGACATAATTTTTTAGAAGCTCCACATCTGATTCTTCACGTGGATCGGATGGAATTATTTCAGTCTCATGTGGATATTGCAAAAGTTCATCAGCAGGCGATGTTTCATTTTCATCAATGCCATCGCTTTCCACATCAGCTGTGTCAAGCTTTGAAGCTAGGCCTTCATGATGTTCGTATTCCATGTTATCCACTAAGCCATGTTCCGGCTCAAGCGCTTGTTGCAGAGATGTATCAACCAACGATGTGTCATCTTCATGCACACCACCATCTTTGGCAGCACCGTCATGATACTTAAAAGTTGATTCTTCATATACATTGCCTTCCAATATCTTTGATGAATCAACTTCAGGTTTATTTTGTTCAATTGGAGTTTCTTCAACATGCGAGGCTTCACCTACACCATCACCTTCTGTAGCAGCTTCAGTTTGTTCGAAAGACAAAATTTCCTTTGCTTCACCTTGCGTGGCTTCAGGCTGACTTACATTTGGAAGCATTTCAAACATAGATTCAACGGCATCTTCTCCACGATGCAACGCTATCTTCTCCACATCGGTGTCTTCAACCGTTGATGTTGCATGTTGTTGTACTTCAATTTGGTCCTGAGAACTCTCTTCAGGTTCAAGTTGAGTTGGTAGAGGTTCTGTGCCACCTTGATCAATGCTGTCGTCCACATAGTCACTTTGGTATTCAAATGGTTGATTTGCATTGAGCTCAAGTGAACTTTCTTCAAGGCTATCTTCACTTGGTGAAAATTCTTCCAGAGAAGGTTGTTCACTTGGTTTAAGGTCACTGCCATCTTCTACGATACTCGCATTGTCACCTGTTACCGATTCAGATGACAGCTGGCCTTCAAACAGACCGTTTGACCTGTCTCTATCCTCATTTGGGCTTGGCGGGCGTTCATTCACAAGTGCATTGTCATCATTCTCAAGGGTAATATCATTGATAGAAGCACTGTCATGCTCAGATCTTGTGCCATCAGTCACTTCATCAATACTCTTTGCACAATCGCTATCAGTGCTAAGGAGTGCATCATCTGAAACATCAGAACCATGACCAACTTCTGTTTTCTCATCGCTGACAGCAACTGATTCATCACTTTCAACATTCAATCCGTCAGAGTCAGATTTCTCATGATGTAAAGTCGCATCTTGTTTTTCATTATCGATATCTTGGTGCTCCAATAATATTATTCCTTCCTCTTCATTTGCAGAATCCTTTGAATCTGTTGTGACAGCATCAACAGAAGTTGGATCGCCATCCAAGTCACCATTTTCATCTTGAGCAACGTCCATGGTATCCTCCGTTTCATTTTGCATGTGACTTTTGACCTGCAAAATATGTTCTTCTTGGCTAATACCATCTTGAACCTGTGAGCTGTTGGCAGGTGTAGGTTCTGGCCACAGGGTTGTGTTTTCATTCTGATCACCTTCATTTGCCATGCCTCCAGTTGTAGCTAGCTGAGGTGGTTGCCCTTGGCCATTTGTTTCAAACACTTTACCGGGTGCCGCCATGTCCTTTGCATCTGAGCTCATCTTATCCTTGGCCGTTTTTCTCTTAAACAGTTTAGTCACCTCCTGGGCATGGTTCAAAAAGCCAGGAAACCACCTCGATTGAGGAGATTTGTTCTCTGCCCCATCCAGAGGCATTTCTGCTGCTTTTCCATCTCCTGTATCCACCACCAGGTCTTGCATCTGCTGAGACGAGCTGTCACCTCCATTGCCATCATCCAATTTTTTTTCGATTTGAACATAGTCATGGACTTCCGATTCGAAAGTGTGGTTTTCAGCTTGAGATAAAGCATCATCTTGTTCTGAGATGACATAATAATCATGCCCTTTGAGTGACTGCCCAGCCACTGGCATAATCTCACTGGCTGTCGGCGCAGTGTCTTCAGGTATTGCCTTTTCGGAAGTTATTTCCACATTTGAGAGATATTCTGGAGAGTTTCCGTCAATGCTCGACTGCTGCTTAGCGCCATCAGTTTGGCCAGTGGCTTTGTTGTTGGGGAACATTCCAAACCCTGAGAACATCCATTTGGCATTATTGTAAAAGCTACCATCAGTGGAATCCACCTTACCTCCACGGTCACCAGTAGAAGAGGTGTCGGGAGATACGCTGATGTCCCCACCGTTGCTCTCCTCTGTTAACACAAGCGTGTTCCCATCCGCCAGTGGCTCTGCGCTTGGCAGCTGTGGGTCTTTTGTAATCACTTCAACGTTCGCATTATTGCTCAGATCTGCTGAAGCATCAGCTGGGGGTTTATCTGGGGCTGAAGCCTCAACCAAGGCCTGAGATTCATCTATGGGCTGAGAAGTCGGGGAACGGTCTTTCAAGATTGTCTCTTCGCTCCTTTCACTTGTAACGATCCCACCTGTACCAGCGGGCTTGTCGTCTGGTGTCGGCTTAGATCCGAAGAAGTTGAAACCACTCACGAGACTCTGCACGTTATTAAGGAACCCTCCAGGCACAGGTGGCACTTTGGCGATCTCATCTCCAGATGTAGGCACCTCATGCTGGGCCAGTGAAACACACAAACACACGCATACACATAATTAACCCACCTATCCATGCACCCACCTGCACACCTATCTACCCACCCACTTAATTACGGTGGTAGACTGGAGTATGTAGTGCGCGACGAGTAAAAACAGCCATAGTGAGGTAGATTGGCATTCAATGCCAAAACCAAATCAAATAACACGAGCATTGAAACTGCCCAAGTAATGAAAACTATTAAAATACCGTACATTGCAGGAGTAACTGATAAACTAGCCAGATGTTTGGAAAAACAAAACATCCGAGTCAGATTTGGAACGGTACATAAAATACAGAATTAATGTCTGGTATAAAACATGTATTACCGAAGCTATCAACAGAAGGTGTGTACCGGATTAATTGAACTTGTGGCAAATGCTATGTTGGGAAAACTGGACGAAAATGATCAGCACGAGACTAAAAGAACACCAAAGAAATATTAAATACTCCCAAATACAACTGTTAGCAGTAGCAGAACACACGTGCCAACAAAAACACTCAATTGATTTTGATAATGTTGAAGTTCTGTGCAAAACTAGTTACTACTGGCCAAGACAAATTAGAGAATCTATCGAAATTGAGAGAAATAAAAATATTTTTAACCGTTCGGATAGCTACAGACTTAGTGCTGCTTGGAAGCGAATCATTAAATAATACATTGTTTAAATGAAATGTATTATTTGGGATTAGAGATTACCTTTGGTAGGCTATTTTTGTACACACAATTGACAGGGAGTACAAGAACAATGGGCTCCCATAATGTGCATGTATAATGTTCGTTGATTACTAAATAAATATACCTTCATTAATTGCCCCCCCCCCAACTTCGCGCAAGAAGAGCACACAAGTGTGGTCACCGCATCTACGCCTCTATATAAGGAACGAAACAGGTGGACTTCTCCCCAAATCTGGCTGTCGCCCGATGAAGCTAGTTGTAATTACTGGCGAAACGTCGTGCTCAGATTGTAAATGTTGTGGCTTGGCTCTCCAATACACCGGTGTGCTGCTGTACTAGTGACGAATTGGCATGTTCTGTTTACGTGACAAACCTTACTAATTAGTTGTGTCTGGTGGTGGTGGGTTTAACGAGATTTACATATTTACGCGATCTAACCCAAACAAACTGTATTGTGGATGATATTGGTCGTGAAAGCCTACTGCGTGTTAAACTCAGGTATATTGGATTTGGTGTGCCAGGTGCGAATATATTTTCCAGGACGCTAGACTCGGCTGAAATTAAGCCCTGGTTATACATGATTATTATCTGAGGTAGTCACCTTAGAGGATAATTTAGAAATAGATTGCTGTTTACCTTGGGTATTTACCTTCACCAGCAACACAAGGCGCAGCTTAGCAAAAAATGAAGTCACGCCCTCTTCTCTAAACTTAACGCCTCACAGTGCGTATCGTGTGGGTGTGCATGCTCTCTCACTCCCACGGCGATATTCACCTCGTGTTCCGCCGCGACGTCACCTGGCGTGGATGAGACGGCACCACTGTCCCCACTGTCCCCACGTGGCGACTGCGCAACGGCGCTTGCCAGCTCTGCGTTGCCACCTGGGGGGGCCTGCTGATCGTCGCCGACGTGGCTCAGCAGATCAGCAGCATCTCCTGGCCCTGCAGCGTCACCTGCCGCCGGGCCCGTTTCGAACTGAGATGGAGCTTTGTCTCCACTGAACCATCCAAGGATACCTCCCGTGTTGGACAGAAGCCCTTGCATGGTGGCGGTAATGCCGGTGGACGTTTTCTCTGGAGGCTTTACCAAGTCGGCCCTTTCGGCCAAGATGTCGTCCTCTCCAGAACCGATGATGTTCTCTTCCGAGGAGGTGTCTTCAATGAACTCCTCAACCTCAGGGTTGCCCACAGCCAATTCGGCCGAGTCCAATTCAGCTGAGTTGTCTTCAATGTCCTCACTGCTGTCGTTTTCTTCCCCAACATATTCTCCATCGAGACAACGAAAGTCCCTCTCCTGAACACAGACAGAATTGCAGGAAACATTATAGAGTACCTTGGCATCGTTATTTTCATGCATTTTCGGGAGTGAATTGTTTGCAATGGGATCAGGGCTTAATTTAGTGTGGGGTCTGTGTGGGGTTGTGACCTGCTCGACGTGCCTAGTCCAGTCTACAAGTGACCCAGCAAATAATACATGAGGATTTGAGCCCTGAGTCAAATTACGTGTAAAGTGGTATATTATCTCCTCCAGCTAATCTGGAGCAAGAGTAAAAACATGTTTTAATAAACCTGTTCTTCATTCTGTTAAGAGTTAAATTATCCCAATCGTTGTACAAACGGTGTGTGATGGGCTTACCTTTGACGGAAATTTGATCTCCTTTGCGTTCAGAAATGGCTGGACTTCTTTGACAACATCTTTTGGGAAAAATCCAATCTTCCCTTGACACTACAACACAACGATTAAAAACAGTCAGTGTTTGAAATATAAACGACATGATGGTATTATGGGATGGACAACATCTCCACAGCCAAATGATTGACACAGTCCACCGCTGCAGTTTACAAGCAAAATGCAGATATATATATTTTTTTCCCCTGGGCCATGCCGCTTACAAGATTTCTCACAATAGGTTTTACACCAGAGGTGGGCAAGCTTTGGTCCATGAGCCAGATATGACTCAAGACTACATTTAATTCGGCCCTTGGCCACATAAGACCTACTACTTTAAAACGGCCTCCACAAACGATACTGTCACAGCAAACACTGAAGCCATATGTCGACTTGGGAAGTGCGACCCAGCCTCAATGTGTTAGTGAAAGGAAAGCATTATTTTTGCATCATTATTTTATAACGCCACGGTGTGTGTTAATGTGTGGCCCACCATTGGTACTTGAAAGTGAAAATTGGTTCACTCGTTCAGTGCACAAATAAGGATGATGAGATGCATGCTTGGATTTACATTGAGAGGGAGAAAGAGGAACACATCGATGAGAGAACATGCACAGACTAAGGGCATCATTCAAACTGTTCAGACAAGTAAGTGGGCTTGAGCAGGACACGAAACTGAAAGGTATGATGGCGGGTGATCAATAATAATGACAGAGTGGCACCTAAGAATATAAAGCGTCCGAGATGACGTCCACCGATGAGATGGAGAAATGAGATCAGCTGGTGCGCAGGTGTTAGATGGTTTGCTACATCGCATAACCGTGAGAGGTGGTCATGGCTTGGGAAGGTCTTCGTCCAGCAGTGAGTTGATCAGAGCTAATAAATATAAAGATGATGATCACAGACAAGTGTCAGTTGGGTGGTGACGTCAGGTACATGTTGTCTGGTGAGGGTCAGTGTGTCGAGATGATAATGATTAGTTGGCCCAAAGCAAGGCCTGCTTCGCACTCACGCTGCCAGCCCAGAGGGAGTCTGACTCGCCGGTGAGTTTCATGAACACCTGAATCCTCTGCTTGGCCTTGAAGGAAAGGTAGCGGCAATCCGGAGCCTCGTAATCCCTGAGCGCCTTCACATGGCTCATGATGGCTTCACACATAGCATGTACACACACACACACGCGTCAACATAATGAAATTCACTGATGGCCATTAATTTAGCCCATAGATATGCGTAGCTCCTATGTGTTTTTTGGGCCGCGCGATGTTCGGCATGATGTCCGACGTTTCGCTCCACATGCTGGGAACTTTTTTACGAACTCAACCAGCTCGTGGAGCGAAATATCGGACATCGTGCCGAACGACACGTGGTACGTCCTGAACACACACTCGGGAACTGTACAGCACAACCGTGAAAACACATGCAAAGTAATGTTGTATACGAGTTGTGGAATATTAAATAGCCTTCACATTTTCTCCATTGGTCACACACAAGTGAGTGTACGAAAAGACAATTCTGGAAGCACACCACACTTAGGGCAGTTACATTGCCTAGCAGAGGGGTCGGAAACCAAAATAACAAGAAGAGACTTTTTTTCGAATTCGGTTAAAAAAACTCAATATTTCAAGAGCCGCAATGCCACGTGAACACGAGACGATGGTCCTTCACAAATAGCGTCACGAAGCAGTCCTTAAGTTGCCAACCCCTGGCCTAGCAGTAGCGCGTTAGCCGCTTGAAGAAGGTTCACGGTTGGAATCCAGCGGCCGCCCTGATTAATACTGTGGGTGTATCAACCATAATAGTCCACGCCGTCCGCTTCACAGTGGACGTTAAAGATCGCGTGACGTCATTCGCGAGAGTAGTAGGCCATTGTGTGCCAGCGTTGTTTGTCCACATTTACCAAATTCGCTAATTATGCAATTGGGAATACACAGAGCGATCGTGACACCCGACTGCAGCGTTCTTCATTGCAAGGCCCGCGGGCCACCGGCGGGCCCCGGTGGCCTTCAGTGCGGCCGCCGACAAGACACAGCGTGTGACAACACCCCCATCATCATCATCGTCGTGCTGCTGTCAAACCCCCAATGGTTTCAAATGTCTTATCGGCGAAAGTGGCCCTCCTCTGAAAGTCAGTGAAGAACACCGCCTTAGTGAATGACGAATGCCCCCAGGTAAATCTTGCAAATGAGACTCGTGCTGTCGTCTTTAAGTTCTCATCTCGTTTAACAAATCACGCCACGCACGCAGTGCGCTTGGCGGGGGGGGGGGGGGGTGCCCTGTGTCACCACTCACCATTGCAGTCTTCATCTGCGCACAGCTTGAAATCAGAAAACTTGTGAGCGCCGGCGGAATTCCATGTCACGGAGAGAAGAAGACCAAGAGTCAGGAGAGCCCTGCTCACGGGTGGCCCCGTCATGGCCCACACGAGGAAACGTCCCACGAAGACAGAAACGCGCAGCAGCAAGTCTTTCTTGGGCTTCAAAGTGACCTTTGGTCGCTGGCAACCCACGTAGGCGCACTCACTGCTCATTGCCGGCTCACACACTCACGAACCGAACAGTCAGCAGAAGCCACAACGGCAAACACCGGGTGGTGGAATTTGATCAGAGTGGCTCAATTTTGTTGCCATTTCTATTCTGTTCTTGCCTACGAGCTAAACAGCAAATGTCTAGCCACGACCAGAGGGGCTTCAGGAGCGAGTTTGTGTTTCGCTTCGTCTCCTCCGTGGAACGAGCGCAGACGACAGTGCAGGGGGTTACAAGACGGTGCATAGTTTGTGTTGCATGGCCACAATCGCTTGTCTTTAATTGTCTATTCATGAAGATGTGCACATCGGCCTGTTGAGGTTATCATGCGGTCAATGGTTCCACCAGCGTCTTTGAGAATCAGTGGCACGCCAGTTGAGAGTTTACAAGTGAAGACGTGAAATGCACGTGCAGCCCTTGCTCAATATACTGCTGGACAAATGTCTGTCTACGCCGCGTCGCTCATGGGGGGTGTTTGACCAAACTTCCCCAGAGCTATACTCTTAGGTTTTTTTCGGTAAAGTCACGTAGGTAAAAAATAAAATAAAAATTTCATAAAGTAATTTTACCGAAAAAACCCAAGAGTATGAATCTTTGCAGTCACGAAAGCTTCAAATCTAGAATTCCCCAGAGCTCGCAGCTAACCTCTGTGCCACCGCTCGTAGCGAATTGACGAATTCTCTGTTCTGTGACGCATTGTGCGCATAAGATATTGTGCAGAGAAGAGTCTAATACTCCATAATAGAGGGTTTTTTGGGTTAAATCGCGTAAATGGAGAAATGTGTCGTTAAAACCCGCCACCACCCGACACAGCCAACTAGTAAGGGTTGACACGTAAACAGAACGTGGCCAATTCGTCACTAGTACAGCACACGTGGCTTTACCGAAAGACCCAAAGAACATGAATTCCTGCAGTCACGAAAGCTTTAAGTAAAGATTTAATAATCAGAATATCACGACGTTTCGATCGCAACACAAGCAATCGTCATCAGGTGACGAGGTGACATCGAAACGTCGTGGTATATACCACGGAGAATACCAATACCACTCCCATTTCTATTCGTTGGGTCTTTCGGTAAAGCCACGTAGATAGAATAAACAATAAAAGATATAAACATGTGAGTGGTATTAATAGAACCGTGGTCTCTATCCCGTGGCACGGAGTATGGAGGTAGACTGCCCTCTCGTGGTGACAAGCGGGTAGCGCCGCTGCTCGACAAACGCGAGATCGATTCCCGCTCATGGCCACCAACACTTGTCACGATTATCCGAACCGATCCTGTGCCTCCCCGAGGTCGATTCGACCTGGTGCGATGTGTAAGAACATTGCCCTTGGAGAGACAAAGGCGGCCGGGAGTGGTGCTGGCCACCCAGCCCCACGTGTGCCGCTCCGGCCGTCGTCGGTGCTGCTCGCTGACAGCACTTGCCCCAAAAGTCTGTTACGTTTTTACGGGGGAACTTTGTCTACAAGTTGAACACACAACGTGCACAACGTGGTAGGTGGAGGTGGGCTCAATAATCACGCGAACAAACAAAACTCGTGTTGCGACAGCGACCCTGGGTCACCCAAATGGCAACAGTTATATCCGCTGCTGGATGAAGGCCACACAAAACATGACGTCATTTAAGGTGACGTCCATTCCAAGCTGTACGTAATGACGTCATACACAGGCGTGCCCTTTCGGTACCCACGAACCTCGCCGTGCGTAATGACGCGTTTGTGCGTGATGACGTCACTGCGTTTGAACTTCTGCCGCGTTCTTACGCGTGATAAGGACGGGCACGCCGCTGCGAACCGTGCGTCATGACGTCATCACAACGCGCTTTGTGTCGTTTAAAATAGACGATTCTTCCGTGATGACGTCACCCTCATTAAAACAGCGCGGCTTGCCGTGCGCGATGACGTCACCACCTTGAACTTCAGCCGCGTTTTCGCGCGAGAGGACGTCGCTCGACGGCGGTCACCGTGCGTGATGACGTCACCAACTCGAATCTTTGTTTAACTTGCGAGGACGCGCCCTTTCGCGATGACGTCACCGCCGCTGAACACAAAGCTTGCTCGCCGTGCGTGATGACGTCACGGCTCTCCTTCCGCCGTCGTGACGTCAGCACGCCGCGGGAGAAACGCGTTTGGTGAGGCGCCATGTTGGAAAGGCGAGGGTTAGACGCGGCGGCGACCATGGTGGTTTTTTAAGGTTTATTTTAACGACAAAGCTCCCTCGGCCGCCTGGGGAGGCTCGACAAGACGACAATAACATCGTAAGTGTTTGCTTTTGGAGACGGTGGCTCTCAAGCCGCGTTAGTCGCTGTTGAACGGGACAATAGTGGACCTAGGCCGCAACGCAGTAGGGGCTTCCTTATATCACGCGTGTGTATCTCAAACATCGCTGGATTGTGGGAGAAGCTGCTTACTCTTCGAGTGATGTCGTGCTCTGATGTATTGTGCTTTGTAATGATTATATTTGTAGAGTCCGAGGTGTGTCGTTGAGTCGGGACCGCTTTGTGAAGCTTCCCGCGTTCGGGCCGCTAGTCTAGTGGTACTCGCTGGTGTAGGCCACGCGTGGTAAGGATTTGTAGTTTTATCGTTTAATAACAACAACAAATCTGATTTGTTAAGCCACTGAGTTATTGTTGAATGGCTTATACACGTTATTTAACGTGTAGTGGTTGTGAAAACTGACTTACATCTTCATTGGCTCTGAGAGCGCGTGTGTTGTGTAAGGGTCGTTCGCTGGTATTGTTTGTTGCTTGAGAAATGAAAGTGTTTTTTTTTAGATACCACCTTTATAATCATTACCTTAGCTAAAATGTGTTAACCTAATTGTTTATAAGAATAGTATGGAGTTGTTGAATGCTGAAGACGTTCTCTCCTGTAGTTGCATGGTTACATAAACAAAAGACGTCACGATTTACTTTGGTTGAGCTTGTTTCAATGCTGTACACGAAGTCGGGGCGACGGGTTTGGGAGGCTTTCATCCAGCAGTTGAATTATCGTGACTGATAATACAAACGCATTTAGCGTGTCCTCGGCATTGTGCTGTTTACCATTCTTATTTATTATACGATGACAAACGTGGAATGTGTTCATGCCTGTGTAATCGGACTTGTGTGGGAATACAGTGTGGCCCAAAAGTCAGGACACGATGTTTTATTTATTTTAACAAATCACAGGGTAATACCATTTATTTTAACAAATGTTAAAACTCACTTCCTTGAACACTGATTCATGTAGGACATTTGAAATTAATGTAGGTCTTTTTTAAGACCACATGTGTAATCTTTAAACATTCATCAATTATATTTTGTCTCAATTCATTCAAGGTTCTTGGTCTATCTTTGTAAATGTCATCTCAAAAGAAAGGAGATAAATTAACATCAATAATTATAATAGCTACAATTTTAACTTAAATAATATACAATTAAATGTTTAATACCAGTATTGACTTTTGGGCAACCCTCTGAGCTGCATGGTGCTGTGAATCGCAGGCTGTATCACTTTAACATGTGCACACTGGAGATGAATTCGTTTAATTTAAAAATACTGTTTTTTTTTGTTTGGAAAATCATAACTTGTTACTTTATTTACATTTATTACGCGTAACTGATTGTTCAATACAATCTGAAGATTCTTAAAAATGCAACTCATTGTACCCCTGCAAAAGCTATTCATATAGACCTGTGGCTGGTTGCATAGAACGTAGGTCTGAGACTACCTCTCCCTGCACATATGGAGCAGAAAAAGCAATCTTATGGATTACTATCTCTAACTCCTGAACTCAAACCCTCTCCCCTAACCCTTAATCCCCATCCGAAACCCTAAATACGAATCCCCAAACCCTCACGAAAATTTAAGTAGTATGCTTTCATATTTTATCAACGAAATTCTAAAGCGTGAATTAAATAGGACCACTCATGGGTAAAAACCCAAGGAAGGTCTGTGATAATAAATATATCCTACGGATGAAGAATTATGTGGGGACAGTAGTTACGGTAGAAGATAAATAAGTTGTAACAACATGGCATGGTTGTACACTATGGTACTGATTACATTCTTAGTACAAATTGCATCACATTAATGCCAAATGTGAATGAAAATTGTATACTTTTGGTGTTAATTTTATTTTAAACCGAATATGTATATTGAAGGGGTTTTTTCATGGATACAGGTGTCTTGTGAATCCAATTACTAGTGTGCAAATCAATGGCATAGAGGTACTGCTACGAACCTAGTCACCTGAGTTTGATTCACAGCCATAGCAAACAATGGCAAGTGATATCTTTCCTGACTGGTCCTTGGTCGTTTTCCTTCACCAACCCGCACTTATTAGTAAGGTGAAACAACCTAAGACCAACCCCTGATGGGGAGACCTTCAGCCATTAGTGTATTCACAAATGGATGTAAATTATTATTTCGCTATTACAAAATCATCAAAGCTGAATGACAATGCGTTTGCAGTGAACTCCCACAATTAGTAACCTCAACTCACGTTATGACGTCTTTGTTGTATACTTTAACAATTTTTTATGAAATAGTGACTTACGTAATTGGCGTTGTGTGAGACTTTGTGGACATCTTAATGTACAATTTGTGTACATTAGATTCCTAAAATTTGAAAAGGCATATAATCCATTATTCATCAACGCATTTAAATACTGTGGTTGCAGTGAGATTTTACGTGGTTGAAGATAACTGGGCTTGCTTTGGAGACTGGCTGGCCTTTAAGCCTTTCATTGGGCACCCTGTGAATCTGATGTTCCGTTTTTGTGAGTGTTATCAATATAAAAAAATGTGTTCAATAAGTACATTCATTGGTTTAATACTTGACGTTTTTCTCATAAAATACATCACTGATAAAAAATGTAAACGGTATGGAATGCCTCTAAAAAATGTACTTTGCCTGTTGAAACCACTGGGTAAATGATGTTAGAAATATCATTGATGTTAATTACTTGCATACAGTGCCTGTAGTTAGATGTAAAATATGACCTTCATTTTTTGTTGTTTTGTCTGCTGCTGCAGCCTTCTCATAATGCAGGGATCTCAGTCTTCCCAGTCAGGGAGGCAGCATGGCATCACATCGCCCATCAGCCTGGCAGAGCCACGCGAAGCCGACCGTGTTCTCACACGACACCTCATGAATACTCTTCTGCCATTTGGGGTCTTTGAAGAGGAGGAGGAACTTAACCACCGGTAAAGGAGTAGATTGTGCCTTTGGTTGCATCTTTAATTGAAGGTCCATCTGACTTGTAGCATTGATTGTATCCACCATGACCATGGCTTATCAAGCTCTTCTCGCTTTAAGAATTATGGTCTACTATTCCTTGTTTAACAATCTCTCATTCATACGCACATTAAGCCACTGTGAACACACCTTATGATTCGTTACCATTAAAACTGCAGTGCATCACAGACTGGAGTTTGAGAGATCCTGCCTTGAAGGTTTAGTGCGATGGCTTTTATTGCATTGGTTCTGTACCACCATTTCCCTTAAAATAAATGTTTCGATTACCAACGTAATTTACTCACTCTTTCATTGTCTTGGATGTAAAAACTTGAATAATATTTGTTTCTTATTCAATGTCAAAGCAAAATTTGTATAGACAATTCATGATTGTAATTTTTTCCATTAGTTATATCCTGTTCATTTGCAATGCATACAATTGTGTAAGAAGTTCCCTTCCAGAACAAAAATAAAATTGTAAAATGTGCCGTCTTCATTACATGGCACCATCACTTCTCCCTCCCTTAACCCCCAGTAACTATATTACTCATTGCAAATTAACAAAAAGTTAAAAGGTGGTCAAAGTTAAGCTTTATACTGAACATTTATTTCCTTGTGTGGAAGTTCAGTGACAATAGATGTTCTTACCGTCCATAAACTTTACTTGATGTTATTACGTGGAGCTAGACGCAGGTCGAGTGCTGTTAAATGCAAATCATGCAGTGTTGCGGAAACTTTGGCTAGTACACCAATGCCCATTGTGAAAGTCTACCTGCTTTCGTGTCTTGTGATTATTATTTGCTTTATTTATTGAAGGACAGTACATTTGTCACAGATTGTTGGATAGACAGGCATTATTAGACCATCTTTCGTATGGCATTGCAAAAAGCAACAGTTTTAATTTTTCCTTAATGATCGTCATAAATGAACACAAAGGTTCCTCATACAGTCCAATGATGTGGTTGACGCAGTGTGGATTTCAGCGATACCGCCAGAATGTGCATGGATGGAGCATTCATCGGTGATGTGGTTGATGGTTTGGACTTCTCCACGGTCGCTGTTGGGCGATTCTTTGATCTTCTATTTATGGAACGTGTACGCGCATCTGCCCTGTTGTGTTTGAGTGCGGTTCAGCGTGGTCCGTCCTCCTGGAAGAGACCATTATTTATATATTATTTCTTATTTATATATTATTGATATATTATATATTATTATTTCTATTATTTTTATTACTTATTTTTACCTACGTGACTTTACCGAAAAAACCTAAATATTATTGATATAGTCTGGAATATGATTAATATCATGATGGAATATGATTAATATGATTATAAAGCCTTATAAAAAACATTTATTTTGTCTGACCCTTGACCATTGCATATATTGCGATGCAACGTCCATTGTCCCAGGAAAGAACTGCTATGAAACTTTCAAGTGGGATCAGTGTATAAGCCTGTGTTTGGATTTTACATTTTCTTCAAGATTGTTAACTATTAGACGTGTGTTTTTACAGGATGGTTGTCTTGGGAAAATTAAATAACTTGGCAAAAGCATGGGTCCGAGAAGTTGGTGAAAGCAAGGTAAGCTACAATATTAAGACAATTGTAATAAAACAAAATCATCACATTAGTTGCAATTTTACAAGTTGGTGCAAGTTAGGGTGCAGTTTAAGCCAATGCACTGATATGATGATGTTTTTTTCTTCTGCAGAATCTTCCACCAGCAATTTTGGAGAATGGTGGGGGTAAAATATTTACGTTTGGGTCCTATCGGCTGGGAGTTCACACAAAAGGTAATTGTTGTTCCCGTCTTCTTTGAAGCTTCATTATAATTGTATTGAAAGGAAAGATGCCATCCACTTTTTCCAAAAATGAGGAAAATGTATGCAATTATTTTTGACCTAGTCTGTGTCAAATATTGACCTCACTCAACAATTAAGAGTAACCTATGTTGTAAGTAAAAGCCATCTTGTTCAAGAATGGTTATTGATTCATATCAATAAACAAAGTGACGTAGCACATCTATAATTATAACCCGTCGCTGATGTATTTATAGGTGCCGACATTGACGCTCTGTGTGTTTCGCCGCGACACGTGGAACGTATCGACTTCTTCTCGACTTTCATCGAGATGTTAAAGAATCAGGAGGGAGTAAAAGACCTCCGGGTGAGAACTTTTGCAGCACCTCACAAGTTTCTTTTTCTCATTGGGGAATACATACATTTTCCTGTATTGAATGCATTTAATGGCAACTGTTAGTCTGGTCGATCAGGTGTACAGTACGAATCCATTCCTCCAGCTGCACCCTCAAGCACACACCATGCTGTTCCTCTCTTCATTTAAGATCACCTCTTTTCATTCACAACACAAATGTCTTGATCTGGATTTCTCTCATCATGAATTGTTCAGCATGAATGTTTAGTGTCAACACAACTGCAGTTGAGTCATTTTGGTACAAGTGACATATGAGTCACCCATTGTAGTTTTTTTCAAATGGAAGTGGTGGGCCTTGTTAATATCTCACAACCCTTTAGCTTCACAGCTGTGTTAGCCTGCTAGTACCTGTGGCAGAGTGTCAAAGAGAATCCCAAATTACCGTATTTTCACGCATATACCCCACATGCATTCATACCTTTAACGTCGTTACCGCAGCTTAATTCCATCATATTAATACGAAGTTTACATTTGTAATACATTCCACTATCAATTGTTAACATTAAAATCATAATGTGCACAAAGAAAGCATACTAACCGGAAACGAGTGAACTTAAAACCGTAAATAAGTAACAAAAGTAAATATCCAATAAAAAGGTAACACATAACTGGTAGATAAGTACAGTTTTAGCACTGGTAGATTGCGCACTGTGCAGATAATAGCGGCACTACGGTAACTCCGTCGCCTCGCCCCCAACCCCCCACCTCTTTCCCAGCTCTCCCATCGCCGGTAAACAAAGTGCGCCCACTTCAAACATTGTCGTTTCATTGTACAAACAATTGGAATCATTTAAAACGTGATAACATGTGCAATTTTAGTGTGAGTGGTTTATTCAGCAGTGCTATAGTCAAAGGAAAGTGTTGCATAGTGGATAGTCCCACCATGAAAACATTAAACGAGTTGACATGTCACACGTGTAAAATATTTTTGTGATATCCCGCAGCTCCATAAACCCCGCAGGGTCTTGTTTTGTTTGTAAAAAGTGGTTTACCCCGCGGGTTCTATGCGGGAAAATACGGTATATCACTATATTGATGTTCTTAAATGTAGTTCATGACTTCCGATGAGTTTTGAACAACATGTGATTATTTTGCCAGTTGTGTTGGCCCAAGCCTATAAGATACTCAGTCAGAAAATCACGTAGATGTTTGGTCTCTTCATAGTGCAGGTTTGCTTCCAATATGGACGCAGTGAAACTAATTTATGACCTTTTATCCTACAGTCTGTGGAGGATGCCTTTGTACCTGTCATCAAGCTTACGTTTGACCACATTGAGGTAAGAAATGAAAATCCACCGTGTTTTTAGTTGCACAAAGTGATAAGTAGCAGAAGATAAATATTTAATACAAGTTTTATTCCTCAGAAACACACTAAACCTCTGCCATATAACTTTTGTACATATTTGCGCGGACAGATTTTACTGCATGGAAAATAATCATTGCATAGTTTAATTACTTTTCATTGTGGGATGCTGCAAGACAACATTTTGGTACTGTCCTTGTTGCAGCATATGCTGGATGATGTTCAAATGCATTTCCGGCTTAACATAGCTTTGGAATTCAGCACAGTTATTTGTAACGGCCTTCACCCCAACAGTATGAAAACGTTATTTAAGCCGTTCAATGCAGTGAGAAGTAGTTTTGTGCCATCCTGGCTGTGTGCCGACTCTTTCTCATTGTTTAATTTCGTGCATCTGTTGTACGCCATCACTATCGCTTGTCTCACCTCGCCCCCCAAACACCTAGATCGACGTGTTGTTCGCACGGCTGGCTCTGCAGGTGATCCCCGATAACCTAAACCTCCGTGACAACGCACTACTCAAAAACCTCGACATCCGATGCATCCGCAGCCTCAATGGTAACGTGTGGCAGCAGTGAGCTGCAGTCTTGTTGGAGTGTAACAGGCTGCTTTGTTCAGTTTCTGTTTTACACCCAGAAATTTCTTGTTGTTGCCCAGTGTGTCTTGTGCTTACGTTGATTCATTTTAAGGTGTTTTTAATGTGGTTTTATATGTTTGGTTGTGAAAAAACGCATTGCATTTATTAAATGTCTGCTGTTAAATTATTTGATTGAAAATGTAGATAGAGTAGTTTGTGACATAACCGAATAAACTTCTTTGGAACAGATTTTTGATATGCTATGTACCTAAATAATGGCATTCGCAGTGGTACAATTCCATTGAGATCACTGACTTGGGCACAATAGTAACATTCGCGTTCCAGCCATTGAGCAGGCGTGTATTTTCCTCGGAGAAAGTGAATCCTGCATTTATAACCATGTTATTCTCTTGTAGGCTGCCGCGTGACGGATGAAATTTTGCACCTCGTGCCCAACGTGGAACACTTCCGCATGACGCTGCGCGCCATCAAGCTCTGGGCAAAACGTGAGTGTCGTATTTCAACATGTCACTTGTATAATCAGCTTTATAGTCATTATTTCGCACCTCCGATTAGCACGGTTGGCTACGTAAGGTGCGAAAGAAGTTCAACAGACATACGTTATAGTTCATCAATGCTGTGGCTTCTTAGTCTAATTTGTAGATGCCGCAGCTACCGTGTGATGGCCGTTAGTACATACGGTGGGACTTATTTTCGCCGACGCAGCAAGTTCACTGCTCAGGTGTATAACCCTCACCAACAGTAACAGAGAGCATGCCAAGGGTGAGAGGCAAAGCTTTTACTCTTGCCCGACCGAGAGCTCTGACAAACCCCTACTGGTGTTTACACACAGCGATCCAACTTGTCTCGGGTACACTGCCATGATCTTGATGCACGTTTGAGTACACAGTGTTCCCGGTCAATGTTGACTGAATCCGTTTTAAATAACTCTCCCGACTTGCTAAAAACACACTATGAAAGGTGACAACGTAATGTTATCACAAAATGCTATTACACTTCAAGTTTCGAACAAGGAGTAACTTTTTTTATAATAAAAGAAGTGGCTAGTGATGCCAGGTAGCATTGATACCACCACATTTCATCATTGCTTCCTTCTGTTAGATCTCTTAGCTCTTTTGCACTGTCAACACATGACCTTCAAGGTTTTCCCTTACAGTATCCCACTACCTAACTGCAATGCCTGTCTTAATAAACTGTTCTCCACCCTGTACACTTGCCCCACCCATACCAATCTTCTTTTCCTGATTACATATTTAACACTTAACACATCCTACAATGAAATTCCTAGTATCCCGTGCATCCACCAACGTTTGCACATGTTTAACGACGCTGTGGTGACATACGTTGGCGTGTGCGCATTATCCTGCCCGATGTTGCCCAGGCCGTGGGATCTACTCGAATATGCTGGGCTTCCTGGGTGGCGTGTCGTGGGCAATGCTTGTGGCACGAACCTGCCAGCTCTACCCCAACGCCATCGCCTCCACCCTCGTGCACAAGTTCTTCCTTGTCTTCTCCAAGTGGTGAGTGGCAGCTGCATTCGTCCGCTCATTCGCTAATTCATTTATTCAATACATATGCCTTCTGTAAACCAGCTGACAGTGCGATGTTGAAAGTGAGTAATTTATTATAGTAAACTTGATTAGGTGCAGTAATTTGTTGCCTCGCAAGGTTTTCTTGAATTTAATTAATAGCCTAAGAGCTAGGTGAGTGCGTGGACGCCAGGTCCCTTGTGCAAAGGAGACCCACTTGTAAGTACAGGATAAATATTATCACGTAGAAAATCAATCGAGAGAACACAACAATGTAAATAGAACAAGGCAATAAAATTCAAAGTGCCTTTCTTGGGCCGATGGTGTCAATTCCACATTACCGTAATGGTTGAAGCCTCTCCATGGGATGACTGCTGTTGACTTCCCCACTTTGCGGTGTAGTAGGACTATAGTACAAACAAGCAAAGCATGAAAACCAAATAATGTTTACATTCATGTGATACCATTGTCTCCAATGAAATACAAATGTTCAGCTGTGATGATGTAAATTCCTGTGTTTCTGCAGGGAGTGGCCTAAGCCTGTCCTTCTCAAACAGCCCGAGGAATGCAACCTCAACCTGCCTGTGTGGGACCCACGGGTAAGCACTGCTTGTCACAGCTCAGAGGTCAGATGTCCTGTCATGTTTGCTTGTTGTGTTCCACATTCAATCAACTTGGCTGTCTCTCCATCACTGGTTTTGTAATTATAATTCATCTTGTATTCCTGCACATGCATGTATGTTTAGCATGATATATTTTTTGTATGAGTTGGTCGTTATATCATTGTGTTATTTTTTTTTTGCAAGGAGTTACTCTGTTTATTGACCCTTCCATGATTTTTTTCCCATTTCTGACAGACCATTCATTTCATTACACTGGCAGCTTATATGTCATCATCTGCTGATCAGCCTTTAACACATTTGTTTGGCCACCTTGATTCTTGTTCACCCAGGTGAACCCAACAGACAGGTACCACGTGATGCCCATCATCACACCTGCGTACCCTCACCAGAACTCCACCTACAACGTCACCATGTCCACACGCACCGTCATGGTGGAGGAGTTCAAGCAAGGTGGGCAACAGGGTGCTCGTGGGAACGACGATTACCTCTCCTGTTGTAACTTCTGCGGGTGACTCGGTTGTAGTTGTGTAAATGGTTTCACCACTGTTATTCAATCGACAAGTCCCACCTCTTCTAAGATGTCTGGCCAGTGTTGAAGAGTCGACCAACTACCCTCTGAAGCTCCCAATAATGGGGAGGCCCTTCCACCGGCTGTGGCGTGAGTGGGAAATTGCAGGGCTGCACCTTCACCTTTTCATGTCATTTTGCAGGACTCGCCATCACCGATGAAATTCTGATGGGCAAAGCGGAATGGAGTAAGCTGTTTGAGTCGCCAAACTTTTTTCTCAAGTACAAGTAAGTTTCAAATGTGTAAAACGTTTCAAGGGGCATCTTCCTGAAATACATTTGTATTTTTTAACAGGTTAATTTAAACCTCCTTTGTGTCAGGGTTTGTTTCTCGAAAGTTGATTGTCTAAACCTGGCCACAATTAACTGCACTATAATGATCTTATATAACTTGGTGTTTTACTTGAATTAGGCTTTGGACATGAACATGTGTAAACATTAGAAAGTTTATCAGAGCATGCAGGAATAGCTTCTGGTGTTGGATAAGAAAGGCCTATTGAAGCGACTCCAGAAGTAGTTCTGTGGTGTCATTTTCCAGGGCCCTTTCCTGAGGTGATACAAGGTTCTCTTGACTGAAGGAGTCCTTGAAGTATGTCTATTTACCTCCTAGCATGGCTCCATTAGCACTATCAAGATATAGTTATAGAAATACAAAAAGTGTGTTTTTCTAAAACATCTTGGATCTTTTACCATGATTAAAAGTTTTCATTATCTTGTAGGCATTACATCGTACTGACGGCAAGTGCACTCACGGAAGAACAGCACCTCGAGTGGTAAGTCCTGGATACAGTTCGGTCTGTTCATACACAAACCTTTTGAATGAATACTGCCTTATAAACGAAAATATATAAATACTAGTTTGTTTTGATGACAGGCAGCCATTCTATCATCCTCTACGATGTCTTGTCAACAGTCAAATTGATCTGACATTAAATACCAATAATGGTTATTGTAGGGGGTAATTAAATTAATATTGCCTTTTTAAAATTTTAAAGTTTGAACGCATGAAATGAAGTGCGTGAAATTGTTTACATAATAGACATTAACAAATAGTAATGATTATATTGTTTATGTTGTTAAAGGCCTAAGGACATAGCGCCTGTATCTCTATCAGTGATATTGTAGCTAAAATAGGTTTTAATCGTCACAAGCTGGTAATGCAACTAATGAAATCGTGACACTGCTGCTAACTTGACCGTCTGTCAGGGTGGGACTCGTGGAGTCGAAGATCCGCATCCTCGTTGGAAACCTTGAGCGCAACGAGTACATCACTCTGGCTCACATCAACCCGCAGTCCTACCCCGGCCCCAAGGACAACCCGGACAAGTAAGCGGCGTGCTGAGCTCCCCTTCCCTCTCTCGGCAAACCCTGCACACTGATTTACAGCAAGTGCCGAGTCTGCTTCGCAGTGCAGTACAACGTGGGTTTATAGTCTCACTGGTAGCAGCGAAGAAAAGTGGTGAAAACACTGCGCAATGAACCTGGTTATCCGAGTTTGTTTTATGGCCACAACCAAGTGATGAGTGATATCTAAACCGATCCAGCCTCCACCAAGCAATATGGTGAATTATGGGCAAACAATGTCCATTACCAACGTAAAATTAGGAGGCCTCCATCCAGAAGTGGATTAAAATAGGACGAAATTTGTTTTATGGCACCACAACTTCAAACTATTGAAGCTGCCTAGAAGATACAAATCTTCTCTGCAGTTTCCTTGGAATATGCTTTCCTATAACATTTCTAGCATCCCAGCAGAAGTTTTTTTTAACAATCTGACTGCTGATGAGACCATGAAGGTTGAAACTGATCTAGTTCTCACTTTAAACACTACAAACATTGAAGGTGTAGGCAGCCAGGTTGAGAAGTTCTTCCGATTGGCAGGTTCTTCATGATTTGTATCTAAAACTACATGATTGTGCAAAGTTGTAACGATTTGTATTTTTTTTAGTTTTGTGCTCGCACACAATCTTAAAAGCAAGGATGCTCATCTTCATGAAACATTTTAGATATTTTCTCTTTTTGGTATTTCAGCTGTTGATGTCTATAACTTTGTTTTCAACAGGCAAGGCGTGACAACGGTTTGGTTCATCGGGATCATCTTCAAAAAGTTGGAGAACCCGGAGAATGTGAATGTGGACCTGACGCTAGACATCCAGTCATTCACCGACACGGGTGAGTGCTCACCCACGGCCCTGGTCTCTTCTTTGAAGTGGTTGAGGTCGATGATTACTGTAGAACGGACATTGCATGAACCGTGGCTCTGCGTGCTGCAGTTTACAGGCAAGCTGCACACATCAGCATGCTCAAAGAGGGCATGCAGATCGAGGCCATCCATGTCAAGAAAAAGCAGCTCAGCCAGTTTCTGCCCGGTGATGTTCTTCAGAAAAAGAAAAAGGTACCTGCTGAACATCAAGGATTCATTCGTAACTGGTTTCATTCACATGATCCGTAGCATACAGCACAGCATAATTTCATTGATTTGTGTACTTTTTTAAAGCCAGGTCAGAGCCCATTTCAATTAACCATCACCTTTTCAAGGATGACCTGGTTAAATCAAAGGAAAAACAGTAAACACTTGCTTAAAATGTAAATTGCAACATTGTAAAAAATACAAAAATGTAGCATTAATAACAAACATTAACATTCAACTAGAGCTTAAGCTTGTATTTATATACATTTTAAGTGATGTATCTGATATCGTTTAACCCCACATTCATTCAGAATCAGAGTATTTGTTTTATTTATCCTGGAGAAATACAATGAGCTATGAAGCTCTTTTTCACAGATGTCCAGTAGGTCAGAGTTCATATTGCTATGTCAAAGTTCATGTTGAACTTGCATATTTTCGAAACCCTGACTAAGTTTCCTATTTTCCAGCTTAACCACGAATAAATATGGTCATGTTTGCTAGTTTGTTCACCTTCCCCAGACATTTCACTTGTCACTCGTCCCAGCATTAACGTTGTCACTGGCCACGGGGGGAGGGGGGGCGGGGGCCACTCTACATGAGCTCTGACAAGGACGTTCATGATTAGCCCACCGACGGTTCGGCTTGCGCTTTGGCAGGAGAACGGGCGAAGTGGCTCGGCGCGCACCTCCCTGAACAGCAGCAGCGTGCTCGACTCGTCGAGGGACTCCGACTGCAGCTTCTCGTCGCCCACCATCATCCGTGTCCTCAACTCGGACAGCAACCAGCCATCCTCTCCGTGCGTAGGCGCTGCTGATTCTGATGCTGCTGCTGCTAAGTGGAGCCGCATGCGTAGACATTTGTGGAGCCGCATGTTTAGCGGTCGGCACACAAGGAGCACTTGCTGTTATGTTTTGGTGAACGCTATGGTCCCCGTTGTAGATTTGATCTCTTTTGCTGTAGTTCATGGCAGGGCAAAGTAGCTGTACATGACAATACTTAATATTAATGTAGTCAGTCTCCCTGTGGCTCAACAGCCCAAGCTGTAGTTACTATGTAAAATATTGGTTGATGTGTTAGCAGACAACACTTGTCGGTAATTGTTATCGCATAAAAAATGTTAATAAGATTTTTTAAATCTCAGTCTTGTTGGCTGCCATTTGACAAAGACGAATGCCGTTACACTGAAGTGTGAGTGTTAATCTACCTAAACTATTTAATACAGTTTGTTTGTACAGTAATAATTCGCTTTATGTTGGGGATGCGTTCCTGAAAAGAGCGACCAATATCGAACCGACGTCAATCAGCGCAATTTTTCCAAAAGAGCTAAACGACAACGGATTGCATGGTGAAGCTTTGTGTTAATGCGTGCATCTTCATCCTAGACATACCCACAGCTGTATTCCACATTAATGTACAACAGTAAGCTTTATGATTAATCATCCAGAGTACAATAAGATGCAGTCCACTATAAAAAAACACACAAATACAGTACACAAATACGGTACATAAATACTATATTGCACTCGTCAGTATAGTACATTTCTTTATGCTCGACACAAAGTAGTTCTTGACCAGGGTTGGTGGAGGCAAAGGCTGAGGTAATGGATACAAGAAAGAACGGATGCTGTCAGAGACATAAGTGTGGGTTAAGGCAACAGAAATCAGGTAGTGGTATTCATAAAGCGACGACGAAAAAGGATGAGACGTAAATCGGGGTATTGTTGTAGAAAGGGGCAGGCAAAGGCCAAAGTTGTGATTGGACACCCGGTAAAGCACCGCTAACGTTGATGTCTTTCCCCGTTCACACCGACGCGTGCCTCTCCTCCCCAACCCTCGCCCTTCACCCCCCTATCCGATCTGTCTTCCTTCCCGTCCCAATCCCCCTCCCGCCCCCCATCACCCCGATTCCCCGTGGCCCCCCACAGGGTGACCGGTGAGAATGGCAGTGTCTCCAGTCCTTCGGCGTCGCCCCCCGTGGCGGCCGACGACAAGTCGCCCTCGCCTCGGACGCCGTCGCCAGAAAACCCCAGCATGCCCGTTGCCGGCAATGCCATCCCGGTTATCTCCACCAGTAAGCTTGCACATCACGGCAGTTAAAACCTGCGCCAAAATGTCCTAATTCTCTGGCAGTTTTAGTCTAGCGTGTGGCAATATGTTCAGGAGTTAAATGATCATGTCGACAGCGACTGGCCCTCGACCGGAGGGCTTCAGGAGAGAGGTCCACGAGTTTTGCTGTTCATCCTCCATTGAAGGGGGCGCAGGCTACAGTGGTATGATAGTGCTCTTTCACGATCATACATTTATGGTTTCACATTGTGGCTCATATTTCTGTTTTATGCACGATTAGTTTTCATTTTGTAAAATTGCAGCTGGGCTGTATTTATGTATGTTGAACTTTCACACCGTACAGAGCCAACTGTGCTAATCGGCGGTGCGGGGGAAGGACAACAAACTAAACCCAAATAATTTCTACAGAATTTTTTTAAAATATAGATTTAAGCTTCATCGATGGAAATGTTTACTTTGAAAGCAGTCACGTGCTCCATCCTCATGTTCTAATGACATCATTGCATTGCCATCAAGGCACAAACTGACTATTTCATGCCACTTGATCAGTATCTGATAAATGTGTAAAAAGTAGATTTTGCAGACAGGAGACGGAACAACTTGCTGTTTTTGGCTTGATGTTCATGCAAGACATATACATCGTATGTTGTACAATTTTTGCATTGTTAATTTGAGAATATTAATTAATTTGTATATTATTTGAGCTACATTTTTGTTATCTTCGTACGGGAGAAATAATTGTATTTGTTTTTAGTGTCGCATCGTCTTAAAGCAGACGAATTCTGATTCTGAGATTCTTCCGCCTTCCCCCAGGGTTTGTGCGTGTACTCCCCCCCCATCACCCCTCCCTTCAAGTGTTACGGTTGAGTTACCGTGCCACGTTTGCGCTCGCAGGGCCTCTCCACGCTGCCTCCGTCCCGTCGGGGACGGTCGTACGGGTGGTGACGCCCACGCGGCTCGTGAACACGCCGCCGCCGGCCACCGGCGCCGCCGCCACTGCCGGACATCCCACACCGCCGCAGGGAGTCAAGCGGCCACAGTCGCCCGGAAGCAAGACGTCGCCACCTAAGCGGCACAAGAGCCCCCCGAGCGAGGCTGCCCCGGCTGGCGACTCGGATATGGACACTGACTCCGTGAGCCTCTCTCACCATCATCGGACATTTACTCTGGTCAATGACGACCTCCGCTGGAAAATAAGAAACAGAGGTGGCCGCTTGCCAAAGGAGCCTCATTATGGCCGTTATGGAACGATGAGCCGATACCGCTGAGGGCCTAGGTTTGCTATGGGATTTAGCCACGCGCAACTTAAACAACCTAATTTATTCTTATGGGTTTTTTGTGCAGTCATTGTCAGCTTGGCTGAGACCAGCAGCTGTGTCTACACTTGAATTTGTAACCCGAAGGACATTTCTTTTTGTGTTTACAAGTATACCTATGTTGCTTGTACTGGGTTATCCAACGTGAGTTTGAAGCATTGTTCATCGGAAAATTAGACTTTCAACTTAACAAAGCAAACCAGAATAGGAGTATTGTGACATAACCATGTACTTTTAATACATCAGTGCAATGACATCACTAAAGTGCTGTGGTGTTTTTTTTAAGTCTTTGTTTTCCCGTCTCATGAACGAAGCTTCACACTTGGGTAAAATAGCCTGGGACAGCTTCGGTGAGTAACTACAAATAATAACCTCTGCTTTTCATGTTGCATATTATTTTTAAATGTGTTCCCAGTTGTTGAGTCATTGGTGAACAGTCTCCACCTGTTCACAAATAGCTGCACAAAATTCCCATTGTGTTCAATTTCAACTTACAATTCATCGTATACTACCTCTAAGATTATTTGTAGTGTGGCCATGTAATTACATGGGTTTGATGCGGGTTCTCTGGTTTTCTTACATTTTTACACTGCACCAATGAGGTAACATGGTAACACTTGCCCATGCAGCACCCTCCTGAAAGTCTGACACTCTCGTTGAGGCTTTCATGATAAAGGACTTGTAGGTTATAAAAGAAAATATCGATATACAAAATGTGTATTTTTTTGCATCGAATGTTTTGCTTTGGGCTGATTTATTTTTCTGCACGTTTTATTGGGATTTTTTGCTTCATTTGTTAATAAACATTTTTCACTGCATTCCTGTTTTATTCCATGAAACTCGTAATGGGATTTTACCTGTACAAAATAAAGATTGATTTTACTTACAAGTGAGAGTTCATTGAAATTCGTTTGTAAATATTGCAAGAAAGACCTAATAATATAAATGAGAGTATTTTGTGTATTACAAACGTCCCAGTGAGATGCCGTGCTTTGTTGGTCTGGATATTTCATTTTGGGCAAAACTGGTTTTTCAAGTGTGTTAAGCACATTCCATTACTTCGAAGCCAGTTGTGGTGTGCACGCCTGTAATCCAGCACATTGGAAAATCGAGGATTGGTGGATCATGCAGTTGTGTGAGACTCCCCAAACCCACTGGGATACCAAGTGGCCAGGAGATGGCAGTACAGAAAATGGGTTCGTGAGTTTACTCCGGGTACTCCGGTTTCATCCTGCACGCAAAACACTTCTAACAAAAATTCGTCAAACATTCCAACACGGGAACCAGCTGAAAGAGTCTTGAGGCTCGATGAGACTTTCTGGCTTGCATAAATAAATGACATTTCCTTGCGGTGTTAACTAGGGTAACGAGAGTACCTGTGTCTTTGTCATTGCGCAGCAGCCACTGAAAAACAGTGACACAGGCAACGCTGTCACGAAAACTGGCGCATCTGAGGACAGCGACATTCTGGTATGATCTTCCGCAAACACAACAGCAAGGCTTTTCCTAAATGGCACTGACACGTTTCATCCGTGGCCATGGAACATTTGAATTTTTTTTTATTTAAACCAGGGCAGACCCAATTTCCCCGTGCACCCATGTCTAGATTAATTAATATGGATTGTTATTGTAAAAAAGTCGGCAGTTAATTTGCATTCTTGATATGAGCACGCTGGGAAATTCTGTATAGATAATCTGCAGTGTTTTGGGGATTTGAAAGTTTTGTACTACAAGTGGAAATTCTGTACATTAGATGTGAATGTGTTTAAAGTGGCTTGTGTAAACAAGAGCTCGTTGCCAGATCCTAATAAAAAATAATACTTGCTCGACATGTCTTCAGTTTCCACGGAAAGCTCCAGAAAATAATTCAAAGTTGGGGACTGCACTTTGTCGAAATTATTGTGGAAGCTCTGCAGATAACAAACTCGTGGATCCTGGATGGCAAATAGCCGTTTTTACACATTGTTTCAAAGGTTCCAATGCTGGCAACCAGCTCCTGATTGCATTTTGATACATTTGCCTAGAGCAGTTCATGCCGCGCAGAGTACTGTTTACACATACAATACGTAAGAGAAAATACTTCTCAGGGACATGTGTAAGAGTTAATGTTACTGTTCTAGTGATACTGGAGATGTGTTTAGATGTTTTTTAACGTTTTAGTGGACCCCATTCTACATTGTTCTGCTTTTTTTTTAACCCTAATAAAATGTTTGTTAATGTACGCTTAAGTCGTATGATCTCTTGAATTTTATAAACTCATTCAAAGTATCGACTCAAGCTGTCAACCTCATTCTCTGAAGCAGTAATTGGTGTCTGCACACACAGCACTACCCATGTGTTGCATACATTTCATCTGACTGAAACTAAGTAAAGTGTTCAGCCTATTCCTGTAGTTGTGACAAACAATCCCAGTTTGCCTCACTTGTATAAACGTGCTCTGTCAGCCTTTTACAGACATTGTACTGCACTGTACATTACAAGTGAGGTTTTCACTGCAATACATAATCATGAGAGGCTTTCCTTTTACAGTTCTATACCTGCAGGTGGGGTTTTTGTTTTCAAACAGTTGCCCATTGAATTCCACAGCAACCCATCGAGTTCGATTAATTATCCTTTCGTTCAACAACTACCCATCCCCTCCCACTGGCCCAGAATTAAATTGTTGCAAAGCATTGCCGTGATTAGATAAAAAATATATATTGTCTTATTTTTATTTTGGGATTCGATACATATCAAATCGTACAAGAAAATATTGAGTTGTAGCTATCATGTGATCCTCACCGTAACATTTAACCGCATCTCAAATCATACATCGATGCGGTACGCGGGAGATGTGCAAGTGGTTTATAGAGAACTGGTCAAGCAATTGCAGAACTCTGTGTGCAGTTACTGGATGGGAGGTGCAGCTGCTTGTTCATCCTCTTTTGGCCAGAGCTTGTAGGTTGACCAGGGGCATCAACAACCTGACAATGAGAGCCACTGGTAGGGCAACATGGTGCCCCTGGCTGTACATTTTGAGCTCTGGCAAGCATGGAAGCTGAGGTGCTGCGCTTAATCCTTGCCTGCCGTCCCGTGAGCAGGAACTTCAGGAGGAGACGACGCCTATACAAACAACCGACGTGCAAACGGAAACGCAGGTGGGCTTCTCGCACCCTCCAGCGCACACACCATCAGCATCCCTTGAAACGTACTGTACATTATAAGACGATCCAAAAAACAAATAGGTTCCATATTGCAAATGCACACCTAATCTGTGTCCCAGTCCGTCTGACACGCGTGACACTTTGTTAATGTGTAACAAATGAAGTTTGGAGTCCAGTGTGTCATTATGGTACTCGAGCAATATTACCGATTTATTTTTATAACGGCATCTCTTGAGCGCTATGACAGTGCCTGACCCTGGTTTTAAAAGCTCTGTTGTTGGGAAACCTTCAAATGTATGCTCAAGTGTGGGTGAGTGGTGACATCCAGTGTGTATATTTGTTATAATTGGGGAGAAAAACCTCATGCCTAGAGATTGTCAACCCACGCGTGTGAACATTTGCACGTGTCCACGTGTTTTGGAGAATGGAATTTGTACAGACATTGGTGTGGTTTTAATAACCGCACCTCTTTCACAATTTGTTATTGCTGTTCACATGCTGCCATGTGGAAAAAAACTATATTTCTGTAGGTCGCCTTATTTTTATCACGATTCATGATACATTATTGCACATTTTGACGACTGAATACTGGCCTTGATCACATCCTAAATGGGTCACTTTGCTTGAAAGTTATACCAAGTGCCTTTTGAGACCCGCAGAAGCATATTTAGTGTCATGAATCCAATGACCACCTGGTGCATTTATGTTGGCAGAAACAGGCCAGCAACGAGCTGTCTGATGGCTCCGCGCCAGTTCCTACCGCCGTGAAGGTTGTAAAAAACTCCATCCGTCTCAAGCTCAACCGGTAGAGGCAGGTAACGCTGCCCCTTCTCGTGTGCCCTGCCAAAAGTACTCGCTGCACCAGTCGCCCTTCCTGGAGGGCGGTGTTGCTATCATTACTTCTTTTTTTCAAAAACATTTTTAGAATTTGTTCCTTCGTTGCGTATTGTCACGTTCTTCGGAAATGCTGGAAGCCACAGGAAACATGAAAATGGCGCAACATAAAGAGCTGCTGGAATCATTTCAGAACTTTTATTTTTATCCGGGTCTTTTTTTTTAGCTTCCACTTTTTCTTCTCCGGCGGCGGTGGTAAGAAAGCCTCGTGCACATGAGAATGTTGGCCGAACTAAGAAGGAACATTTCTGCTAAAAATGTTGATACGTAAAAAGTTCGTGATTATTTAATATTCTTTCCTGTTCTTATTTGAACACGAGAGGCTTGTGTTGGGAGTGAGCAAGTGAGCAAACTTGTTTTTTTAGGCGGAACGGATTAAGGGGTGTCAGGGGTGCAGGGTGGATTTGGTTGGACAGAGCAAGGTTTTATTTCTCATGGAATGAGACCCAACAAAAATCTAAAAAAACATTTGGGGAGGTCATATGACCCCATCCATCTCTCCCGTCTCCCATCATGACACCAAGCTCCCCCACCATTTAAATTCTTTACTGGTTTTTATGTTGTTGACTTATCTTGAATTTGCCATTGATCGAGCCACATTTTCGCAAACAATTGTTTTCTTGTTCTCAATAACTACATACGTGCAGCATATCATTTTCTTTTTTTTTAAATTTGCCTTTGGTTTTGCTTACAAAGACTCAAAAATGAAAAATCCTACCCATTAACAGTTTGAGACAACAATGTTATCCCCACTTTTAAATGTCCCGATAAAAAGACTAGAAGCCACTTTTGTAATGCATACTACTGTGCAATTTATTAAGGAAAACATTCAAAAGCATTGAATCTAAATGCCCTCAAAAGGGCTCGTGTTCATAGTTCCAGTAAAACAGTTTTCAGTAAATTTCACCATGAATTCTAATGTTTGACGTGAGCGGCGTGGGATGTGGATGAATACACACAGTGGCATTATTTGATGCTTGAAAGGGTGCATGCTTTTGTGTGTGTATATGTGGACAATTATTTTTTCCTCATTTTCTCCCTTTTTATCATTCATTAGAGCAAAGAATATATTTTTTCCATTCATTTTAATGTTCATTGCTGCTTATGCTGCTAGACTGGATCGATCTGGCCACGTTGATGCTTGCCAATCTGCCTCGGCCGAAATTAACTTCTGTGAAACACTGGCGGGTCCTTGGAAGAGGGCACGTCTTGATTTCCTCTGCTTTGTCTCACTTATTCTATCAGGATGGCCGAATGCAATTGTTGGAATGCACAGTTGGCTGTGTCTTGCAGTTCCATGAACTGTTACAGTGGCTCTCCAAAACTAGCCGCGTCTTCTCCAAAGGAATGGGAATTTCATTGGAGTTGGCGCATTCGTGTAAAAATGTTTACTCTTTTTACAAGAAATCACTTCTGCATTTGAAAATAAATGTGTATTCAGTGTGTCCATATTCACAGTGTTTCCTATTCTGAAGGGAACTATTTGTCATGAGTGTAACATTCGTTTTACCACTACTCTTGATCAGATTTGATTTTACCTCTCAGTCATTCACTCACTGCTAGAGTTCCCATCTGGCTAATTTCATTGCGTGTTCCATGGCCGCACAGGGAGTGGATATTGATGATAAGCTCCGTTCACACTTGTGTGTACTAAGATGACTTGTAAACTTATTTGGAACCATTGGAAAGATCCATTGTTTGGAGCATTTATGCAATATTTTTGCGATCTGGTCATCCTTAGAATCCATTTATGCCCTTCGAATTATAGTGTGAACAAAGCTTGATGCATCATATTCCGCCATGCCTGGCTTCATTAAAGCTTCCGTAATATAAAATAAAAAGCATTGTAAAATATCCTTTTTTTGGGGAGTTGAGTGTATGAACTTTTTATTCAGCAGTTCCATTTAGAGCTGGAAATAAAGAAATCACTTTTCACTTGCATGCAGCATTGCAGTCGTGGTATAACCATGAAAACACCGTTTTATGTTTCCGCCATCTGGCGTTGAACAATCTAATCTAATTACCAGCTTGACAAGTTGCAGTTACATTAGGACTAAAGTGAGAGAGTAAATCGGCTTGCCCTTAACCTGCTACCGTATGCTAATCCTCATACACATTTCAAGCCTGTACACTTGAATAATTCTGGCGAATGAATTAGCTATTTTTTTCATTTCTTTTCTAAAAAACACTTTGCCTTGGCCTGTACTTGGTTAGCCTCCCCACGTGAGTCTCCTAAAACGTCACACATCCAGCCGGGAATCCAACATTGACCTCTTAGATGTATTTATTTCACTTCATCCTAAATAATTCCGTAAGTCCGTTTTAAACATTTAAAATTTAATTTGTTTTATTCTGTTCGTTCCTCTTCGTTTTAACCTGAAGGTCTGTAATATATTTTACTAATAAATCAAATTGCAGGTTTTGTATATCTGGCTCCCTCTCCCGCCAGGGAGGGAGAGACAGATGTAGGGGAAGAGATCGGTCAGTGGTTACTTTTCCATTCCATTACCGCTCTCTCCTCCTCGCGATTCGTTTATAACCTGCAGGATGCGTTACATATTGGGGATGATATTTTTGTAACGGATGTCTGTTCTGGAGTTGTTTCTTTTTTGGGTTTCCAATAAACTTTAGAACATTTTCTAGTCTTAAAGCCGGTGTGAGACGCGTGTTCTTTGGTTTACAGATTTTTTAAAAAGTCCATTATTTTGTTTTCTTGGGTGTTGGTGATGTTCTGTTTTTCTTTGATTGAAACATATTTCAACCCTCACATTTAACAGGCAATATAAATAAATAACACATGTTTCATCTTAAACTTTACATTTATCTGGAAGTGCACACCATACTACCTGTTAATGACCGATTCTATTTTGTTAGCGTGGAAATATTTACATGTCCCAACAGGCAATATGGTATAAATTGTGAGTACCTCACTGCACAAACTGAAGTTGGGCAGTGCAGGTGAGATGCCAAGTTTCATGCATTAAACATTCTAAACTGATCACTTGTAATTTGTGTTGTCTTAAGAGGTTACATCAAATATCTAAAACAGAGTGGCCATGCAACCAATCACATGAGCATTGGAGACACTGTAGAACTTTTGTATTTTTATGAAGTGCAACCTTGTAACATAACAGTGCGCACAGATGTAAAATATTCTCAAATGCTTGCATGTGATTGGCTGCACATCGCCCATTGTCTCGTGGCATTCAATCTGGACTTATAGAAAGTGGGGAGGAAACTAATTAAATGAATCTTTGTTGTTGTACACCAAAAGTTGCACAAGTTTCATATAGGTTAGACAAGATAATGGCCCATTGATCAATTGAGTATTGTGGTCAGAAAAAAACTAATCAGTTACCGAGTCTGTACAATCTAAACCATTAGTCTCATGGTTCCAACCCTGTTTAAACTTAGAAGCTGCCTTAGCATAAGACTATTAAAATGAGTGAAACCGTTCATACGTAACTAAAGGAAGGGAATGAATAAGCACTGCATCGGATCCCGTCACGTTTGTGGAGTTTATTCCCCACATGATTGCTTGCAAAAACGGTTAAATAGGTACCTGCTCGCACCACATGCTGTCCTTTAGTAACTGCACACTATTGTTCCTGCCCTGTAGATACTTTAAATCAACGAATGAGAATGGTAGAGCCGTTATAAGCTTGCTCGGAGTTAATTCTATTCATTTAGTCTGCATCTAATTTTGTCCACGTAAACGGCCATTAAATTGTTCACAAGAGCAAGCCATTTTAACCTGTTGGCAATGATGCATCATCTGAAGGAGTGTTACCAGGTTAGCGATTCTGTGTTCTTGCCCATATATAATCTTGGAGGGATTCGAATTGATTCAACTGCCACAAAGGTAGCGGGAGTGGATTGATCTACAGGCGGTGATAATGATGATGCCCCTGAAGTTGTCGACTCATGGTTGGGAAGCGCTGGTTTTCAGCAATTTGGATGCATAGTGGTGTATCCATGGAAGTCACTGTGGGAATGTATTGAATTTAATTGGAACTGAATTGAATAGTAAGCTTTCTTAAAGATTATTACTAAATACTTTGGAGTTTGTGTCAATAGCCGAATATTAACATTTACTACCTGGCCATGTGGATATGCCACTGTCTGGCCAGAAAAATCTACTTTGCAACTTGAGCTTTGCTAGAATATAGTAAATTTACATTTGGTGATCTCTTTTGGCCTTTATGTCTATGAATTGAGTGTCTTTGTACTGTAATCTTTTAAATAAGTTGTCATGACTTTGCATTGATTTTTTTTGTTTTGTAATAAATGCACCTTTGTATGTTTCTCTTCGATACTTCGCCGGTGTGTTTTAATTTGTCTGGAGATAGCATTTTGTTTATATGCACATTTAAACTGCCATAAATGGAGCGAACGTATGGGTATACCGATTTTTGCATTTCACAATACAATTACATGATCCCTTTATGGTAATGGCCTTGAACAGACAAGGTCCATATGTCATCATAGCCAAGATGCTGATGCCACCACCACAACTCGCCAAAGCTGTCTACCTTCTTGCTAGATCCCACAGCTGCTTGCGGTAGACACGTGACCTCCCAAAATCTGCCCTAAAAGTATCCCACAATCTGGTCTTAGGTCTTCCCCTTGGTTGCAGAAATCGTGGAGACCATTCCAAATCCTGTATCGATAACTTCTTAAAAAGAGTGGGAAACATTACCAAGAACATATTTCAAAAAGCTATTTTTACATAAACACATGTTTTACTAAACAAACGAAGATGGGGCGACCATTCACATGCAGCCAACTACCGGGTCGTGGTTTCATAAACTGCATGCAAATATTTTAAATGGTTATTCTTCAAAGAATGCCTCCAACACATTGGACTGTCTTGGATGTGGAACTTGCTTAGAGGCAACTAGTTCCAAGTTTCACTTTAAAAAACTCCACCTCCTGGAGGTCCCAAAACATCGACCTACTTGCAGGGGTCACTTTGTGCAACGATACTTTTCAACCTATTCACAAATGACTTCGGCAACCACAACCAGGCACTTTGCCGATGCAGATATGTAACAGAATACGTAAGATTTCAGTCGCCTAGAAGAAACCTTGAAAGCTGATCTGAGAGATGGCCCGCTATCACAAAACACGGAGACTTTAACCAATTGCCAAATACAGGGTGTCCATAAAGTCCATATCTATTTTATTGAAATCAAAGGAATTTAGGGTAAATTATGCAATATAATCAGATGTATATTTATTAGAAACACTTCAGCAATGGAGTATCCATGAGTACCGTCAATCTCTGCACAGCTCAAATCTGTCAGCTGCTCTGTGGAACACATTTTTGCAGCATCTGGAGTTTTAGTAACTGCAGCCCTTATACAATCTCGTACATCTTGCGGATCAGTAGCTCTTGTTTGACACACCTCTGACTTGATATAGCCCCGTGAAAAGACATCAGAAGACGTAAAATCCGGAGACGGAGCTGTCCAGGGTCTGTTGTCGCCATCGAATCCAGCGGTTTGAAAACGTTCATTCAGGTACTCCAGACACGATGTTTGCGTAATGACAAGGAACCCCCATCTTATTTAAAGAGTTACTACCATCACATTCCTGTACAGTCATATCCATAGGGTCCTGCAAAGAGACTTCTATATATCTATCCTTAGCTCAATAAAATAGGGACTTTATGGACGCCCTGTACATTTTCTAGCTGTTTCCATTAAAACCATGCAAAGGACAACCAACAGCTTAACATCTTGAATGGCCACAAAAGATGCTACCACAATTCAAAGCATGTGTATCATTTTAAGAAACACCTAATGGCTTTGCTGAAAATAAAGACAAAAAAACCACTTGATCACCAAAGTAAGCTGCTTTAAACCCGAGTCTCCCAACTCATACGGTAAAACCAAATCTGGGCGATGCTTGTGCTATGTCGCTCAGCTCTTCTCCCACAGGGTTATTGCCGCCTCGTGGCAGTATTGTATCTCACCTGCACTCCTGTGTGCCGTAAATCACCCCACGGTGCCTTCCCTATCATTGTCACCACCACCTTTCATCATCATGTGATGTCCACTGCAAGGTGTCCAGTAGAGAGGTAAGTTGATGCGTGACTGCATTTAAACTGCACCTTACAATACACGCACAATACTGACGGGGCTTGCTCCACGTGACAATGGAAATGAAGAAATGCTGCTGCCCATCCCAATCCTTATGAGCTAAGATGCTGTTGGCAAACAAACCCCATGATCACAATCGCATGGGGAGGACTTATTCAGCAATGGAATGCCAAAGTACTGAGTTATAGCTCTGGGATCCATTCGCCAATATCAAGATACTGAATCAATAAAAAGCCCGTACTTTTTCTTTATATCATTAAATGGCTACTTATTATCTGAGGACCGCCCGTCCTATAGACGGGGTGGATCTTCCCAATCGGCCCCGTCCCCTTGTCACAACTCTTCTCTCCGTACAAGTTTGTCCTCCCTTCTGTTGGCCACTCAACACTCACCACCAGACACCCGCACTACTCGCCAGACACCTCACTCCGCAGACGACGCCACTCGCCACCAGACACCCGCACGGCTCCGCTCGGCAGACACCGCCCACCACTCGCCTGCCAATCGCAAGTCAACGGCTTCGTCGCCTTGAGACGCTCACCAAACCAACGGAGGAAACTCATCACACACCGATGACAAAACAAGTAGTGGACAGGTTTCCCTCGTTTTACGCGGTAGATGCGTTCCAAAAAAGGGGCGCGCAAAGCGAAACCGCACGAGACAGCTGCCAACCCAGTAGCGCACACGGTACACGGTACACACTCAGTACACACTCAGTACACGGTACACACTCCGTACACACTCAATACACGGTACACACTCAGTACAGACACAGTACACACTCAGTATACGGTACACACTCAGTACACGGTACACACTCAGTACACGGTACACACACAGTACACACTCAGTACACAGTACACACTCAGTACACACACAGTACACACACAGTGCACGGTACACACACAGTACACGGTAGACAATGTTGCCCCACGTCCGACCGCATAACCGCATTTGAGTGGATTCAAACCGCATTCAGCGAGTTTTGTAAATAGATGAGCCGCATACACCGCGAAATCGCACGAACCGACCCGGTGTTAGGCGAGGTCACCGCGTGGTTTGTGTGACAGCAGCTCGAGGCTGAGCCCCGAGTCACCACGTGGTTTGTGTGACAGCAGCTGGAGGCTGAGCCCCGAGTCACCGCGTGGTTTGTGTGACAGCAGCTGGAGGCTGAGCCCCGAGTCACCGCGTGGTTTGTGTGACAGCAGCTGGAGGCTGAGCCCCGAGTCACCACGTGGTTTGTGTGACAGCAGCTGGAGGCTGAGCCCCGAGTCACCGCGCTGAGTCCAGCAGGGGGCGCTTCGCCCAGAGCGGGAGGGGTCCTTGACCTCGGGCAGCGACAATCAGCGTCGTTGTGGAGAAGATAACCAAAATAACCAAAACTAGACCAGCAGGGGATGTGTCTCCTTCGTATGTGTCTCTCCACGAAGACAAATAAAAGTGTTTCTTAGGTCAGTCACCTCCGGATGAGTCCCATAGAGCCGATTAGTTTAACAAACGATTCGTTCCTCGTATGTGGAGTGCCCTTGCCAATAACATTCCAGAAGCATCTAACTAACCACCCTTACTGCTGATGAGACCCAGAAGGTCCAAACAGGTGCATAAGTTGCTCAATGCACTTGCATAAACAGATGCTGTATTATAACATTGATCTGGAAAGCCAATTAGCTGGTCGACTAAGACGTGTGTGTATTCATGTAGAGGCACATTATGCAATTATGCTTTTATTTTGATTTATATACCTTGGTTGTGTTATAGGTTTAGGACATCGATAATAAACAAACAACTTTGGCAAGACATACGGTACTATATCATTGTCTAATTATGATTTTATATAGCTATACGAGGCCAACACAGTTAAATCCACCGCGCTAACCGGGATGGTGAAGTTTAGTCCAATAACACCCCACAACTCGCACGCTTTGGGGAGGCCCTCATCCAGCAGTGGATTGACTTGTACAAATTACAGCAAAGGCATGGGTGACCCTGACACAGTCTATATGTTGCATTTCAATGCATATCCGAACGAGTTTATTAGTAGGAATGGCTCGCAACAGACGAGGAAGGACACGTGCAATAGTGATGTCACATCATCAACACGGAGTACATTATCTCATCGTATACGTCTGTGGCTTCCATTGCACTGTTCCTTGTCTAGTTTTTTAAAATTAAACTTTATTTTGTTTAACCATGGGAGAACTCGACAGACCCGGGTAGTTTCACTTGTAAGATCCCATCCCTTCTGAATGAGTGGATGTTGAACTTCTTTCGCGCCGTAATCGAAGGTGGTGGGCAAGGGCAACAAACCAAACACTAAAAGCAGCTCTAAAATGAATTTTCAATCTGGATGATTTAAAAGTGCATGGCTCCAGTGGCTTCCTAAAATCGGAAGGAAGAGCGTTCCAGACGGCCGCAGAAGCGCATCTTAAATCTTTGTTTGATGGCGAGCCATGTAGTGACCGTCTTTGTTTGATGGCGAGCCATGTAGAGTGACCGTCTTTGTCACCCAGATCCAGGAGAAGGCTGCTGCTGCTGCTGTGTGAACAGAATGGAAAAGCGCGGACATCCAGAATCAACACGTCAATCGAAACCCAAACATCATCGTACCTCGTCCATGGATTTGACATTTCTCCTCGAAGACGCTGATGGTGTCACCATCAACCGCAGCAGGGCATCAACAGGCCGATGCACACATTTCCTTGATCATGGAAATTAAAGACAAGCCTCAGTCGTGCGATTGTGGCCATGCACCAACAACTATGGACCGCCCAGTGAACCCAGAGACACACAGAGCTACAGGGAGACTCACGGAGACACAATTAGATGCACAGAGGCCCATAGAGATGCAACCCAAACTACGGAGCAGATATTCAACCACTGTACAAGGGTGGTCCAGATGTTTTGTGACCCCTAACTTTTGTTGCATTTCTGTTTTACTTTTAAAAATTAAGTTATAGAGAATTAAATTGGGGGGTCACAAGACATTTGGACCAACCTGTACACCCCCATAGGTTCCTTCAGCAGAGGAGGAATCGCGAAAGGACGCGAACTCTCTCCTGAAGAAGCCCTTCTCGTTGTGGATAGCAGAGCACACGACGTGGCATTTAGCTCCTGGACATATTGCCATCATCAAACGCAAGAATAGAATATAAATGGTTAAAAATAGGCGAGTATACATGCAGTGGTGCTATGAGCATCATCAACACAGAGTACATTACACCGTCAGTCTAGGGTTTCCATCCGCACTATAGCTGGTGGAATGTTATTCATCGCGTTATTCAGCTGTGTTTTGTATCGCCAGGTGAGAGGCGAGGATTAATCTCCATTGCGAGTGGGCTGGGTCACGAAAATGTCGACAGCAAAACAAAAGCACATAACATAACGACGCCATTAGAAATCAGTGGCAACACACCTGTTGTCACACGAGAAATGTAAAATAGTGTACAATCATGGACATGTGTACTGCGTGAGAAAGTGACTCTTTCAGAGTCCACTGTTGTATGCTTCTTTCGTCAACACGAAGTGAGATTTCTTCAAGAATGTCGCAAGTCTCGCCCCCTCGTTTGTATAGGCACTGTACGACCTTGGTCAACCCTTGACCGGTTCTACTTTGTTTGGCTGTCACCAGCAGGGAGTGGGGGGGGGGCTGTTCAACACATCCATTGTCAGGTGACACAGAGCAGCGATAGCCCAGCGCCATACAAAGTACAGCACAACCACAACTGTTCAGTCGGAAAGGAAACATGGTATGAGCTGGGTTATATGATTACTTAATAGGTTGCAAAGTATTGCATGGATTATTGGACTAATCGGATAAAACAAAAACGCGATAATGTTGGAGAGAGGTGGGTGGAAGTAACACGTCAATGTCCATATGTGCCGCTGGACGGGAGGTGACAATAACAAAGGGTACATTCTTAATCGATTATATTTTGTACAATGTTCGCTTGATTTAATCGTTCCATCTTTCAAAAGATATAACGTGACGTGTGCGTTAATGTGTCCGTGTGAGATCGCAGTCACTGCCTTTGGTAATCGATTTTTAATTACATTACTGTAACAGTACAATTTTCGAGTCGATGAATCGACTGTTAGCTGGTAAACATTGAACGCAATGATACCTCCATTGTATTGTCAATGTATTGGTGTGGGTTCGCAATCATTGCCTCCCTTAATTTATGGATATTTTTTTAAGTCGAAAATCGATGATGCCCCCACCTGCTGAAACATTGTCCATGATAACGCCATCGTGTTGTTGTGGGTTAGCAGTGACTTCCTCCCTTGGCAATACATTACTTATTTTCACATTATAGTTTACATTTTAACACGTAGGCTTTCGATTTAGAAAATCTAAACATTTCTAAGTCGATTAATCGATTACCCCCCCTCCCCCCCCACTGCTAAAACCTTGTGACGTCACGCCATTCGGTTGTTGTTGTTGAAGTCGTGGTGGGTGGGGGCTTCTGGGTCGCCCCCCCCGTGTCGTCACTTCCGGTGTCGTCACTTCCCGTGCCGCCCAGCTGATGGCGGCCAGACCGGGCCTGCTGCTTCCCGTCGTCAGTAGTCGGGCTGTGGAGCAGCAGCAGCAGCCGCCAGCACAGACGCCGCTGTCACCTTCGGCGTTAGCGTCAGCAGCCAGCAGTAGCGAGGACATTATTATTATGATGATGATGATGTGTTTGCGTGTAGGCAGTGTTAAACTGAATAACGACGTTCATGGGCATGGGTTGTTATTGTGGCTTTAACAGCGCTGTCGTGATAAGTATAATTTATATATCGTGTTAGGTTTATTAACGTGTACTGTTGTTGCTATTATTACTCCTACCACGACTGTTATTGGTGTTTTGTTTTTGTGGATCGGAATGAGCTCCGGAGTGAACAAAAACACGAATGGCTCCTCGGCCTCACCGACCAAGCCAGCGCCGTCCACCACCGTCTCAACATCGACATCAGCAATAGCTCCACCGTCCTCGGGCGGCATCACCTCCACTGGCCGTGGCTCCAGCGGCCATCATCATCAGCAGCAGCAACTTAAGCAGATCCTCCAACCCTCGGGCACATCGACATCGTCTCCAGGTGCTGCTGGTGGTCGTCCCAGCAGGACCCAGCAGCAGCAGCAGCAGCATCAAGAAGGAATCCCCGTGGCTGGAGCAGCGACCACCCAGCAGACATCACCGTGGGGCCCGCCTTGTCACGAACGCTACGCCTGTGGGGGGGCCGCCCTGGCCGAGATCGAATGTGACGAGTGTGGCTCCTTGCAGTGTGGGGACTGTTCCACCTTGCTGCACAACCAGCCCAAGGTAGCCAATCACGACCGGCGGCGCCTCGTGCCTCCACTGCAGCCAGGGCGCCCTGCTGAGGCCACCCCATCTGCTGCTGCTGCTGCTGCTGCTGGTGGTGGTGGAACTGCTGGAGCCGTGGCGACTGCAGGACCTGGAGGGTGGCAAGGCCCTGCGCCTTGCGAGGCCGAATCGTGCCGGCCGCGACAGAGGGCCACCATACGCTGTGAGCCGTGCGCTGTCAACATTTGCCGCGCTTGTGCCGACAAGGCGCACAACGGACGAAAAAAGCACAGCCTGGTGGCGTTGGCTGGCCGTGGGCGGCTGGACGGGCCCATGGAGCAGGAGGGAGATATGGCCAGGAAGAGCCGGATGAATGCGGTGGATGCGAAGAGCTTCTTGCTGGTGGACGAGACGGAGAGGCTGCAGGTGAGTTGGGTGGACGTGGGTTTATGTATATTGGGTTCTGTGCTTTTAAGTCGCGGTGTTCGCTTGGCCAAGGGTGGGATCGGGCATCCTTAACCAGGTCGAGTCCTTTGGGATGAATGTGTCCGTTTTGTGCCACATTTAAGTTTGGCGAGGGCCCACTGCGATGCAGATTTGGGATGGCTCTCTTTGTGTGGCCCCGGTGAAAGGCCCATTGATATGGATCTTTCAGGTGGCTTTCTTTGTCTCATTCAGGTGGCTTTCTTTGTCCCATTCAGGTGAGAGCCTATTGATATTCAGGTACAGTGATGTTCTCTAGGGGAGTCCCACTTGGAGTGAAATGCTTCGTTGATATTGGTAAGTTCTTGTCTAATGAGATTGATTACCATTATTGAAAGTGCGAACTCATCCACAGAGTTTGTATTTAGGTTGGTTTATTTCATTATATATCAGTCCATGAAGATGCATCCTTAACGAGGAGATCATTTGATGTACAGTACTTACTGTGTTTGAATTTGTCCTTCATATAACCCAGCTAAGAAACCATTAAGATACATGCACTGTACTTTATTGAATGTGCTTTCACCTATGTGAGGGCCAAGTGACAGTCTTTTTTTACTCGGCCAATTAAGACACACATTTGAGGTGTCCTTTATTTAACGAAGGCTAAAGGCCATTGTTTTTGTTCATCTTTCACAAGGTGAGTGTTAATATTCATTAACCAGGTGATTCTATATACAGGTGGGAGGCCGCTGAGACATGGCTTTGAGTGGATGTCCGTTTTTTTACCCAGGTGCAAGTCGATTGAGATATGGATTTGAGTAGCTGTCCTTTATGTAACCCCGGGTGTGATTTAATGATTGTTCGCCAGATCATGGTGCATTGAGATATACACCGATGCGTTTCACTGCAGATGCAGTACTGTACTTTATTTAAACCAAGTGGGAACCATTTGAAGTGACTTATCTGTTAATCAGGTGAGAACCATTCCATGCAGTTGGCGTCTCCTTTGTTTAAACTATGCGAGTGCCAGTGAGCATACCTCGTTTAGCTGCTGATGTCATTTGAACCAGGGGAGAGTCAATTGAGACGCATGTTTATCCAGTTGGGTCAATTAGATACCCTACAGTACTGGATTTGATATCCTTTAAATCAGGTGAGACACATTTGGTTTGATGATCATATTTAGATAGGTTACAATTTCGACAGACTACAGTTGCTTAGTATCCCTGTACGAGAAACTGAAAATAGAGTACCCCCAATTAATCTCAAGTTAAACACTTTAACTGGTTTTCTTTAGAAGGCTTTTGTACCTCGAGTCGAAACGGGGCTCCTTATCCATATGTCTAGACATTTCTTTGTATCTGCAGACATTTCTTTGTTTGTCTGGAGGTATCTGTATTTGTAGATAGTATATGTATCATGGTGTCTTTAGAGATGCCGTCACAATTTCAAATAACGACGGGCCTATGCTGGTGAAAACATAAATATGGGGGGACAAAATAGGACCATATTAACAGCAGAGTACATACTCTAGCGTATTCTGTTAGACAACTAAGGGCAGATACATAAATTAGTTCTTGACATCATTTGTCCATGATTGTAATTTAAAGCGTATCAATGTTGTTACGAAATAATTTCGTCCTATATGGGCTCTACCGTAGTAACCATATTTACCCACTTGAATCTGTAATGGGAGTTATGGGCGGCTACCCAGGATGTGTGGCTTTATTTTATTATTTGTTTTTTTTGGGGGTCTTGGACAAAACAAAAGGCTTGCTGGAACTGTGCACTCCGTTATGTAACCAGCAGCATGGGTTTAACATACTAAATAATAATCAAGCTTTGTTTTCCAGTACTATACCAACATACGTCCGAATGGAGAGAGTCCTGCACTGAGACACGGTAGATTTATCTCTCACTGCAGACGTTTACAAGGCAGTAAAATTGGCCCAACGGATGATTATCACAGAGAAGCCACAAAAAAACTACGCAGTAGGTCCACTGTGTACATAACAACATTGAACTCACCCACCACATACAGTATGAATTGCTCAACGCAGGGTGTGCTTGATTCACAATTGGAAAGGTTATGGGTTCAAATCCTGCGTGGTTGTTGACTTGGCCACCGTGTTTCTGTGCTCGTTTTAAATGAAAGTGAACGATAGTGGTCCTCCGAAAAGAACTGTAACCCACCATGGGAATGTGGAGTTTCCACGACTGGCTAAGGGCTGCTGCCATTGGAGACGGGCTCCACCCTCTTTTGTGCCTTTAGAGTCGCGTGACTTTTAACTCTACACTGCATTGAGGGCATATTCAATTGTCCTGGCAAGAGTTTTGTGAACTGTCGATGTTTGTCGTAGCTCTAAATAATATATCAGCCTCTCTGGGTCATTAAGAACTGGAGTTGAGTCATGTGTTCAAATTGTAAAAAAGGCATCCTTTTTTAGTTTTCTCAGTCGTATATAATCGATAGGTTTGTATAATGTTGTCTGACCGGTGTAAAGCTGTGTCGTCGCAATGGATGAGCGTTCATATTTAAACCTTGACTTAAAGCTTTCGTGACTGCAGGAATTCATATTCTTTGGGTCTTTTGGTAAAGTCACGTAGGTTGAAAGACGATTGCTTGTGTTGTGATCGAAACGTCGTCGTTTTTTATTTTCTTTCAACCTATTTACGTGACTTTACCGAAGGGTCCAAATAATACGTTCATATTTATTAACGCACCGTTCTTTGTCAATCCACCTCTTGACCATACTTCGCTATGCTTCTCGGTGCAAGGTTGGTGAAAGTGGAAGGAGCCAAGACTGGCTCAGATACCACTCGCCACTGGCGGTGGCTGTGGTCGGGAATTGAATTCGGGTTGCGGAGTTCGTAGCGATATTCCGGGCCATGTCACGAATGTGCCCAAACGGCAAGCTCTGTAAGACAACACTGCATGACATCACACTGCAGCAATCAAGTGTGTTGCCCAAGTACCATTCTCGTCCCCGTCTCGGGCGTGGTGCGTGTTGATCCTGTTTGGACCTAAGGCCGTAAGACGCGGTGGCGAGATGTTCACGACCCCGCCTGTTATCAAGGAGGTCGCGTGTTCAATTCCGACCATGACGCCTGCTGTATACTTGGAGTTCACAATTAGAATGAACCTGCCTTGAGAGTGTATGGCTGCTGTACATTTCGCTTTGTTGAGCTGTCGTTTGTCGCTGGTTCGCTGCTCAAAAGGAGCTACATAGCTCAGTTAGCCCCCCTTACCTGGCCAAATAAAAAAGTTTAGTTTACATTCTTAGAACCTTTAGGATCCTTTTAAAGGATGTGCATTTTCACGTGCCGATTGTGACGTCTGCTCACACACCTCAGAAAGGTTATTTCCAAAGACGGTGTTGGCTTGTTCCTGTGTGGTACGTTTGTGTATGCACTGTACATCGGGCTATGTTTATTCTAGTGCTGGTGTACCAGCGCAGGCTCAGTGTCAACATTCTATATTCCATGAGACTGCTGTAGCGATAACAACAACAACGACAGCAACCACAGCTTCAACAATAAGAAGGTAGCCACGAAGAGAAAGGTGCTGTTGTTACAACGTGAAAGAAAGCACGTTGTGTTGTTGGCTTTTGTTTGTATCGAGGCTGTGCCGGAACAGGGAGGCACTGTGGTACATTCTGCGACATGTCTAGGCATGTGACGCTGACAGAGCCGCTGTCACCCACTCGCCTGCATTACATCGGAGCGTGCGATGTGATTCGTGGATTGACGGTTCTATACAGAACATGTTTATTGAAGCGAGAAGTGGGCGCAGTGGTTCCCGGGCTGCGCTAGCAACCAGTTACGCACGGCGGCTAACGATTTTATCTTGGGCCTCCCCTAGGTCCACTCAGCTTTCAGTGAGCAGTGTTGTGCAAGGTAAAGGTGCCGTGCTCCTGGCCTCACCATTCGTTTCTACACCATGGTAGTTCTAAGAACCACAGCTGGCTACGAAGGCTGCAATCGGGATGTTGGAGTTTAGTTTGTTTCGTCACTGTTTGAGCATGTGGTATGTGAACCTGGCCTCGGCTGCTCCCAGGACAGCTGGGAATACAATCAATACCTGTCGGCGTGGGGTCAGAAACTTCGGCAATGGGGGTCCGGCAAAAGAAGGGTGTCTGGAGATGGCCACACTGCACCCTTGCTTACTCCAACAGCATAAAACAATTATAACATTGTATCCATGTAAAACACGCATATAAATACAACAGGTATTTTACCATCATAATCATGGATGAGAAGGCCTCTCCTAGCCCCGCCACCATCTTTCATGATCCTACGATCTAATATCCACCAAGCTTCTGTGCATGACCTAATTTCATTGCTCCATCTCCTTGGCGGTGTTCTCTTGAATACATTCCATTCCTTGGCTGCGATTCCATTATTATTGACATTGGCAGTCATTAAAATTTGGCAAATTACCCACAAAATTGCTAAAATGTGGTGACAGTATAAATAGCAATCAGACCTCTTCTGGCAGTCGACAGCCCCAGGTGACTTTCGCAAGTGATACATTCCTGGTTCTAACCTGGTTACACAAAATAAACTTGAAACATTCTTCCAGCTGTGTCCTGCCCGAGCCCACTTTACAGTTGTGTTTTACACTGTACGCATTTATATGGCTATACAGTATTGTGTACATGTGTACGTCTAACGTGAATACTATATACACTAATTTACACATTATGTCCCACCAAGTGTCATATGCCCTATTCTACGTCAGTCCACCTGATGATAGAACGGAATGTACTGCTTCGGCAAGCTTGGCCATTCCCTGTTTCTGTTACTCCTTGTCTCTGTGTCTCCCCACCCAGTCTCCTTCTGCCTTTGCCTCCTACTAGCTGTGTATGTTAATTTCGCCATCTTTCTTGATCTACCTATGTGTACTTGTCTATCTTTGTCTCTATCTCAGTTGCTAAATGTGTTTGTATCCCTTTGTGTTTTTGCATCTCTGCCTGTGTCTCTTTCTCCTGCTCTCTGGCTCTTTGTATCTCCCTGTATCTTCCCCTATCTCTGTCTCCCTGTCTATCTCTCTCTGTGTCTCTGTCTTGCTTTGTCTTTGTCTGTGGCTATCTCTCTGTTTTTGTCTCACTTTTTGTTTCCCTGCATATCCAACCGTCCGCCTCCCACTTCCTCTGTGTCTCTGTTTCTGTCTCCGTCTCTCTATCTCGCTGTCCCTGGCTTTCTCCCACTCTTACGTGTCTCTTGTTTTTTCTCTCTCCCTGACCATGTGTTCATATGGTGGGGGTTGTTATTGCCGTCGCAGCTCTTCCTTCCATACCCTTTTCACCCCACCCGCAAGTCCATGGTGATCACATGACTATCCTGGCCTATGGTTTTCAAACCTAAGATCTGCCTTAATATGTTTCACTACTTATATATAGAGAGGATGCTGCCGTGGTGTAATCATTAACACACTCGGCTTGTCATCCGGAAGTCACCGGTTCGATCTCCAAGCGTGACGGTTAAGAATAACGGTGCACGCTTTTTTTGTTGTTATTCCCTTGCCTCTGTCCATCCAGCGGTATAAATGGGTTGTTCACCACAGTAAGTCAATCGTCGGGTTACGTGTGGTGAGGTAAAGTGTGAGTACTCCCACCTTCTCCAGGATGATCTGGCGAGTGTGAAAGAGTAGGCCAAATACCCTCTAGAAGGGCTCTGTTGCTTACACTCCGGGAGACCCTGCTGCCATCAGTGGTGTGAGCAAGTAGTTGAAGGCTCCACCTCTTCCTTTTATAGATAGAGAATCGAATGCTGAATAAGTTACAATCATGCATCCATGTGGAATGTGTAACGCTTGAGCAGAAGACAGGGCAAAATGCATTTTCACATTTTAACTTTGTCATTGTTGCGCTGAATGTTTTGGCAATCCTATTGATCAATTTGGTGAATTTTCAATAGGGTCAGTGCCTCATAGCAGCACCGCTTTTCCTCCAAGTCGGTAGATATTCGGTCATCTTTACAAGAGTTAAACCCCCCCAAAACAGATGGATTGACATACAGCTCATGCATTCATACTGTAGTTCGTGGTTGACAAGTGATAAAAAAAATGGTATTTGGCTGAATTTTTAATATTTTCGTTTTACACGGGCTAAAGCCAGGATGTCCAAAGAAAACCCACAAATGCATCCAATTAACGCTCAACATCTGCAGATAAGGCGGAAATCTACTTTCTGCACTTACTTCTACAGGCAATATGTTGCCCAGAAGATTAGTGCTTTTGCACATAATGGCTCCGTATCCATGTGTCCCGCAACTTTTAAGTCACTGGACGCCATGCAACAACTCCGACAGTGTGCATGTGGTTTTTTAGAGTTAAATTATTTTTCCCCAGCTACATTCCAATCGTGTTAGAGGTGTCATGTCGTGAGATGACTCAACGGTGTCAGCGAGCAGCATATGACTCTGTCAGAGAATGGCCCTGGTACATGTTTTTAATGTCAGTTCAAGAGGCCTTTTTTCCATATTTTTACGTACCAATTTTTGTTAAGTCTCCAGAGCTGGAGTATAGTCAAATTAATTGAAACCCCAAATTTGATATGAGCAGTTGTTTATGCAGTCATTGGTGTAACCAGACTGAGACAAGCAACTGGCCCGCTACCTTTGAGAACCCGGTTTAATCACTCGTCTTGCCAGAATCAAACCCGGGATTAGCAGCCGTGCCAGCTCAGTGATCCGAGCCAACTGTGGCCACCTCCTGATCTTTGTTACATTTTTTAAAATGTACACGTTGGCTGCAACATCTCGACCTTAACCTATCCATGTTTTTGTTGTTTCATCGGCAGATCTCCTCAGAGCAAGAGCTGATTGAGAAGCTCAGTTGCCACGCGGAAGACCTGCTCAAGGTGGTGTCGATCATAGGCAACACGGGCGATGGAAAGTCGCACACGCTCAACCACACGTTCTTCCACAAAGCCGAGGTCTTCCACACGTCGGCCACGCAGGAGTCGTGCACGGTGGGCGTGTGGGCAGCATACGACCGCAACAACAAACTGCTCACCATCGACACCGAGGGGCTCCTGGGTGTCACGGCCAACAGCAGCCAGCGCACGCGACTGCTGCTCAAGGTGGGCTCCTTAAGTGCTTTTCCCTGGCAGGCCCCAAAGATAGTCGGCGTCCAGGCCCCACGTGCTCCGTGAAATAGCTCGCACTCGCGTTTGGAGTTGAGTAGATGTCCACATTTTTTTTAAAAACGAATTTAGTGGTGAGAATACTCTTCCACAAAGCGTTTTTTACATTTTAGCCAGCGGTGATGATGATGATTTCATGAAAATCATTGAGCGTGCCGATGGTAAAAACTATAAACTATTTTTATTCTACCAGGTTTAGGCCCACTGAACCTAGCTTTTTCAGAAGTAATCTGGCCACAAATGATAGCTCAACAAAGGGGCTCATTACTAGGAAATGTATAACAGCCAAATAATCTAAACACATGTTTCTAAATGTGGAGGTAAAAACTGGAGGACCCGGAGAAAAATTCACACTACTATGGGGAGAACATGCAAACTCCAAATGTACAGCCATCTGGACCAGGATCGAACCCACGACCTCCTGTTTACCAGGTGTGGGAGATTATCACACCTTGATCGCGAGATGTTTTGACTGCCCACCAAAGACCAAAGTATGACTGACCATGACGAGACAAATGAACTAGTCTCATGAAGATGCAGACGAAGTTCATTTAGCAACGTTCGTCAAGACTGCGGTGACTTGAGGAAGAACATAACTGGTAATTGGCAATATATGCATTATAGAAGATTTACTGAATTTTATCTGGGTTGGCTCACAAGATAATATTGGGAGGGAAAGAAATGCGCAACCCTCGCACCAACTGATTCAATTCAATCTGCTCACACCTTGATGGGCAGGCTGAGCAGCGGTTCGCTTTCAGGTTGCGTGCTTCATGAGATGCCACGCGCTTGTTTAGAGTTGATTCGATGTGCAGTGCCCCCGAGTAGACTACAACACCTGATTTATCCATTGCGGTCGCCTATCCAAGCAAACGCTGTTAAGGCTCCGAGATATGATGAAATTGGCGCATTCCAGGTGATTTGGTTATAGGCTGTATGCACACCTCTATTCGGAAGCTTTGTAGATAGGGTTAGTTGATCACGCAAATATCATTAGTGCAAAACCAGATGGAATAGGTGGCCAGCAGATGGCAGTAGAAAACAATTAGGTTTGGAACCCTTTTATGTGTTTTCTTAAGCATCTTATCCTGTTATGAAACTTTTTCTGGGTAATCTTGATTCTGCTGACATGCAGAATATTAATTACAAAGGAATTGTCCCATAATCTCAATGCAAAACCCTCCTGAAAATAGAGTTTTAATAGTCGGTGAGGCTCACCAAGACTAATAAAGGAGTTATTTATGAAAGGCAGATATTTTTGCCGTTCAGGGATCATTCATCTGTCCACCGGTCCACTCGGAGCACTTATTCACTTTCTACTTGTCGCAGGAGCAACCAAGGACTGTAGCTGTTTGTGCTGCGCTGACACTGCCTGAAGCACTGATGAATGTGACTGCGCTTACCACCGGAGTGTCATGGCACGGAGTTTTATAGCCGCTGAGCTACGCCGAGTGACAGGAAGAGACAGACTGTCTTGGAGAATGGTCGTTAGGGACATTTTATTCCATCAGATTGATGTTCACAGAATCTGTCTTATGAAGCCCTTTTGTGCGGAGCAGTGTAGAGCTCTCAATCTGTGATTGTTCAAGCAGTGACATGTAAGGCCCTGTTTATTTTCATAAAATGTTCAATATTATTTGATTATTTAAATGCATTCTAATTACTACTTGTCAGTCTCAGTACGGGCTCGATTGGCCTTTATCCCCGAGTCGATAAAATGAGTTTCACTTGGTGTTGTGGGAGCACTGAGCCGTGGAGGCATGGGAGAGTGCCGTGCTCTCTGGAGTTGATACCACTGGCTGAGAGGACCACCAATGCAGATGACATCTGCTGCCCAATGGTTGTCTGAAGATGGATAAATTGTGGGTCAGATTCACATATAAATGAAACAGACAAAGATACATTGACTTTACATGGCCCCCATTGGTGTTAATGGAGGAATCACCGTAAGGCAGACAAAAAGGAGCATTTGTTGTCATGTGAATATGGCCCTACGACTTGGATAGTGAAACATAAATTGATTGTTTTGAGTCTCAGCATGCCTGTAATATCCCATTGTAAGACCCACGATTTCAGCTGTAGATGAATAAACCAAACAAGAAAAAAGTCATGGTCAAAGCATATCCATTCTCATTTCAGAGGCTCTCAGCCAAGCACAGTAGAAAATTTACATTCACATGGTAGTGGCCAGCCCCCATAGACCAGATTGTAACTGGCCTGCGAATTTAGTTCATATGGCCATGGCCACATGAGGACTAGCATTTTGAAATAATAGTTATCTGTCACTGCAGCATGGTGGCCACATTTATCTGATACCAGAGGAAAATATATTCGATCTGGCAACACCTGTGTGTCTAAATTCAGCGCGCAGTTACAGGAGTGATCTGAGGTGTGTGTTAGTGTGTGGCCCACCACCGAAATTAGGCCCTCGGTAAGGAAACGGTTTCCAACTCTTGCCCTCGAACCACCACGATTGGGCAGACCAGATGAAGGGCCGGACATGAAGCGACACAGAGGCCAAAGCCATGATCATGAGCAGAGCAGCCACACGTAGGACCGCAATGGAGCGAGCGTGCGCAGAATTGTGTCTCACTCGATGACGCACGCACCAGGTGATGGCCGTGTCGGACGTGGTGCTGTATCGCACACGCGCCGAGCGACTGCACAGCGACCTCTTCAAGTTCCTCGGCAACGCGTCGGAGGCGTACCTCAAGCACTTTACCGGCGAGCTGCGCGCCACGTCGGCCCGCTGCGGCATGGAGGGCCCCCTTTCCGTGCTGGGGCCCGCCATCATCATCTTCCACGAGACCCAGCACACCAACCTGCTGGGGCAGGGTGAGTGCCTTGGTGATTTGTGCGAATTGGGTCGCGGTCAGCCTTCGTTGTGTTGGAGAGTAAGACCACAACATTTATAAATGGGTTTACGCTCCAACACATGGCTTTGCTGAACTAGTTACTAATTGACACGTTTAGTTTGCATGACAAATCTTTCTAATTGGCTGTTGGGTGGTGGCGGGTTTAACGACACATTAATATTTACGCGATCTAACCCCAACAAAAAAGATAAACCTTTATATTGGATAATATTGGTCACGAAAGCCTACTGCTATGCGTTACACTATTGAGCGTGCAGGCAGTGCAATGGCACTGGAACTGCACTGGGGCCCACGGGCCAGAGAGGCCCAGCTGCCGGCCTTTGAATGAGGGGCAACATTGGAAATGGAGCCACAGATTTTATTTCGTGCATCAGGGCCCATCGAACCTCGCTGCACTGCTGAGGCACCAGGCGTGTAACGATTTCTTGGTCATAAATTGACGTTGCGATTTAATTTAAGAATAATTTGTTTCAGTTTTTTTTTACAATTTTGTTTGCAACATTAGCCAAAGCATAATAAATACTACCATATCATTTTAATTATATTTTCATAAGTTGAAGATCATACATCTTGCGTGCATTGTTTAGGATGTGTATTGTGAGCATAAAGATCAAATACGTGAGTGACTCTCAAAAGTTCAACGCAAATGGACTTTTCAACACATATACTATACTCCCATGTCCGGCCACCTCACAACTTCTCTAAACGAAAGTCGAACGAAGGTTGACTTGTGACGTGCGCATGCCGCTTTTTCACTCGATGGCGCGACATTCGTTTGTTCGTCTGCACAGGGGAAGGCCAGACGCCTGAGGTCTTGCTGCAGCGCAACTTCAAAGAGCTGAAGTGCACGCCGGAGGCGTTCAGCACGGTGGAGTACGTGGGCACGCGCACCTTCAACCCCCCGACAGACTTTGGCGGACTGTTGAGGGTCATCCAGTACCGCCTCAAGAGCAACAGCAATCGCGCCTCGCGCACCCCGGGTGTCATCTTCAAGGCCCTGGAGGTGAGCGGCACGGCTTGGCGTGCGTGCGTGTGACCCTCTCAGCCCGCAGTTGGCTAGGAGAATTCCCAGTGTGACCCGTGGTGAACTTGGAGATTCTCAATAGCTAGGAGAGGTATCCAATGTTACCCATGAGGAACTAGGAGACCCTCAATGTGGTTTGTTGGGAGCAAGGAACGTATCGAATGTGACCTGTGAGGAGCTAGAAGATTCTTAGTGTATTCTGTTTGGAGCAAGAATATTTATGTCTCCCACGGGGTGCTGAGGGATTCTCACTGTTGACCTTTGCGAAGCTCGGCGATGCTCAAAGTCGACCTGTGGCGTACAGAGGCTGCGTCCCCTTGGTCACGGCGTGCGGTCGCCTGTTGTGGGTGCAGGCGCTGAGCGAGCGATTCAGCGGAGAGATTCCTGTTGGCGACATGGCTCGCAGCTCCTTCTTCCCAGACGAGTACTTCACCTGCTCCGCGTCCTGCCTGAGCTGCGGGTTTGTGTTCCGTCTTTTGCCACCAACTGATCTCTTCAACAGTGGAGAGCCTGGCCTCCACCATAAGAATGTATAATTTTCATCACTGGCTTATTGCGTCTTGTTGTTAAGCACGTAACGACGCATCGATTCGTCAGTCGATTTTTAAGGTCATTATACGTGTACGTGAGCATCGATTAATTACGATTTATGCAAATCGTACACAAACAGCCTGTGACCAAATCACCCAGAATGCACCTGATACCGTCAGGTTTCGGAAGCTAAGCAGAAACGAACATGGACAGTGCTTGGATGGGCCAACATCTATTAAACAACTGTTGTGGGCTACTGCTGTGGTGGTGTGTTGTCAGCAGAGGGCAGTGCAGACAAGTCCAAAATTGTACTGTGCTATGTTGTGGTGTCTATGCTTCCCGCCTACACCAACCCTCAATGACCAGTGTGGTGAAGTGACATGGAGCCCCTCATCCAGCAGTGCTTTGACAAAGTGTCGTGAAATACTGTTACCATGACAGGGCTCATCTGCATTAAATATTCATAAATGTAAATTACATCCCATTTTGCCGTTCCCCCCCCCCCCCCGCCCACTTACCGCTGCCACCCATGCAGGCTTCGCTGCCGTAACAGCATGAACCACCACAAGGACGGGGTCCAGCACCTGGCAGAAGGACGCTGCAAGTACAACTACCAGTGCGACAATCGCGTGTTCACCTGCAAGGCGAGGTTCCCACACCTACACAGACAAAGTCCCTCCCTGTAGCCTACACAGGCTCTTGGGTCAAGTGTTGTTTTAGCGAGAACCTACAAAAGACCCAACATGGCACACGAGGCGGTGGGTGGCCAGCACCACGCCCGACCGCCTTTGTCTCTAGTGGCGACGTTTACACATCGCACCAGGTATTCATTTGAGGCTGAGTCGACCTCGGGGAGCCCCAGGACCGGTTCAGATAATCGTCACTGGTGTTGACCGTGGGCAGGAATCGAACCCGGTTCGCCAGATTTGTCGTGCATCGCGCTAACTGCTACACTACCGCACCCCATATGCACACAGCTCCATACACGCGCATACCCCAGTGTTCTAGAAATGAGCACGAATCGATGGCTGTAGACGCTGCTCCAGGAGACCAGGTTCAGGCTGCGTTGTTGGATTTTCTCTGGGTTCTGTTGTGTGCGCCTCCAACTCTTGTGACTCGGGCATGGAGTGGAGTTTGTGGATTGCTCCGTGATCATTGTGCTACCCGGCAGTGGTTGCGCATGCCTATAATCTGGTATGGTGTGGGCGGGGGATGGTAGTTTTTTTTATGGGTTGTACCGCGTGTTGTTCCCTCGGATGTCAAAGTGTCACTCCATGTGCTGGAAGCTTCTTCCAGAACCGAATGAGAGCAGTGAGATGAGTGCTTTCACCACTGTGCCGCCCGGCTCTATATCATCACGACTTCCCGTGAATTTCGACCGTTGACGACTTGGAGAGTGCAGTGGCGCGTGACCTTTGTAAAGTGCGCAATCGGCAGGTCATAAAGTCCGCGATGGCCTTGTCAATGTAGCGGTGTCATGCATTACACTGTGCTCAGTTGAGTGTACCGGGCGCAGCACCTGTTTGTCGAGTCAGCGCTTGTGTGACTTTTTGGCCTGGGGCGGTCTCCGATGAACAACACTGCATGTCACTGATGCCATGCGAGGTGGTGGTGTTTGGGTAGTAGAGCAGCTGCGGACCACATGGCTGCTGCTCTGGCTAGCACTGCAAGCGAAGAAGGATGCTGGATCTGATTTGCATGTGGATGGGTGTCTGTGTCGTAAGAAAATAGACGTAAGAACAGTTTTAGAAGTATAATAATAAAAGGGATTAATCGATAAAAATCCACTTATACCCCATCCACGCATTAAGCAAATTGTGTGCCTCAGAATCGGTTATAATAAAAAAATGACTCCTTTTCATTGTAATTTACAGACTTTTGTCAATCCACTACTGGATGAAAGCCCTCCCCACCCTGTGTCAGTCGTGGTGGTTGATGAAGGGGGCCACGCAGGACCAGGTCAGATATCATTCACCGGTGATGTGATGTCGGCTGCGGTTGAGAGTCGAATCACGGATCTGTGGGTTCATCGTAGGCATGGCCCAAACAGCTGGGCTACATCTCGCCTTGTTTATGGTGTATACAAATGTCCATCCTGGTCTATTTTTAGCCTATTGGAATAAGCAACACAAAACACACGAGATGGACAATACAAGATGTACAGTACAAAAAAGACGGTCATTAATTTTTGTATCAAATTGTGATCTGGAATTGTGACAATTCATCGATTGTCCTGATTATTTACTTGCATTAATTCGATTCATGTACAAGTTTTAACTCCCACGTACGCAAAAAAAACATGATACCGAACACACAGTAACCAACGCATGGTAACATTACACGGAACACCGCGTCAGATCGTCAGTTTTGTTGGAGTCGCTTCAAGATAACTTTGAGCCAGCGAGTTGCACCACAAATACTGTGGTCAAAAGTCAGTGACCCCCCCCCCCCCTCACTCGCTCGAAAGAGCACTGGACAATGTTCTGAGCCAGTTGTGGAAATTACTCATTCCTTTGGTGGAAGTTGTCTCTTTGTGGCGGCCGCTATTGGAGTCCCACCAGGCGTTGCTTATTTTAGCCAGTGAGGCTTGCTTGAGCTTGGCCAGGTTTTAAACTCGTACTGGCTTTATAGGGGTGCCTGGGTGCTGCGGCTGCTTTGCCTATCGTTTACACACAGACGATTGTGACTCGGCGGGCGAAGTAGATTGTCATGATGTTCTGGAAGGGCTATCAATCTGACATGTGGCACACTGTCTATGACTATAACAATCCTAAAGGGTTAAATGTTTGACTTTGGACCTCCAAAAAGTACAGTCCAGAGGATAGCTCTGTGATATGTTCTTCAGGTGCTAACACGTGTGTAACACGTGTGTTGTTCGGAGATGTACAGCACGACCGCAAAAGGCTACGCAATGCTGGCCCGGAAATCGATTTGTTTCAGTCATGTGGCAGGGTCAGCCTACAGCTTCACATTGCTTTGATATACTCTCCACATCAACAAGTACCCTGGCAAATGTGGAGTGTGATGATGACGCCAATATAAAGTTGTTATGAGTTCTGCAAGTAGCTGAATATGCAGTAACCTAGCTAAAACGTTTTGTGAATGGCAATGCATTTCCTTGATGTGTTCATGTTTTATTGTTGGGTATCAGATAAGCTTTAACTGTTTATTTTCTTTCGTATAATATGAAGTTTATTTGATCATTAGGTATTTAGAGTAGAGACCATAAATGCAGAGAGGTCATAACGTTTTGTAACACAGTGATTAATCAAACACCAAATCTAATACATCATGAAAAACCTTAAAGACACATCTGTTAAGGTATCCTCTCCAACTCTGCTGGACTTATACGTGTGTGTATGTGGATGCTGCCATGGGGGGTAATGGTTAGCACATTGGACCTGCAAGCCAGTCGATTAGCAGCTCGCGTGTCGCCCACCTTTTGCGGCATGTCTGGTCACCCTGGATGAGGAGACCAGATACCCCTCCAGAGCTCCCCCAAGTTTTGGAAGCTCTTTTGCCAGCGGTGACGCAAGCCATAATTGGCAGAGCTGCACCATAGCAGACTCTGTGGGCTGATTGACATTTGTTGTGCGGGGCTGTGTCTTGCCATTGTACTCTTCTTACGTGCTAATCGCTCATAGTTGCTGCTGTAATCTTTGTTCCACAGCATTGTTATGAGAATGGGAAGGAGGTCATTGTGGTCCCCAAGACATCGGCTTCAAATGAATCGCCGTGGTTCGGCCTCGCGAAGTACGCCTGGTCCGGGTGAGTACTGGCAGTGTCAGTCCTGCTCACAGCGCCATTCCATCATTCCACTACTCTAGTAATTACGCAGCACTTTTAATAATGGGAGTAATAATACTAATGCTAGCATTTATACTGCACTCACAACGTAAAAAAAATATCTTGGAGCGCAGTTTGTTTAGCTTAGGAGACCCCCTAATGTTAGTTCAGCACTATGTGGCACAAGGTGAACACAGCACTGTCCTGCAAGTGGACATCAAGTCTGCCGGTAAGTGGGGGGGGGGGCAATGTTGCAGTTCAATGTTCCAATTAAGTAATTACCTGGTAAGTTTTCAACTTGAGCATGATATTACCCAGTTCATTACACTAATTTGGCAAATTTGGATAATGATGCCGGCACCCATCACGGTGGCGAGATGTTAACTCCCTCGCCTGGTATGCAAGAGGTTGTGGGTTCGATGCCGACCCTGATGCCTGCACAATTGCAGTTTGCGTGTCTCTCTCTCCCCGTGGTCGTGTGGATTTTTCTCCGGGTCCGCTGGTTTTTCCTTCAACATTAATAAACATGTTTTTAGAGTATTTGGCTGCTGTAAATTTCCACATGATAAGCCATTTCATTGAGCTATCATTTGTGGCCAGATCACTTCTGAAAAAGAGCTACATAGCTCAGTGGTCCTTATCTGGTAAAATAAAAATGTGCTTTTTTAAATTGTTTTTATTCAAATAACATTACTGGATTTTTTTTTACCTCCACTGATATGAACGGCGTGTATTTATGGTTCATACCCCCACCGTATTGACCCAGGGTGCCGGTGGTCTAAATCCGCAAACCTCTGCAAAAAGTGGAAAACGCACTCCCGCTTGACAGTGCCATGGTCGTATGTGCACACCCTTTGCGTCAGTCTGCTGCTGGATGAGGGCATCCCCTCCCCTGTGCAGGTCGTGAGGGTTACTTGGCCGTACTTGTCCAAACTTCACCACTCTGGTCAGTGCGAGTTGGTGAAGGCAGGGGAGCATAAATGTGGAGACATATAAGTACAGTACAGCAATACATTTTGCTTAACTGCTAGGCCCTACGACAACCTGTTTGTGTGTAGAGGTCACTCATTCGAGTACTCGTCAGGCTTATTCCTCATAGCTTTTTAGAACTGACAAGGTAGGGCACATTCTTATGGCTTATTCATGAGTTCTCATATTTCATTAAGTTAGCAATACATAGCTCGATAACTGCTATGTATGAGGCATGAGTCACCACAAGGCACCTATGTCACGGTAAGTCACTTAAAATTCTTAAGAGTTTAGTAGAAACACCCAAAGCTTCAAAGGCCAGATGTGTTGACTTCTCTGCCTATTTTGCTCCAACACAGGAGCTCGTGACTATCTCAAGGTGCTGCAGTGTGTGTCAGGAGTGGCCAAATTCTGTTCCCTCCGGGTCGCATTCCAACACCTTCACGTGGCCAAGAGCCACAAGACAAACGTGCACCGAGCAGGTCACGTTAGTTGGTTACACTGGTAGCCTTGGAATTTTTAATCTAGAAAAATCTGTGGGAGTATTCATGTCTGGCTCCGCTGCCACGGACTTTTGTGCCTCATGCCACTCCCACTTCCGCAGATTTATTCCCGTTTCAAGCAGACATACATAAAAAAAAATTAGCTGCATCTCGATCGAACCGCAATTTAACTACACGAGAGCCGCATGGTTTTTCCACCCCGGCATATGGGTGTGTGCATGTGTGAATTTTGCCTGTGACAAATTTCCCCTGGCGACTGAGTGACTTATCAAGATTTAAGGCCATAATTCCATTAAAGGTTTGTTTATTTTACATTTCAGTGCATTGCAGCTCCGACTGGACGTCTGTGAAAAAGAGCTGCATGGCTCATCGGATTCCTCCAGTCTAAATAAATATTATGATTCTCAGAAGAGGCCACGTGAACTAATCACTTTCAACTTATACAAAGAACAATGTCTCACACTCATGATTTAATATCTGTATTGTGAGCATAAGAATTCGATAATTAATCGATGGATTGTTACACCCCTAGTGTACACGTTTCTTCATTTTAATGTTATCAAACCAAGGCATCGTATGGTGCATTATAAAGCTTGCGGGAGAAACCTGGCACACCGACCTACACGTCTGCCTTGTTACATACAAGGGCACGCACCCAGGTTCGCTGTGCCTCCTGGCAGTGCTGATCGGTGCCCCTCGTTCATTGCCACTCGCCGTGTCCCCCGCAGCTACGTGTTGGAGTGTCCCAACTGCGGCGTGATCTACCGGAGCCGCCAGTTCTGGTACGGCAACCAAGATCCCGAGGACACGGTCGTTCGTACGGAGCTGAAACACGTGTGGCCCGGGGTATGTCCTGCTGATCACGTCCACAGCTCTGCTTTTAATGTGCAATAAGATCAGGAATTAAGAGTGTTTACTTCACGTATTTATTTGAAGAGCATCTCGCCTCATTGCAGAGCAATGACACATTGAAAACACTTAATCGTTTGTCACTTAGCCTGTTGGCCTTAGGGAACGGTAGTGAACTGCAGCATTTGTTTAATCAGGCACACCTTTGGACCAGTTTTTTTATTTTTAGGGCTCATCAGCAGAGTCAGGCTTGTTCAATCAATACAGCTGTATTGCCAGATGTCATTGGCAAGGGCCATCTACTTAAGCTAGGGACCATTCAGCACAAAACGTAGAAGAATACAATGTGGTATGTGCTGACATAGAGGATCATGGATAACAAATAAAGAGACGATAGTCCGTATCAATCCATGAATATTTATATAGCGCACTTGTCTTTACCTATACACGTCATTTTTTGTCCGTCTGGCTGTGTCTGTCCGTCTGTCTGTCTACGCAACTTGCGACACTTTTAACTCACAAACTGTGGGGTTTACATTTCTAAAAAGTACCCATATACCACGCGATAAGCCCCGGGGTGAGCCAGCGCTATTCGTATTTCACATCCATCAACTTTAAAGTAGTTAAATTAACAATTTATTACTATAAATTGTTATATTACTATGCTGAGCGTGCGCCAAAGCCCGCATCTGCGCATGCGCAAAACGCTGACGTGGTGGTTCCCATAGCAATGCACACACACAATCAGTGGGGGCGGGGAAAAATTCTCATTCGTGTTAAAAATGCAAAAAAAATACACAACGCTGAGGTTAATTCTTCAAAGTGTGATGTCCTCTTCTCCCTCCCCCACCCCAATGTGTGCAGTTACTACTGTAGGGTCGGTAGATACTACTGTAGAGTTTGTAGTTACTGCAATTGTAGAGCGGGCGGTGGGGGGGGTGTAGCAGCCCAGCCCCAGCCTGCCAAGGTGCCACCTCGGCCGGCTGGGCAATCTAGGCGAGGCCGGGGACTCTGCACAGAACTAGGCCTCACCACAGAAGTTTTGAAATATATTTTCCCCCCGGGCAATGCCGGGTATTTCCCGCTCGTTATCAATAAAAGCATCTCAGGATCGCTTGACATAAAATCAAATTGACACGAATGCCTAACATTCAGGACATGTAAAATAAGACATTTACTTAAAATAACACGGTAATATACCTGAGGCAATATAAGTGTAGCGACATATCATGTCACTACTGTGTCGGGACTACGAGCGTAGGGACATATGACGTCACTACTGTGTTGGCTCGGTATGGGTACTGTAGGTGGTTGTCACGGGGGTGTGTCAGGCCGTGACACTCTGCGTGCACCCAACAGGACACGTGGCTGGATAAAGGGGGGGGCTAGGGGCCCCAGGGGGGAGCTTGGGGGTCATGTGGTTGGGGGCCCGGACCTTCCCGAAGGATCGAGAAGGGGGGCGTGGCCGGCCACGCCACGGGAGTTATAAGCGGGGTGTGAACAGAGAGCGGGGCTGTTCGACCCCGGGATGAAGACGCCATCAACGCTCCTCCAGGCTCCGACCTTCGTCCGTGACCAGGCAGCCCGTTAACCTGCCCTGGTCACGTTATGTCGTATTCCCTCCCCGAGTAGGAACGGTGGTCACCACCCTGTGTATCACGTTCCCGTTGGTTGTTTTGCGTTAATAAAGTGTTGCCCCCAAGTTGAGTGTGCACCTCAATCGAATCCATTAGATAAGTAAAAAAAATAGTTATTTATATATCTGTACTTGACAATAAAGCGATTGGCGTACCGTACTGGGCTCGCGTTGAGTTGCATTAAAAAAATTGATTGAAACTCTAGTAGATGACGCCGACATACTGAATGAGCTCTGGGTGGTGTAGTTATCAAGACCCCTGCCACTGTCTATTGTCACGGCATCACGACTCCTTTGCAGGCGAACGGCTTCATCCGGGAGAACCACAACGCAGCGCAGCGGCTGCTGGACGGCGTCAACCTGGTGGCGCAGTCGGTGTCGGACATTAGCTCGGGCCCGGCGCGCGCCGTCTCCGACTGGCTCACGGACCAGATTGCGCCGGCCTACTGGAGGCCCAACGCGGTCGTCATCGTACGTGCCCACACACACACACGCACGCTGTACGCAGTCGACAGCGTAACGAGCTTGGGCGCCAATGCTACGAGTTGGGGCCCCCTTGACAAGCACCATGAGTGACAAATCAAATATTGGGGCCCCACCTGACCGATTGCCGCACCCCCTGAGCTAAAAATGTCGTTACGCCACCGACTGTTCGACTCGGCGTTATCCGGGGTGGTGAGGTTAGAGGGTGGGGGCACGGCCACGAGACGTTGTGAGTGTCCGGACACCTCTACTGCTATCGCACCAGAACTGCAATGGGTCGTAGTGCCCTCCAGCTCTTGTTGGCCACTTGCAGCACTCCGTACCTGCAGAGCAGACAGGCCCGTACCCGTCTCCATCGGTGTGATGAGGCAAACTGGCTAGACGCACCAGGAATATTTAGGTGTGGCTTAGAGACGCCCACAAACTTTTTGACTCCCAATGTTTTCTGCCTTTCAGAAAAGTGATCGACATAAATGTTGATTATGCCAATGATGGAATCTGGAAACATACACAAAGCGGCACAAAAATAGTAGGCTTAGTACTACATTGGAAACAAGCAGTTCTGTAGATGTATACAATTACAGTAAATGTGTGTTATCGATAATCCTCCGCGGCACGATTTTTGATGACGAAAATCCTCGCTTGGTGGCGTCGTATCACACACAGGCGTGCCACAATTGCAATAAGCAATTCGAGGAGAAGGACACGAAGCATCACTGCCGGGCGTGCGGGGAGGGCTTCTGTGGCGCCTGCTCGTCCCGCTCGCGGCCCGTGCCCGAGAGAGGGTGGGGGCCCAACCCCGTGCGCGTGTGCGACGCCCTGCTTCCAACTCGCCCGGCCCCAAGGTGAGAGCTGAGCTTGCTGCCAGAGAAGCCCCCACGGTCAAGCCACTTCCCAGCACAGCTTACCTGGGGTATGAATAAGGGGTATGAATGGTTCTAATATGACTATTATAGTTCAAAACTAGTTATTTAATGTGCTTGTTAATAACATTTTCCCTGATATGTATGTCTGTTGAACTTCTTTCGCACCATATGTAGCCAACCATGCTAATTGGAGTTGATAATCTGGCTGACTACTAGGTTCCCTTGTATTTTGTATTAATTTGTGTGTGTGCATGTGCTGTGGCGGCAAACCCGGTCTGCTCAGAACAAAAACAACAGGCGGAGGGGGGCGAGGAAGACGAGTCGGGCAAGGTGATGGTGCGGAAGGTGGGCGAGGTGGTGCAGAACACGCTGGGAGCCGTGGCCACCACCTTCAACTACCCACTGGGTGAGCACCACAACACGCACCCCCACTGGCATCCCACGTGCGCACCCTGCCACCTTGGCAAAACACACACACACACAATGAAATTGTTGTGTGCCAAGCATCCCAATGTAGCAGGACTCTCCTGAATAGGAGTCTGCAGACTACTCAAGTATGGCTCTTCTGTGTAAATAAGTAATTATTGTAATATCCTCGCTTGCCAACCTGCGCCTGCTCAGTCACTGGGAGACACCGCTACAGGATCGAGATGCTTATTGCGATGTTGTGAAAAGATTCGTACTCTGCCATTGTTAGTATTGCCCAATAAAGGCATTGCCTGGGTATGAAACGGTGTTCTTGTATAAACTCCTTGTGAGGTGACATTAGAGATGTAGACAATAGATAGAACTGTAATAATATAACGTAAATACAGACAAAAATATTTAAGTTCTGGGAGATAAGAGAATAGATGAGACGGATGTAGGCAAGACGCAAACACGACATTACATGAGGAATACACAAGATGGGGATGAGAGCAATTAATTAGATGCTTTATAATGATTAGGATTTAAATTTAGGATGACATTTCGTTCATGAGTTTGGGGGCCCTGGAGCTACTCGGGAGCCCCTACGCCTTTGCTTCGTGTTCTCATGCCCGAGCGCCATCACTGCAATTGGGGTACAGCGACGCGATGTTTTTGCACACAGCCATTATTTCCCGACCGTGGCCGCACTTGCTTGCTTCCCCTGCAGGCCTGGTGAAGGACGTGGCGCGGCCAACCTACTGGGTCCCCGACCACGAGATCACATCCTGCCAGGATTGCAACAAGGACATGACCTCAGGGAAGCTCGCCAAGCACCACTGCCGCGCCTGCGGCAAGGGCTTCTGCAACGAGTGCTCGACGGCGCGACGGCCGGTGCCGTCACGAGGGTGGGACCATCCCGTGCGGGTCTGCAACACCTGCAGCAAGTGCAAGGGGGAGCTCTGAGACAACCACCACCTCCTCTTACTCCACGATCCTTTGACTCTAAACCTCTTGACTTCTGCCTTCCTCCTCCTGCTCTTCCCCCTGCCCACTCACATTCTTGTAACTGTTGGAAGCAAGGGGCGATGTTTGGTTGATCCCCCTCCCCAAGTGGAGAAGTCTGGATGTGTCGTGAGAATGGTTGTGCGGTGACTTTTTCTGTGTTAATGCGATTCAAGAATCACTGCAGGGAACCCCGTGTTTGGTTTCCAATACCCCGTAAGACTCGTGCGTGTGTTTCCCCCGTGTATAAATAAGGGAAGCCAATAGAGATGGATTCAATCAGGGGAGTTAATGAGTCTGCGAATTAGGTGGCACATGGTTGCTTTGGGAGTCAACTCATTGGGGATGCATTAGTTGTTTTAGAGTTGTGGTGGAATAATTGCATGGCTGGTTTATTTGGGAGATTATCATCTTTCTTACGAGGACCATGACTTTGCTTCCTTCCTATTGCAGCCCATCGATCGCTTGCTAAAGAGGACCGCAGTTGCACAAAAGGTAGAACTGCAGCTCCGCTTAATTGCAGGGACTTGAAAATAATTCTCAGAATGGAGGACGTCGCTTCGTATTCAGGGAAGTACCACTGACGTGATGGAACGTGGCTCTGTAGTGGGCAGGAAGCCAATGATGCTTGCTTTCGTGAAGACGGCTTTGTAATAACTGAATTTGCTAACAGTTGTTGAGCAGAGTGACCAAGGATGATGACTTGGGAGGGTGATAATCCCAGTGGATAGCCAAACATTTTCAAAATCACTCACCATTCACATTGCCACTGACACTTACCAACTGCATTTCTTTACCTCTGTCATCTGCGGTGTGAAGAGATCTGCCTACTTTTTATCCAAACCAAACAGCCTCTCTGAGCCGTCGTATCTTCCAAGTTGTGAGGTTGATGTAGGTGCTTGCATCGATTGCAATTTAAGCTCTTCCTGTCCTTATGCGTCGCCTCTCCCTCTGACTCCTCCCTTTTGCAGTTATGTCTCTTTAGACCAACTTCGCTTTTTCCTTTGTTGGCTGCGACAGATTAACATCGGTATGACTAAGTTTCACACCGTTTTGACACCAGCAGACAGTTGATGATCTGTATACATGTAAACAAGGAAATAACATTATTTCTACAAATTGCACTCATCCTAGGCTCTGGGCACTCTACAAAGCACGATAATGCAATGTGGACATTTTTACTGCTTGTGCAAATTGCATAGACATAATGCACATGAATCTTAAGTCCATTTTCATCAAGATAGTTATTCCTAAACTCAAAATTGCTTTTATCGGGTGTTGTCACAGACATTAGAGGTCAGTATTGTATCTCCTCCCATCATTCACTCAACACTTGCTTTTTCCTGTCTTCCTAATGTGGAAACAATATTGAGACGAGTCAAATAAATCAAATGCGCTTGTACGAGATAACCTAACATGTTGTTACGTAGCAAGGGCCGTGGTTTTGTTATGTATGTTGAACTTCTTTCGCCCCGTATGTAGCCAACCGTGCTAAAGTTTAAATGGATATGTATTATGTAGTCTATCATTGGTGTGAATGTCTGTTGGCAACCCCAACAATACAAAACACCACACCCCACAGTGCTGTTCGAGTGAATGGACATGCTCGTCAAGTGATTAGTGTTGGGAACGACTGGCAGGTCATTTATCCAGTCGCCATGGTACCAGGATTTTTAAAGTACATGAATCATCATACCAGCATTTATTGTTTAAAATCTGAACTGTGTCAATTTATGCAAATTCTGAGCCAGGTTTTGCAATGAGTCGACATCAGCTGTGCCCACTATGATGAGCACAAGATAATTGTAATGATAGCATTACATCTTCAAAATCCAGTCTGGCCCATGAAGCAATGTATTATGTATTTAATGATTGATATTTCTGCTTTCCCGCATGGTGGACAACTCAGAGTTCACTCTGCAGCTGACCCACCTATGGGGCTAATTCATAATATTTTTCGAGTATCATTTTATCTTGTTATCAACTGCTAACGAGACGCTGATGATGACCATACCATTTCAGCTAAGCTGTTTTAGAGAATGGGGGTACATCTGTGGGTTATCTGACCTCTAGGAAGTAACTCCTCTCCATCCCTATACAACCTCAAGGATTACATATCTAAAGCCTTTAGAGCACATGCCCAGCGTCCGACCCTGTCATTGACAATCCGTGAGCGGCAACTTAGTGTTGGCATGCGTGTGCTTTGCATTGCTTTCCCTGTTTAGTAGTTCACAACTTATGTGCATAACCCAGGCAAACCAAGCACCACAGGCCGTGGAAGGGAGACTTCAAATGATCACATTTGAAGTTTTAAGACAGTCCTACCTGGACCCAGCAGCTGTTAAGTGGGGTATATATAAAAACCACGCAAAGACCCATTTTTGCTTGCACAAATATTTTATTTGTGTGTCGTGCTGTCTCGATGTGGGGACAAGCAATGGGTTTGCTTCATTCACTTTAATTTAGCAGCTCTGCAGTAACTCTTAGCACTAGCTTTCAGAAGACGTAACGTCGGTTTGTGGGAAGTCCCACGAATCAGGGGCTCTTGTACGAGGTGTGACTGGTTCGTCGTCCAACTTGGTGCTCTTCTCTAATGATCAGATTTCCCTCTGTGACTTCATCTTGCAAGGACCCCATGGTCACAGTGTGATCACGAGCACCACTTCAATGTCCAGCACGGCATCACTATGATGTATCGTCAATCACGGTAAACTGTAAACAAATTGTATGTTCTGGAAGCAATCTCTTTCATTTGCTTTGGGGGGGGGGGGCTGTGATTTTGTAAGATAATTGTAGTGTATCTATATTAGCGTTCATGAGGATGTACTTACTATATATACACATTGCGTTCTACCTTTGTCCTTTTTCAGGTGAAATACAATAAGATGCAAATGTTAAGATATAATTACTATACAACACAAAAATAAGTTAATGGTTACGTGCTATGAAGGCGAGACCCCAGATTAAGTGGTAAATGATACGCACCTTGCATTGTTAGTGAATTAGATTTCCTTTAACACGCGAGTTCCGTTGCGCAAAAAAGGCACACTTTAAATTATTAGTGAAATATATGTAAATTAATAACCTCTGAAATATATTTGAGACCTTTTGCTGTTTGTAACTTGGATTTCGAATTTGCCACTCCTTATTCAGCAGAATGATGAGCCCGATGACCAATCTGGGTTACCAGCCAATACATTTGTTTTGCCATCTCATCCTAGAATATCATCCATCAGTGCAGCAGAGAGGTGAGCGACAGACTTTTGAAGAATGTTGAATCACAGCGACAGGATGGCAAGCGACGTTGCCGTTACATTTTCACAAGTGCTGAATTTTGGTTGTGGCAATTTCAATGGTGTGTGTTTACACGAGTAATGTACCTGTGTAGATGTTTATTTTCTCTTTTCATTTTACAGTTTGTCATTTAAACAAAATGTTTAGCTTATTTTAGTGCTCATTGTTTAAACCAATTCATCATTCATCAACTCAAAGCCTATCAACAACGTGAAACTTTAAACATTTAACATTTCCATCAGCATGTTTTAATAAACTAACCTGCAGCCCTGCATTTCCATTATCTTAATCTTGGGCAAATTTTTTGTTGTTTGGCATTAAAATAAAAAGTGGTTGATAGGCATGTATTTAAAATCAAGTCCAGCATTGAAGCTGGATTCACTGCCAGGTCTCTTCATGTGTGCCCCCCCAGTTGTAGGTTTATCAAATTAGGATTCTTTTTTCTTCACTGTCAGTAGGTTTCATGAATACACCATCCGTGTTCATACGAGGTACTGGCATTGAGCGCAAAAACCTAGCATTCGGTCACGAATACTTAATTTCCTTATCAACTAAGGAGTTTAATTTGCGACAAACTCTAATAAAACTTCTCAGATGCACTATTATACAATTTTAAGCTTTTAACTTGTCAAAAGTGATATTTTACAAGTTCTTGTCACTTCCAGGTGGAAAATAAAAAAAAATTACAAACTGGTTTTTCCGTGTCTTTTATTCCTAAACATGTAAGATAAATCATTTATCTATGTACAGTGATGTAAATATTTCCACAATCAATTTTTTACAGGCTGTGAGTCTACATGATGCGGTGTTTGTTCATAAAAATGTAAACTGAAGCCAAAAATGTGGGCAAAATCAATCTTGCATTGCATAAACACAACTCCCTGGAACACAAAGCAAATTTTAATGTGCAAATGGATTGAAACTTTTTTTTATTCCATACAACTTCAAATCAAGAGCAAGGCAATTAATACTCGAATAATCTACACCAGATTGGACAAGCTTTGATTTAAAAAAACGGATACTGACAGGATGAAGAATTTAAAAGATGGAAACAGTTTTGTCAGCTGATTTGTCTTAACCGCCAGAACAAACTGAAGCGTTAGGATTTTAAAGATTTACAGTGAAACTTGGGTGGAGACGGAGCCATTACAGGAGAAGTAGGAACGAGAGAAAGGGAACGCACCAGGTATTCACTTCATGCCAACAGTCCATGAGATAAGCTGGATAAACAGAAGTGTATCAATGGGAACAAACGGCTTCAGGATTGGAGGAAATTAGGTTTGTGACAATACCAAAAAAGTGGAACTAATTGTATTACAAATATAAACAATTGGCTTAAACTATTAAATATTAATCAATAGAATAGTAAAATGAATAAATAGAAGAGCAGGCAAGGGTGGGTTCTGGAAGGAAAGGCAATCGGGACACAAACATTAAACCGGAGGCTGGTCATGGACGAGTGAGAGCGCGTAACACGCTAGAACACCCTTGCCGACACCAAAGTGGTAAACTGTCCAAGACGAGCTGTGGGAGACTGAACAGGATGGGATTTCGCTGTGGCCAGGAATATAATTTGAATGTTACCTGTGACTGGGATCATTCAGGTAGCCAAGTTCATTGTGCAGTAGGCTCCCCACTGCACCCTGACTTCTATGCCGACGAGGTATGTACATGCACGTCGCTAGTTTTTCAGGGTTGTCTTTAAAAACAGAATTGTGTTCCGCAGCGGTTTTTGAATCACCAGCCGCGTACAAAAATCTTCAACAGGGTGCGCACTGGAACACGAAGAGTTGTCTCACCAACCTGCCTGTGGCAACAGCAGGACGCGATGTCAATAGCTATAGTGGAAGAGGCGCTGGCCGGCGGCCACGAGCAGACCAGGTGCCCCATGGGGGCCACCGAGACTCGGCATCAGTGCCACGCTCGGGGCGGCTTTGGTGCAGGACACGGGCACGGCAGACTGGCATGGTGCGGAGGAGGAGGCCGTCGCGAAGCCGCCAAAAGCGCGTGGAGTTGTCCTGTCCGACTGAGCGATGCGCAGATATAGCAGCAGCGGCGGACAACGGCAGAATGGGCAACAGTTATCTTGGCCACCTATCCCCCCCTTCTGAGCCACCCAACAGTAGTAACCAAAGGTATGAGCAGCACGAAATAAGAATTATAGAGGTGTCGGCAATCTGAGTACAGCAGCAAAGCAGCAGCAGAATCGGTTATTATAATGACAGACGTGCACATGCACAAAAATATGATTGTATTAAAAAAGACATCTCCAGTATAGACTACATAATTTGTAAGAACAAGTGCTGTTTACGAGCTACTTTTAAGGCTGGTGCAGAGCACAAGGGGTTGGTGTGGCCAACACCACGCTGGACGACCTGTGTCCCCTCAGTACCGACATTTAAACACTGCACCAGGTGTTCATTTCAGGCCAAGTCGATCCAAGGTAGGCCTACGAAAATATTAGTTATGACGCACTACTGGCATTTGCCATCGCTATCGCTTGGAAGTGAACCTCAGTTTAACACTGACAAGGGCACGAGTGCATTCACAAATGATGAATGTCCACTTGGTGACTTTGGAGCAGCCAGTCCAGCTGTTCAATCAGCACACAACAATAGGATATTCTCATACACTACAAACTATGATGACCTGTGCACTATGCCTGTGGAGTGCATCTCACCACACCCTGGCACTCACGGACAACTTCCTGTTCCAAGGCAGCTTTACAACTGCTCTGCACTCCCATGCGTTTTCGTTTTACACAAAAACACGACATCCCCTTGCCATCGGGCATTGGGATGTTTTGAACACTGCAAATACAAATCTTAGCCACCCATCCCCCTAAGTGACTCATCCATCAATGCCTTGGATGAGTAAACATCTCTCCTGTGTATTCCACACTGAAGAATGCGATTTGACAAAGTGCTCTACGTGGGTTTGTGTGTACCGGCCACGATGAAGTTCTCGTCGTCGCTGACATGCAGAGGGAGGATGGCGTGCTCGTTGTGATGCCCATGGTACTCAAGCACGCTTCTCTGCGTCCGCACGTCCCACAGTTTAATCTGAATGTACAGGCGAGGCGGGAGGGCAGAGGTTTACGAGGGCGCGAAACATCCATGAGCCTCCCGAGCCCAATGTGTCTTGCATTACCCTCAGCCACCCAGCCCATAAGCTACAAATTCCACTGAGCTGCCAAGTCAGCCACCCATCCCTCTGAGCCACCCATCCCTCTGAGCCACCCATCCCAAGCTCCCCACCCTTCTCAGGCACCCATCCCCCTAAGCCACTCATCCCTCTAAACTACCAGAGCCACCCATTACACAAAGCGAGACTAAGTCTGTGAAACATAGCGCCTTCGTGATAGCATCGTGCTATAATGGCACGAATACCAAATGTATTCGATGATTCTATTCGATCGCCAAACGTGGCCTTTTAACTTTGAGTTTGCTTTCCACTTGTGGTGCTTCACTGCATCGCACGCTTTCAGATGCGCTTCTGCAGCTATCTGGAACACGCTTCCTTCCGACAGTAGAAGCCAATGGAGCTACGCACTTTTAAATCTAGATTGAAAATAATTTATTGAGAACTGTTTTTGTGTTTATTTTGTTGTCCTTCCCCCCACGCACCTCCGATTATCACGGTTGGCTACATACGGTGCAAAACAAGTTCAACATACACACACACACAGCGCACCTTGCCGGCCATGTCACTGGCGAGCAGATAGTTCTCATCGGCGAGCATGCGCAGGGCCACGATGGCCGACTCGTGCCGGAGTAGCGAGCGTTCGCCGTCGCGAGCCGTTGGGCCCTGTCCCGTCCCGCAGGTCTGCCCGCCACACCTTGCCCGACCGACAGCCGCAGTACAGCAGCGGGCTCTAACGGGCAGAGGCGGCGCGTACGTACACATACCTCTTGGTTAGAACAGACCAAATGTGTTGTTATTTCAACCTTGGTTTAACACGTAATGATAAAACACAGACACGGGAACAGGACTCGCTCTGTGTCTTTGTGTGTCTCTCTCTGCATGTGTGTCTGCCTATGCTGTTCCCGTGTCTGTGTTTTATCATTCATTCTTACCTGATGATGGTTGCTTGTGTTGCAACCGAAACGTCGTATTCTATTATTATTTTATTTTCTACGTGACTTTCCCGAAAGAACAAAAGAGTAATTCCTGCAGTCACGAAGGCGTCGGATCTAGTTTTCAAGATGTATTTAACAAAACATCAATGGTAATGCTTTTGTTTGTGCGTGTGTGGGCGTACACACACCTGCTCTGCAAAGCACTGTGCCAAGACGTCGCTGTGTGTGTGGATGGTCTGCTGGTGCCCGGTAACAACATCCGTCACCACCGCCTTCCCCGAGCAGCCTAGATGGGTGAACACAGAGAGGGGGACATCTGCCATCTGGCTTGGACAGGAAGTATTCTTTAAGCCATCCGCTGCACGGCAGGCGTTTGGCTCAAACTCCCTCCAACCTGTTGGTCTTCAGCTTTATTCTTCTTCGTTTCACGGTGTGGATCCCCCGCTGCCTTCAAGTTATTCAGCAACATTCACGTTTCTGCCTCTTGGCCTCTTTCCCAGAACTTCCTTCATCAAGCTGCCACCTCTGAGAATGTGCCTCCCAATCCACATATCTTGCTTTCTAGATAGTTCTAATTAGACTTGTCTCCTACTGAAGCTGCTCTGGAATTCCCTCATTTCTCTTTCTCTCCAAATTATTTTCTCCATCCCGTGTCACAAACCACAGCTAAAGACTGTACAGTCTTTTAAGAACACTGCGGAAAGCCGTCCTCTTTTATGCCGAGTCGACCTTGGGAGAGATCCGAACAAAGGATAAGTATGCAATGTTGCTATTGTTTATTTTTTACTGCAAACATGTCAGTAAGTAAACCAATCATTTTAAGAAGTAATACATACAGATGACACGTCCTATATCTTCACCCCTGTCCAGTTGTTTTAAGTTCTACTAGAATCACTCCTACCCCATTAACCTGGATAATCGAGAGTTGACTGCATAGAGTTCTATTAAAGTAAGAACATCTGTAAGTGTTGCATCATGCCAATAGGATAGGATCACCTGCACTGAAGCAGTGGTTGTGTTGAGGATGACGGCCATAAACGCAGGAAAAAGTGAGGATGGTGAAGTTGAAGATTGCATCAATGCCTGTGGAGTGAGAGAGAATCATCGAGGAATCGTCTGGCCTGATTGTCTTTAGCAGGCAGAGCAATACAGGTCTCAAGCCTCTTATTTAGGAGGTCTTGCTTCGGAGGAGCATTGATTGGTTTGCTTTTGTGTTACTTGAGCGTGGGAGGAAACCTAAGAGCATGGCAGGCGACTAATCCACACCGCCCCATTCCCATAGTTACAATAAATGCGCGGTTGGCACGGTTAGCTACATACGATGCAAAAGAAGTTCAACATACATCAAATTGTGTAATATCTAGAAATTACAATATATGCAAATTATATTAAGATAATTTATTTACAATATATAATGGTATGAGATAGAACGAGGCAGGCAACACAAATGCCACAAATCAAAATTGCCACAAGATATAAGACGAAACATTTTCTATATTCTCCAGATTATAAAACACCACAAACTTTGGAGCCATGTTTTTTCAAATATATATTTTAAATCGGGAGAATATGGTACGACAAAGAGCCATCTTCTATAACAGGATTATGAAGATGCCAATTTAAATTCGGGAGATGTCTTTCATAAGATGATTCTGCAGAGCTGGTGGGTGTCATCTCTCCTCTGGGTGATTATGTATTGCTCTGGAAAACCATCTACCGGAAGATGATTCTGAACTCCCGGTACTTAAAACATCGAAAAAAAAATATTCTCTGGATAAGACATACTCCCAATTAAAATACAGGGAAGACATAACATTTTATCATTCTGAGAATACGCTATTGCATATAAACATGATGTTAAAATTCCAGCAGGTGTATGGGGTTAATTCTGTACAAGCAGAATCAATTAAAGCAGACGCGGCTAACGAGCAGGACCTGTGCCTTCTCCAGTGAAATACGAGACGGGCACCAGCTCCACCGACGCGTGCATCGCACCGTCACTCACCGCCACTTCATTGCGAGCAATTCTGAACGATACAGGCGAAGGTCAAGGAAGTGAAAGTGCACGGCGTGAGCAGTGAACAGCTAACCAGTGACACCCGGTTTGGAGGGGAGTGGGGGCAAATAACAGGGTTAGGCCTACGAAGAGAAATGTCAATGTACAGTAATACTCGGGTTTACTAAACTTACTAAAACTAAGCTCTTTATTTCACCAATGAAGCCCCCCACTGAGCTGTGTAGCTCTTTCTCAGAAGTGACCTGGGCACAGATAATAGCTCAACGAAGTGGCTGATCATGTCGACATTTATAGCAGAAGCCAAATATTTTTAACCACCCATCCAGAGCCTGTGCCTCAGCCAACCTCGTTGCACCATCTCCAAGGAGGATGACTTCTTGGGTGCATCCCCTTCCTTGCCTGCCACTCAGTAGTTGTTCTGCCATCAGCCATCATCCTCACTAGCGACATGTCCGGCCCAAAGCCACTTAGTTTTATTCACAGGTAAAATTACATCTGTAACGTACATATGTTACTAATCCATATACTCCTCTTCGTCTGTCATTGTAGTACGAGAATGTATCTTTCTATGAACTTATGTTCCAAATACTAACCTGTGTCCATGTTCCTGATCAGGCAATATGCACTGATTAAAACAGTCTAATTTAGATGCTTTGAGCTTGTTTAAATGGAAAACTACTTTGACTTCTATGTCAATGTTTGACGACCTCACTGGAACGAGCTGCACTCTGTTGTTGTTCAAGAGCAGTGTCAAGGCTCGGTGTCCCAGCTCCCACGATCACGTGACTCCGCAGTGACTCATTGTACTACTCACGTACCATTTCTCTACAGCAGTAAACAGAAACTGTAACCAGAAACCAGGTCAGGTAGCAAGGAGAGTTATAATAGGTGTTTCTGAATGGTGCACAGGTTCTCGACAGACAGACAGACAATTCAACTCAAGTCCTGTGCAACGAATGCTGCTTATGTTCCAACAGCATGTATAACATGGAATTCTGGCAAAGGTATTAAGCATGCAGTCATCCCAGTGGAGTCCCAATTTACCCTGCAGACAACGGTCTGTGTTGAACCGCGTCGGAACATCGCACGGCAGGTGTGTCGACCTCTCACCTCGAAGGACGATTACCAACAGCCCACAGTACGACTGCGGTCACCAATCTCAAACCATGGCCCACAAAGGAACACTGCTGCCCAATTCGATCGGTTCCACACAACTCAGACATGACTTCAACCGAGAAGATGGATGCAAAATGTAGCTATCTTTGGAAGGACGTTGATCAACCAAGTATAGTGTTAACTGTTGTGTTGGCCGATTCTCTGAGTTTCATTACATTTCTAAATGTTGCTAAGTTTTATATCTTTTTTTTCTCTCTATCACCTTTTTCCCTCTGTAAATTTCACCCCCACCATCTCGCCCGTTGCAGCAGCCCCCCCTTCTCCCCCTCCCCCCTCCTCGGATTAGCCGAGGTCACCCACCCCTACCCTCTCTGCGATTACATATACTTGCAAATTCCATCCCTCGTCCTGCCCACTTACCCTCGGGTTGTACCCACCACAGACGTCTATAACCTTTGGTTGAGGTAGCTCTCTCGCTACATTTCCTCCTCAGCTGTCCACCTGCTGTATTCTTTCACCTGAAGACGATGGCTTGTGTTGCTATCGAAACGTCGTGATCTTTCAGTTATTTTTTCTATCTATGTGACTTTACCGAAAGAAACAAAGAGTATAAATTCCTGCAGTCACAAAAGCTTAAAATCAGCATTTTGGTTATTCACCGGGCAACTGCTAAAGGTATCCACTGGCCCACTAATCCCAATATGAGTATATGAACATACAACTGACACCATTTCCACCCATTATGAAGAATCAAGGTTAAACCACAATGTATTGTGTAGTGACAAAATGGTCGTCACTTTGTAATAATGGGCAAAGGATACAAAATATGAGAGTCCTTCCCATTGAACGATGCCCAACTCATGGAGTTTAGCTGTTGAGGCAGACAGGCAGGCAGACAGACACACGCACACACACCAACACGTACACAACAATGTGAAATTATTTTGCTCAGCTTCAGACACAAAGCTTATATGGGCATGTACTAAATAACACTTTTTTTTTTGGATTGTCTTCCTTTAAATAAAACGATCATGATACATATGTAGAAGGTGAGAACCATTGAAACCAAACTCTCTTTTGCAAGTTAAGCACAATTCAATATTTTTTGGTCACATGGTCCCCGAGTTTTCTTAGACACACAAACGCTCCAGAATGCTGCAGTGCACGTGACCAATCAAGCGCTCCCTTGGCGACATCCCTACCTTGCAGGGAGAAGCCTTGAGCAGACCGTATATCTTGGTATGGAGCTTGCCCTCCCGACAGGACAGGTCAAAGAGCCCATACTTGTAGTGGGTGTGCTCGTTGTACAGAGCGAAGATGCGCTCCGATTTTGAGTCGAGCTGTAGCAAATAGGACGTGCCAAATCGCGTCATACCAGCCACCGCAAATGTGGATAGGGAAAAAACGTTCCTTATCAAGATAGGAATGGTAGCTACGTCACTGTAATAGTCCCAACAAGAGTGGTCAAACAACAGTTGCACAGTGTGACCTGCAGTTAATGCACCCTGTACATTGCACCATGACTGTACCCATACGGACATTTTTATTCACCCAGAAAAGTGTTAATACACCTGACAAGATTTATTTCAGGAAGGTGCGAAAAGGTTTCGCTAAATTTGGCCAATTCCTTTCGTATGAGGAATCTGAAATTCCGAGCAAGTCTACACATTAGTAGAAGAGATAAACCTCTTAAAACGGAACATAGATCAGCAAACCTACTTGCAGTACTGCATAATACGAGCATCACTTTGTTGATCGGCTGGTGAGTGTTACACACACACAATAACTCAAATCGCTCTCTGTGATTCACAAATACAGCATCCAGATTACACAGGCATGGACTGCAACCAAAACCATCAGAGTGATAACTTCGCCTGACTCCAGAATCATCAATATTTTCCCTTCATTCATAGAAAATTGGTTGTTGCCAAATGCCTGGCCTGCACACGGCCTCCTCGCTGCAACTTTAAGCTTCTCATTTACGAAGTTAAACAAACAGCATGAGGCAGAGCTCCAACAGCGGTTAATCCTGGACCCAGAGGGCAGCTCACCGGACCACTCCGTCACCGGTAACGGGGCAGCCGTACCTCCATTAGCCCGAAGTCGCCACTCACGGAGTGCACCACCCGCCGCTGCATGGCCACAAGCTTCAGCTCGTGCATCAACCTGCATGGGAGAGGAGAGGTTACCAAATGCGTGAATGAGGCCCGTCAAAACCACTAGATCACTGTATTACTCAAGCGGTTAATTAACCAATAATAGAGCTTAAGAGTTAAAGTTTAATAGCCTTAGCCGATGACCAAATCACACGGAATGTGCCCGATCTCGTCAGATTTTGGAGCTAAACAGGCTTGATCCTGGATAGTGCTTGGAGGGGTGACCACTATGCATAAAGAGGTTATCATAATAGATAGGGCTTGCAGAGCTACACAATGAGCAGCAGAGGTTGAGAGCAGAAAAATCCATTGTCCTGTACTCCGATGCGTCCACATCTACAGCTCCACACCTTCACCAACCCGTGCTGACCAGCGTGGTGAAATATGGTCCAATAACCCTCACGGCCGGCACAGGGTTTAGAGAGGACCTCAGCCAGCAGTGGATTCACAACGGTGCTGTACAAAGTTGAACGGACCTGCTGTAGGATCGTGTCGAGTGGAAGCCAGCTCTTCGCTCGTTGAGCACCCTGGTGACCGGCACTCCATTTTGAGGGACCTCGCAGGGAGAAAGGTTAAGACACACACACGCAAGAGTCACAAGCAGCGGTGGATTTACACCAGTTGGAATCATTCACATGACCGTGTGATTCATGCCACATGGTCAGGATAAAACCAGCAGATGGAACGTGGCCATTATTTGCAAATGAGCTGTAGGCAGCTCAGCTGAGCTACAAAGAGAAGAAAACTGACCACGTCACTCATTAACACTGCATTGTGAAAAACTGGCTAAGGTTATAGGGCATTCGGTATTCTTCAGAGTGAAGAGTCCGAAGAATGGATATTGCATCATGGAACAAAAGCGTACAACATGTTTAAAGTGATCATGCAATGTGAATGGTGAACAGCATGAATGTTTCTTTATCCTGCTTGTGTACCTTTCCCAATGTAGTCCCTCAATCTTTGATTTCAATTGCACTCCTCAATGTAAATACAAACTGTTGTCTCAGGTAACAGTCATTGGTGTCCTGTTAATGGTAATTTCAGTTTTAGAATCATGATTGTAGTTTTACAAATTGATAATTTACGTTTCATTCTACAGTTTTGGGTAAGTAAGCAGGTGAGAGCGGGTGAGCGAATGAGCAAGTGAGCGGGTAAGTGAGCAGGTGAGCGGGTGACCATGGGTGGGCAGTTGACCCTTACCCTGTTGGTGCTCTCATCCTGCTTGAGCAGCTGCAAACGCTGGCGCTCCTTCTCTCGTGCGCAAATGCTCTCCGTTGTCAGGGGGTTGCAGTTGTTGTGGCCGGGCAGCAGTCGAAAGTAACGGTTCTTCTCGCGGTCAAAGTAGAAGCCTGGGAGTTCTGAAACAATTACAAAGAACTACCGTGAATTTTAATATGAAGAAGTTAGGAAACATCGTGGGTAATCCAGGATTATATGGGAAAAAAAATTCAAGGTTATTTTTTTTCGTAAATATTTAATTTTCAAAACATATACAAAATGTTTTCGTACATTTGCAAGTACAGCAATCCGTCGCCAGACGTGAACTTGTCAACCACGGAATTCATGTATACACGGTTTACTATCTGTGTACTCCCATAAGCCCCTTGTGCTTTACCAACCGCGGCTTTGCCTACCGCGGCCTTTTCTAGGAACCAAACCCCCGCAGTTGGCGAGGGATTGCTGTCGTAATTTTTGCACTGCCTTGTTTACAACTTTGGGCAACTCTGAGATCAATGTGACCAGTACACAGTATGGTAAATCAATACTAGCTGCACAATGTTACACTTCAGTTTAGTTCACTCATCTCAGCACATTATAATTTAATTGTAGCATTTTTCTGTTAATCCAGTCTAATGTAGCCATCGGTGTTCTACTTTAAAATAGTGAATAAAGAATGAGTGGCAAGCAGTCAAAAAATCTTAATAGTGTATGAAGGTGTACGATCTGGTGTGAGGTGAGCAGCCAATTGACTATAAGTGTCTTCTCTGTGGTGTGAGATCTTTCAGGGTTATGGCCATTCCCTGACAAGGTGCGATATTTTGCTATCTTGGGGAGTTGTGACAACATGTTTCATCACCTTTTCACTTTGATACTCTGATAGCACAACTGACATGCAATGAGTAGAAACAATCAAAAAGCATAGTTTGTCAGAATCAGAATACTTATTTAGACTGGAGGAATCCGATTAGCTATGAAAATCTTTTTCAGATGACAAAATATGACCTTCAGAGTAGAGTAAATTCAGCTTCCACCAAGGTTGTTCGTTTGGCTATTAGACATGGACGTACGAGTTTGCTATACAAAGACATAGGCAAGAAAAAGTAGAAAAGTTTATAATATGATCCAAGCTGTATAACATTATAATTGAATATGTGGCAGCTGCAAGTTTATTCCGCAATCCTCTAACGCACCCACTAGAGTGTGCTTTCGTACTGTGACCACCACCAGCAATGAATCCAAAGGACAGAATTGCATGTACAGTTTGTGACCTACAAAAATGAATTTGAAATATGCACAGGATGGAATATGCTTTAGCTACCGAAAACCTCTTAACTCTATCCCAATCATAGGCAGCCGAGATATTTGCAATGCCACTCACTTGCTGTAATGCCATTTCCGAGCCTCCTCATAGCACAATAGATTTGGGAGTTTCAGAAATCTTTACGATCCCCCGACCCTTGCCTCCAAAACAATGGATTAGAGGTGTGTGCCTGCCTCCCACGATCAGCTCACTGCAACAGCGGGCATGTTCAGTCAGTGTGGCCAGCACCGCTAACCAAATATACAAAAGCCCCTTTTCCACAGTCATTTACTTTTGAAAGCTATTGCTGGCCACTCCTGACTCTTACTCCTATGTTTTTTTTAACCAGATAAAGTCCACTTAGATACAGAACTCTTTTTCAGAAGTGACCTGGCCACAAATGATAGCTCAACGAAGTGGCTTATAATGTGGAAATGTATAGCAGCCAAATGCTCTAAAGGTATGTTTCTAAATGCGGAGGGAAAACTAGAAGACCCAGAGAAAAATCCACACGACCACGGGAACATAAGAACACACAAACTACACATATATAGGTGTCAGGGTCTGGATCAAACCCACGACCTCCTGTATACTAGGCGAGGTAATTAACATTCCGCCACCACAGCACCCCCGGCATTGACCTGGTGCGTCGCTCGTGTCCCCCGTCTGGGCCAGCTGTGAGACGGCAGCTGCTGAAGACGTGCCCTCCCCATGTGCTTCACTCGGTCGGTGTCGGTGTCTCATCCTGACAAAAGAGGGAACCCACAATCATCCCTCCTGCACATAACAGGATCTGAGTTGTACCCACAGACGTTTATTTTAAAGTGCAATTAAAGACGTCAAGGTCTGCGTTGCAACATTTTTACTTGGACCTTGATGAGCTCCCACCTGGTTAAAGTTGAAAAGTCTTCAAAGATTTAATCAACACCATAGTCATTTATTTATCCAGAAAAGTCTCAGTGAATATCGAGTCTATTTATAATTACGGTCCTGGATTGGGATATTGTGCCAATTAAATTATGAGAATTGGACATTTGGGAGTAAGCCAGGCAAACTGCAGAAAAACCCCATTCATATTTAGGGAATAATGCTCAAACGTCCACACAAATCGGTGCATAAACCCACTTGCTGTATTGCCATCTCTTCGTCAACTCACAGTGCAAGATATTCGGGAGTTTCACAAATCTATGTGAGCCACCAACCCTTGCAATCATCTCTACTATGTGTGATAATGGCCACAGCTATTATTGGACTGAAAAAAACAACCAAGATTGGCAAGCATATGCAATGTGCATGTAACAATTAAATTCATTAGGAAAATGTTCCTCTCGTTTGTATTGTATGTGTTGTCTCGTTTGTTGTTGTTCACCCTACACATCTCATGAAAACTTTAGCATAGAATTTACTGTAAAAATCTATCCACAAATACTCCAATGTATCTACACATCAAAATATTTTTAAATAAATGAATGATTATGTCCTATCAAGGCACAATTATTGTAGTTGGTTCTGTCTGGGTCAGTGACCCAAACAATTATCTGCACACGGCACACATGCAGTATACCTTTCTCAATGACTCTAGCTACAAGTCACGTACCTTCTTCCAGTCTACCAGTGTCTTAGAATATGTTCATTGAGAAATTAAGCCCTGTGTATTAGTACGTGGCTTAAATCTGAATCCGTGAAACATCGTGCATGATTTCCAGGCCCGCCCTCACCGCCTGTGCCCAGGCTCTGGTGCCACCCAGTGGCCTCGCTTCCTTCCTCCGCGCCACCTTCCACTCATCTGTACCCATTCGACAAGTGGGGCACAGTGTGTCACACGTGAACAATTTGTTAATTTCAAAAATGGTCATCACATTACAAAGAAGGCAACACGACACAGAATTTGAATACGTTACAATCTCACCGCAATTATCACAATGGCTGACAAGATATGGACATCTGTGAAAATACTAGACATTGTGAGTTTCATCGCTCATCGGATACCTCCAATATAAGTACAGATTCTGATATCGGCCTGAGACGGCCACATGGGTACTTGATATCGTAATTTTATATTCTTGGTTCTTTCGGTAAAGTCACGAAGGAACCAAGAATATGAATCCCTGCAGTCACGAAAGCTTTAATCAAAATCGTAATTTGACTTGAAACTTAATACGGTCCGACGTACCCCAGCCATCACTGGACAAAGCTCTGCTATGGTTCAGAAAGTGGTCACCTGCCACCTCTGCTGTAGGATCGATCCGGCTGCTTCAAGCAGCAACGTGCAGTGCATCCACAGCCCGGTCTCTATCCACTGCTGGGTGAGGGCGTCTCGAGCAGGCAACACGCACCGCACCACGTGCCGGTGAGTCCGAGGGGAGATGTGTTTGGTTTAGGGGCTTAACATCCCGGGCTGAACACAACATTAGAGCGGTTTCCTTTTCATATGACCATGAGGCGATGCTCATACCCCATTTACAGCCATGAGGCAGTTGCGGAAATTCTACGTTGCTATGGCGGGGGCGAGGCTGTCACAGGCAAACTACTGACAGTTCTAATTTGCCAGCACAATGGTAGTATAATAAACGCCACTAGTTATTGTGCTTTAATATATACATTTTTGTTTACATTTTACAAGTTAAGGCTTATTGAAGCTGAATGCTAACCCCAATGTGTCAATGCCCAAGAGTTTATGAATTCGCTAAAGCCAGTGTGGCCGAAGTGCCCTGCTCATGCTGCAAGTTAGTCTCAGCTAGTACAACTATTGAATGGGATATTATTTAAGTGCTTAATATGTTAATTTTTGAAATTCTAGCGAGGCCTGGCAGTGTGACTTTACATTAAATCACCGTGTTGGATAACCTTGTTGACGCCACTGCGTGCTGAGTGAGGAAGCCTCCTCCACTCGAGGCCGATCTCGAGAGGCCCTCTCGAGAGAGAGGGTGGCCTCCTCCTCCTGCTCTTCCACGCCGGCGAGCCGCCGCCGCCGCCTTGCAGGAGTGGACACCAGCCACGCTGCTCGCGACACGCGAGCGCGGCCTGTGGGTGCCCCACAGATAATGGGAGCGGCTCGCCGACGTCAAAGTGTGCAACAGTAGCGCAACAGGAGGCGTCTACACACCAAATAGACACTTGCTGTAAGGAAGCAACGGGGCCGTGGCCATCCACACAGCCCCGGGTGAACGGCGGCGGAGGCAGCTGCCGCCACGTGGGGCCCGGCGGGTCGCCTGCCGCGCCCAGAGATCCAACTCGCCACTTGCGCTCTCAACGTTACGCAACGGCAGCAACGCACATTTTAAATAAAGCGCGTTTTATATTACAAATACAGCCACTGTCGTGTCAGCTCCAGCAAGCAGCGCATGTTGATTAATAAAATGTAACTTTTAATGTTTCTAAAAGTCGCGATTAATGTCAAGTGTTGTACAGTGCAACTGTTGGTACAGTACGCCATACCGTAAAGCCGAGCGTGGTGATTGGCTGCTGTCGGTGGTCGACACGGCGACCAATCAGCGCCCGCCTTGCTGCGGCGACCAATCAGCGCCCGCCTTGCTGCAGCGCCCTCTAGTAGACGCTGGAATGTTCAATGTGGATTTGTGATGTCACAAATAGATGTGAACATCTTCTTGGTTCTTTCGGTAAAGTCATCATGTAGAATGGAAATAATAAAATAATAAAAATAAAACATAATAAAATAATTCTCACGACGTTTCGGCCACAACGCAAGCAGCCGTCCTCAGGTGGAGAGCAGGTCTGTCGAGGAGACGAGTCTGAATGGCAAGCCCCAGGCTTGGAGCGACTATTTAAGCTGCTGGGATGGAGGGGAGAAGAGCGCCTTGACAAAATAATTTGCATATCAAGAGGAATTTAGCATATTTATGGTAAATCGCATATCTGCATTTCATGATTATGTTTTTTTGTGTGGGGGGGGGGGGGAGATTTGGAATTAGCCCACGCAATGATCTGGTCACGTTTGTGTTACAAGTCCCCTCCACCACCCGACATAACCAAACAGACCACCGCGTAAGAGTGCGTCCAGCGTCTTGAAATTAAGAAAAATGAGCAAAGTCGGAGGTCTCGCTCGATAACGACGCTGGGTGCTGCCACGGTGGCTACGAGCTGTTAACTCCCTCGCCTGGTCTGCAGGAGGTCTGGGTTCGACCCCGACCCTGTGACGCCTGCTGCTGTTGCTGCTGCTGCTGTATATTTGGAGTGGTCGCGTGGATTTGTCTCCGGGTCCTCCGGGTTTTATTTAGAAAGCACGCGTTTAGAGTATTTTTCGGTAAAGTCACTTAGGTAAAAAAAATAGAAATAATAATAGAAATAAAAGTCACGTAGGTAAAAAATAAATAATAAAAATAGAAATAATAATAGAAATAAAAGTCACGTAGGTAAAACATTAAAATAAAATAAAAAATTATATAAATAATAATAGAAATTACATAATACTAATATTTCTATTATTTATATTATTTTAGAAATAAAATAATATTTCTATTATTATTATTTTTTATATATTTTTTACCTACGTGACTTTACCGAAAAAACCTAAGAGTATGAATCCTTGGAGTCACGAAAGCTTCAAATCTAGAATTTAGAGTATTTGGCTGCGATAGATTTCCACATGATAAGCCACTTCGTTGAGCTATCATTTGTGGCCAGGTCGCGTCTGAAAAAGAGCTACATAGCTCAGTGGGGCTCGCCTGGTCAAATAAAATCAAACATTGTGCGCCTTGCACGCTTGCCACGCGGTGGTGACGGAGTTATTCATTTGGCTCTGTCGGCTTGTCGTGGAGCGTCCTGCCACTGACATTTGGCCAGATAATTACTGTCCATGGCCTAATACGTAAATCAATCACGAATTGCAATTATCGGCTGCGGAAAACGCCCGCATGTGGCCACGCAGCAGCACAGGGAGGATGAGGCGCACTGCTGCCCCCCCCAACCTCGCTGCGAGAGTTGGGGGGGGGGGCAGCAGTGCGCATCAGCCTCGTTGCGGGGCAGAGGAGGAGGAGGCGTTCGTCAATCAGTTGCAGCTGACACCTCCCCACCAACACACATCCCTCCTTTGTGCTGCTGTGGGTGCATTTGGACACCATCAATGCCTTTGGGAGCATCAATATTCCACCCCTCACACAAACACGGCGCCCTTGTATAATGTAGAATGCTCATTCCCACGTTGTCCTTGTTTCCCTCTGCGCTTGTGAATATGGAAAGCCCCATGCATGCTTTTGCGTGTGGAACAATGTGTCGGTGTTTGTCAAGGCCACGTTTTATATTTGCCTCCACAATGATGCAAACGTTTGCTTAATCCGATAATACTGGAATGTAAACAAGCCGTGATTCAACCTCTGGCTTTTGTAAATTGTTCAAACACATCGCATGCATAACCATGGTACCATGATTTTAATAGTACGATGAATAAACTGGCTACTTTTATGTTGTATGCCAAATATAATTGCATACATAAATCACTGTCCTCACATTAAAAAAAAACCTGGTTAAGAGTCCGAGTACATTATCTCTCTTGCAAAGGAAAGCTGGGTAAGCATGTTTACATAGAGACGTAGATATGCAGTTCGATTATGTGTACAGGATTGGAAAACTGTTTATTTTCAGGTTAATATTTTTGGAATTCTTGCATTCACTAGACAGTTTTACATATAAAGTCTAATAATCGGAATGGACAACCACGGATAACAGTTGTGCTACTGTGCACACACTCTTTAGCATGTGCGAATCGGGTTCATTTGTGAATCGGTACCATTTGAACGAGACTTGCAATGGAAACATTCAAAATATGCTGGATACTTCTGCTGTATATGTTTGGGGTGGGTAATGTAGAAATGGTATCAGGTTCGCTGGATAAATACGATGGATAAGGAATTGTGCTTGTTATTGTCCCTTGTTCAATACACAATGGGATATCAACGCAAAGACAACATCCATGGGGAGCGGTAGTGTAGTGGTGGTTAGCGCACTGCCCTACGAACCCGGCGACCCGAGTTCGATTCCCGCTCACGGTCAGCACCAGTGACGATTATCTAAACCGGTCCTGGGCCTACCCTAGGTCGACTCGGCCTCAAATGAATACTTGGTGCGGTGTGTAAAAACATCAACAATCTGGGGAGATAAAGGCGGTCGGGGGTGGTGCTGATCCCCCACCCCCTCGTGTACCGTGCCAGCCTTCATGCTCGTTTACAGAACTGGGCCGAATAGTCTGTTGAGGCTATGAGGGAAACCTTTGTCTATTTACACAAACTATATATTGGGCATGTGATTGAATTTATGTTTATTTTCAAAACTGAATATACAATGGTAATGGAAATAACCCGAGCGAATCATTCTGATTAAGCGCACCTTAAATCCTTACTCAAAGCCATATCCCAAAGGGAACGAGAAGACACAGGCAAAGGTTTGTCTTCGCTTGACCAATAACGCATGGATGATTCTGGTGATATCACCGCAGTGTGCAAATGGGTTTCTTACACCACAAGTACAAAAGCATTTTGCTTTAGTCATTAGGTCCAATGTGATTTTGCACCAGTACATTGTCAGCAGAGGGCAGTGCACCAATATTCACTGATGATGATCTTTACAATGGTCCAACTTCGATGCTCCTCACCTTTACCAAACTGTAATGACGAGCATGGTGAGAGTGACCATATAACGCCCACAACCTGCACGGTATGAAGAGGCCCTGAGGCCTTATCCAGCAATAGATTGGCAAATATTGCATTAACCATTAAGACTACCGATCCCCATAATATCAGACTATCACAATTTTGCTAAATATCACGATGGTGGATTCACAAATGGTTGTTGCTTGAGTGTGATTGCCTATAAGCCACCTCCACAGACCTCAAATAACTATCATTATTATTATTCTGCGTGTTTACCCAAGAAAGCCTGAGTCTCAATTGAGTAATTTGCAGGTCTTTTCCAGTTGGCCAACACCAGTTAAATTGTATGTTGGTCTTTTTCGGTATGGGAGGAAATCGGAGAACCCGGAGGAGACCTTTTCAGAACAGGGGGAGAAGATACAAACTCCACGCAGAAAGGTGCCAGAGTCGCGACTCTAACCCAGGGGCTTCTAGCAGTGAGGGGCACGGGTTACCACTACGTCACTCTGCCACCCTTACAACGGTTAAATCAACTGCAGTACATGCCACGTGAAATTTTATCATAAAAAACATGTGTGTGTTTTCACTCACATAAATCATAACACAATAGAAAACTCGGCAATGTGGGGGACGAACATTTGAGATCCATCTTTGGGAATTATATCTACAAAGACCCTTAACCTAACCATGAAAAATGTGTGGATGATGGGATAAATTTGCTTTCAAACTCCACTTTTTTGCAAAAAAAATCACGGATAATAGGAAGTCGATTTTCAATGGATGGACAATACTTTCAGATAATCGCAGATACTGTTATTTGAGTTTTTACAGATCCTAAAGCTCCTACGGATAATGGGTAATAAGGTCACAGTTGAGATTAGTTTTAATGTACAATACAAATCCTGAATTCAAAACTAAATATAGTTTTGGAAAAAATGTGTTTAAAAAAGATCTGTCCTCTAAAATCTAAAAGTGCACCGTGGGGTTTGCCAAAAGTGAATGTCCAGGTGACACGATGTGGTATTTAAGAACTAATGGGGTACTGAGTGTAGCTGCCAGAACTGCATGCCCAGAGGAGATACATAGCCTCTAAAGCACGAGGGCACATCACCTAAATATGATGCGCTTTCTTAATTTGTCATCTGCCTAATGTTCACACAGCAGGATACGGTATTTGCATGCAGTGTGTGGTATTAGCAAACAATTTTATAATGCGTGATATTATGGGGAGCGGTAGCGTAAGGTTAGCGCAATGCACTACGAACCGGGCCACCCCAGGTCGATTCCTGCTCACGGCCATCATCGGTGACAAACATATCGGAACTGGTCTCGGGCCTCATCTAGGTCAACTCAGCCTTAAATGAGCACCTGTTGTGGTGTGTAAAAACATCATCACTGGGGTGCTGGCCACCAACCCCCTCGTGTGCCATGACAACCTTAATAACGTGCTCGCTAACAGCACTCACCCAAACAGCTGATGGAAGGCCATATGGGGGCCTTTGTCTTCAATTAGCAAAAGAGACGGTAGCGACACTTTGGCTGAGTGACTTCAGCTTTATTCACTGAAGTGTTGCCTTTTATTGCCCCATCAAACTATACATTGTGTTTACACATACAGATATACAGTTACACGTGTGCTTCTGTGCCAATGACCCTTTGGAGTCAAACTCACAAGGCAGTATTGCATTTGCCAGGTGTATGATAACATACCACATCATATAGGCTGAATACATTTATCCTCTGCACATACATAACACTACAGTACTGTGGTTCTCATATACGAGTGTGGGCATATAGATGTACATATGATCACATTGAGCATGGTATATTCGGTACTTTTACGCAGGGTATTTAAATAATAAGTGTGAGGAATTGATACCGTAGCTTGGGGGAAACCCACGTAAAAAGGCATCTATTGATTGAATATAGTGCCGCTCAATAATTGGGAGTAGTTTCCACGTTGTCACATGATAGAAGGTCTCAACCTTGTGTCTGCTATCAAGTGCTTTGTTACGCACTCTTTTGTGTTCTCATCCATGGGTCAAAGTACTCTGCAAAAACAAGCCGAAGACAAAGCATCATGTGAGACCGCCCTTCTAAAACAAGCTTCCTCCCTCACACGAATACAGGTGCTTTAGTTAATTAATGGGACACAAACAAAATAATATTCACAACGAGAAAGCCAACGAACCCCTTCTTGGGTAAGAGCACAGAGTCAACACTGTCGAGATCATGGGTTCGAATCGAGCAGCCAACGGTGATTAAACCATTTTTTCAAGAGTAGTGAGTTGATGTCTTCAACCTGGTTATAACAGTAGCTGAACAAACTTCTGATTCGCACATATATCTGACTGAGGTCCTTATATTGAATGAATACTCTTAATTGAAGGGAGTACGAGATGGAGTGCCCTTTGGTATCTTGGTAAGAGAGATAGAGGAGAAATCACCTGGAAGGATGGAATTACGCTTCAATTCCTTGATTAATAGCGTCTCGAGGTGCGTGATACTAAATGTACTCGGATCACGTTATCCTTACGGCCATTAAAGGTGCTTCAATTCACCGTGGAATCCCCCAGTGCCTCAGCTCATGATCCCTCCGAAGTAATGTAAATAAGTACCACTTTGTAAGGAAGTCAACAACAGTGGTTGTACTGTGGATAGACTCGCCCCCACCATAGCAATGTTGCATTTCAATCACTGGCTCAGGGTAGTAAACAGTGGACATTCAGGGCAATAAATAACTTTGACTTTGACTTTTAAGCTCTGTTTTTTTGCCTCAGAAGTGGCAGCCCTGATCTGACTGAAGGAGCACAATTGGTATATGCCTGGATCCTGCTTGGGCAATATACAATATCTGACATTGGCTCAAGGCTGCAAAGAGAGATGATGAATGTCCCAAGCTCACTGGAGCGGGGAGAATGTTGACTTGACTATTGACTTTGTCATAAATTACCAAAAAGGGAGTGCAAGAACATATAAATAATTGATTAAGTACATTTTCTACATGATGTCTACGTTGTTTCATAACATTATTTATTTACATAGGATTTGAGACCTAGAAAATTCACCACACATTCAATATAGCACTGTAATATGAATGCAGGAGCAGTGATAGCAATCACGGTGGAATAAGAGGTGGGGGAGACTACGTGTGGGTGGTGGTGGCCGTAGCTTTCGACAATGTTCCATCAACTACAGAATGTGGGAATTCGTGCTCTGTATCTACGGGTGCCGATTCAACGCTGTACATTCGCGTGCATCAGTCCACTGATAAATAATTAAAAAGTAAGGCCTCCTGCTTCAAAATTAATTACACTACGACGAATAACGCATCAGAGGAAGTGTCTCACAGAAAATCAAGTAATAAATAGCTTCAAAGGGATTATTACTTGCACGTAAGCTTTTCTTATTTCTAATTATTAGTGTCGGTACAGTACGTTTGAGCATTCACGAGAGACGCCAAATGGCCACGTAAGTGAACCGCGCCTCACTAACCGGGCCCCCTCAACCACATTCGAATCTAGCGGCCGCCCTGGTTATTACTGTGGTTGTAACCATAATCAAAGTGGATGTTAAAGATCCAATTATGGCATTTGCAAGAGTAGGCCATTGCGTGTCGGTATCACGGTCCAAATTTGCCAAATTAAAAAAAATCCCACAAAATACTCAATTGGGATTATACATACCAATCATCGCCCCCTACTGGTGGACTAATGCCTCAGGTCACTCTTGCAAACGGGACTATCCTGGTATCTTGAGTTCTCAATAAACTTGAAGGCATGGATCCCAGCAGGAGACATGACGCTTCACGAATATGCACCACAATGACCTGCACACTGCAGTCAATGGGGGCGATCTGGACTGAGGCTCATGGCACGCAGGCAGCACATCAACGTGGCAGCACAACACCATGGCAGCACAACACCGTGGCAGCACATGCGAGCGGCTGTTTGGAACAGCAGCCTCCCGTGCGCTCTTTTCACTGCGTGTTTCATTTTAACTTCGGCTTATTACAGCGACGATCCATTTGTTATGTGTGGAGTCAGTGCTGATGCGGATTTCCATTTGCCCTGAGCATGACTTTCAAAAAAAAAATTCGTGTCTATTTCCTCTTTCATTTGCACGTAATGTGCCCTCCTCACTTTACACAGGCTCTCAACCCCCTTTGCGCATCACCTCTGCACAGATTGTCATGTCTACCATGGTGCAGGAGTTTGCTAATTGGTGCCCGTTGGTAGATACATCATCTTATACTTTATAACCGACTTTATTCCAATCGGCCCATGGATGTTATGTCATGAGGTGAATAAACCTATTTATGGAATTCTCACAGCCAACAGAGCACCGCATCACATTGGGGAACGGCCCAAGAAGAGAACACTACAGAACCACTGCTGAAGTCACTTCAAGTGGGGGTTCTCTCAACTAACAATGGGCAGCAGATCTGGGCTTGCCTGCACGAACAATGGGCAGCAGATCTGGGATAGTCTGCACTAATGGGCAGCCGATCTGGGCTAGCTTGCACTAAGTCAACACCCACAGCTGACAAAAAAAGCAGCGACTCTGTAAATCTTTAATGTACAGATGGCGATGAGGGTGAGGTCTGTGTTACATGGTATTCCTCCTATGTGCCATGTTGTAAGGTTCACTCATGTTAGTGTTAAAACAAGCAGTAGCAACAAAACATGCGAAATTTCTTGTTGCATAGCCTTCGACTACAGAACATTTCCCAAACATTCGCTCATTCATTGTCTCGCCGCTTTAAAAGCTCGTGTAAAAACCTCAACAGCAGAAACATCTCAAATAAATATTTTCACTTTATACACTTTACTAATTTTATCCACCGAATATTAAAAATGTACATTGTACAATTTAACACCTTTTTTTAAACCAGCTCTGTGATATCGTGTTGGCAGATGTTCAGCGACGAGCTGTGTAAGTATAGGTAGGAAGATGATCTTGCTCTGGCTGCTGTGTGAATACAATCAACACAGAGCGTTGACGATTAGCAGGGAATCGGTGCTGAATGACTGAAGAAACTAAGCCCTGCTCAACAGGCTGTGACCAGGCCAAGGCCCCCTGTGGGTCTGACGTTACAAACCAAGCTTGAGCTGCTGTGGTGCAAGACAGACCGCGACACACGTTGTCTGAAGACCACGTCCGCTAACCAAGCCGGGCGGCGGGTGGAAGGACGCTGCTGCTGCTGCTGCCTGGCTCGGCACTAAATGAAGGAACTGCAAAAGCCAGACATGGATTTATAACATTTGGAGCCAACTGCTTGAATTTGCCGCATTGGCATATACACTTCCCATTTCCATTTTGCAATAGTGAGAAGTGTTTACTTGTTTAAATATTGCCACTGAAATACAAATGTGAAAAACACACTGCTGTTGAAGATTTAGATCAAGAGAGCGAGGTGACGTGCTTGTCTCCAGCTGGCCGTGGTCTCCAGCCCCTGGGGACGGCCAGACCAATCGCTCGGTGGGTGGCCGGTGACATGATGCACAACAGCAGCCTCGTTACAGACACCAAAACCAAGAAGTCGAGGGGGGTGCCTTGACCGGGCGTCAGGGCTGCGCGCTTCCTCCCAGACGAACGGCGCCGCACGCTGGAACGCTCTCGTTGTGGTTGCATCCACGTGGTTCTGTACTCCCTCTGAGGTGACCTATCCAGGAAGAGGTCTCGGAATGTTTGGCAAGGGAGGTCACGTCTGATGTACTGTGGATGTGTACCAGGGAAGAATGGATGACGTGTGTTGCATCCAAGTCGACCGCTGGAATATAACACAGCCGACTGTTGCCATTCGTCTCAACCGTACGTAGTGGTCGCTTGTATACCTGTTCTGTGTTTCTACCTTTGCTTTGTTGAAAATATAAATAAAATAAAAACCTAATGATCGCAGAGCAGGGTTGTTAATCTAGGTTTTCTCCACTGCCCACTTGTTACACGGGACTATGGCATTAAACCCGACCAATATTGACTGGGAATTCGTCAACATCCGGCAGATACGAAACCCGAACAGCTGAAAACGAGAAAAGGGCTTTCATTTGCAAACTCACGCCACGTTCACCATCACGGCGGGATGTCCCGCAGGAAAACTCCGTTACAACGAAGTCTTCGCATCGTTTGTTTCTGGGGCGTGCATGTGTGCCGACGAACTCATTCACGGAGGTGAGCAGATCCATTGTAGGGTTTCGTTAAGCTACTGAATCTGACAAACTCCCCGCAATGGTTCTTCCAACACTCGGCGCATTTCGGCGTGCCTGCTAACTGGTACATGCTGCACATCCACTCATTTACCATCAAGTCGAGAGCTTCTGGTAAAGGCTTTAAATCATTGCTTGACATTGACGTATAGACCAGAGTGAGTTTAAGTGGAATGGAATTTGCGTATTAAGAGCCAGTCTCTTCAAGGGCACCACGTGCTCTGTTAACCACCCCCCCCCCCCCCCCCCCCGTTAGTGCAGAAAACTTGGTCTTGCAAAACCTGGTCCCAAGAGCTCAACGATGTCCATATTTCATTACCGACCATTCTCACAGAAATCGGACACCGTGATTATTAATTCGTGAAAAGTTTTGTAAAGTCGGTCTTCGACCGCTCGTGTTGAGAGGCTGGTGCTTCTTGAGACGACGGTGCGGGAGGCGTTTGGAGCACGGTGACTCTCCCCGCTTCCGAGGGGGGGGGAGTACATTGTTTTAATCAGGACGACTGCACCAGGCTGGTGAGTCTCTTGGAGGTCAAGGATTTCCCCTGCAAAACAAAGATGTTCGAGAATTATTAGCTCGGTGCAATGACGCGGGTTTGACATTTCGATAAAGAGGCACACCGTTACACTCGGACTGCCACTCAAGCTGACCCGAGCCTCCCCTTCACTCAACCCTCATCCACTCCACGAGATGCCCTTTGCGTTGGGTCGTTGAGCTGCGTCCTTAGCACCTGCAACTCGGAGGCGATTTTACGAATCGTGGTAGAAGCAAACCACGTCTATATGCACTCATGTCAGAGTGGATGGCCGCTGAGATGAGATCATAATGATTGTGATCAGTGAGGACATGGATAGGCCTTCAATTATCAATGTGTAGAACTTGAGTGATGATGAAAATTTACTTTTCAAATGCTGTACATGGTGATAGATCTGGGAAACTCACTGTCCACAGTGATAAGAGGAATGCTTTTTGTAAAGATGTAAGACCAAAAATGCCTTTGCTAAACGTGATTTTGCGTGATTGTGTCCCAAGCAGAAATTCTGTTACCAAGGGACTGACAAATGATACTGAATTTTGTATGCAAATGACAATATTATACAGTTACACAAATACATTTAAAAACCTGGTGAATAGCATAACTATAATATATGGATAAGGCTGGCCTTTATTTAAATTAGCAATTAAAATATTCTCGAAAAAAACCCATCGCTTGGTGCTAAATATAAATAAATATAATTGCCATCTGGTATCCGTCCCCTTGCACCAGCCTCACCTGGTGACTAATGTGGGCCCCGAGGGGGTGCAGCGCCCTGCGTTTGTTTGACTGTGGGGCTCGAGGGACTGTAGCAAGGTGGAGGTGACGTCGTCGTCGTCTTCGCTGCCGTAATAACGCATTTTTAAATGACTCTCGCATGACCGCAATGATACCGACAGGACATTGTTGGTATTGACAGGTGAAGGTCGAGAGGTCACCACGGATAACGTGGCCATCGCTTCCTTTTCATAGATTCCACAGCTGATGCAAAGCTATCATTTGACCTACAACGTCTGGCTTTAGGTCTTCCCCATTGGTCACAAACATCGGGTAATGACGTCAACTTGCAACGCGCCACACATCATTAGCTCGCTTCTCCAAGAGAGAGAAAATTACCCTGAGGCGCGAGGAACCACAGACATGTGGGAAGAAGGCAGCCACGCCGTGAGCTGGCACCAACAAATGCCCAAGCTCTTCGATCCTCTATATATTAAAGTGTTATCAGCCAATTCATGAGTGCTTAGGTGTGGAAGAAACCGAAGCACCTGGAGAAAATCCACGTGTTCTCCGGGGGGAAACGCTATCCCACACTCGCTCTGGTCATCCTCGCATGACGCTTTTAGCTGTTCATCGAACAAAGATGGTCACTGCATCACGACCTTTCGGATGCACTTCTGCGGCCGTCAGGAACGCTCTTTCTTCCGAAATTAGGACGCCGCTGGAGCTATGCACTTTTCAATCATCCAGATTGAAAACTAATTTCTTTTGAACCGCTTTACGTGTTTTGTTTGTTGTCCTTCCCCCACACCTCCAACTAGCACAGTTGGCTATGTCCAGCGCGAAAGAAGTTCAACATACACACAGAGAAGGTGGAATCCACATTTTTGCTGCACCGCGTTCTCCTAGCGAGAGAGGGTATGACACCTCAACGCCCACGGGAAGGGAATTCCACGACATTTGTGCGATCCATCAACCCTCGCAGCCTCCGCAGCGCTGGACTAGAGGTGACCCCTGGCCGTGCGCCACTCCAACGCCTCTCTCAGTGACATGCCCTCTTCCACACCACATTCACTCATTTCCATGGACAGTCAACTCGATTCAACTCAAATTGACAGATAACTTAACTTAAGTTGATGGACAATTCTAGTTGGTAATAAAAAGAATGTATATAATTTCCCCAAGTTCACGTTACCTTAACAGTTGGCCAGCTCCTTTCCAGAATTCTATACATCTGCTGGGCCCGAATTTCCACGTGGCCTTCAGGTCGAGCCTGAGAAATGAAACTGCGTAAGAGAATTTGAACTCCTGCCTGAACTTTCCAGCCAAATAAGAGTCGTCTACAAACACGGTCATGGAATGGCCGTGTGGGGCGTGGAATCTTTGCCAATGCACTGCAGTTCTGTGATTAGGGTTACGGTTTGGAAACGGGATACGTGTGTTAACCTCCTCTCCCCCACTATGTTTTCAACGCTTTAGATTTGAAGCTTTCGTGACTGCAAGGATTCATACTCCTTGGTTTTTTCCAAAGAGTATTTCAACGCTTTGTTGACATGTTTAATTCCAGACTTCCAAGTTGCTTAGTCTATCCCATGAACTTCCTAATATCTGCTCTGTAAGCACTCAATGCTGCGACTAAGAATAATGTTGAACAAATCATTTGGTGATGCTGCTGTTGGTGGCAGTGGTGCACTAACCACCAAAAACAAACTCAACACCATTCGTTAATAACAATGTGTGTGGTCTTAATAGGAAAATATCACACAGGTAACGTTTTGGGCAATGGCCCTTCTTCATAGCATACAGAGCAGCCAATGATAATGTCGGACGTTAATACTATATTGTAGCAAGAGCAATAAGGCTAACAAAATAGGCGAAAGCCTACGTGTTAACCCAAAATAACATCGTTGTAATATGATTATTACTTCACGATGATACTGAAATGTAACCTGACTTTTGCAGTTTGTACATGTTATTGAAAATGCTACTGAAATGTCATCGTATTTTTGGTTCATGCATATCAAACATAAAACTATTAACAGTGATAAGAGAAAAGTGATTACTTTAAAGATAATACATCATAAAAAAAGCAAATACTCATGTTGTGCAGAAGATTAAATGTAAAGAAATAATAGAAGATTCCTAACAAATAAAGCCACAAGTAAAAATGATTATACTTTATGAATTAAAACACTACTAGGAGTGACTCTGGTCCTTTCATTGATAACACAGCAACGCATAAATCAACGGTGAACACGATCCCTGCAATAACATTACGCTGCTATTCGTAAGCAATGATTACCGTTAATCTTATAATGTATATTCGGTCACTGAGAACAACTCGTTTTGTACACGAATGGTGTGAAATTGTTTCATTGCGGTCGTGATGTATCGTCACACACACACGCGCACGTAGTGGGGGGCGATATAGAATTACTGGGTCACCGCTGCGATCTCCACTCGGCAGGAACCAACCAAGCACCATGCACGGCCTGCAGCCACGTGCAGCTACTGCGGGGCTGCAGTCCATGCACAGAAGCCACTAGAGCCGTGCACTTTTAAATCTAGATTGAGATCTCATTTATTTAGAACTGCTTTTCGCGTTTAGCTTGTTGTCCTTCCCATGCACCTCCGATTAGCACGGTTGGCTACGTACGGTGCAAAAGAAGTTCAACATACATACAACCGCACACTTGGGAGATTCATCTCCAGTTATGAAGGATGTTACAATTCACCCCGGCGACACACACACACATCACATGACATGCATGATCCGTTTTCATCACTCCTCCTCAGTGGGCGTCTTCTTTCATTCCTTGGCTGCCTGCTCCTTCACTATTTTTGACCATTGGCCATTGTTTTGTTCTACTTTCCTGAACAGTTTGCTATGACGTCTTTCACCTGTGCATGCTCTCTAAGCCACGTGGTCCTCCTCCTGTCTCTCAATGCAATTCCGAGCGTGCATTCTTCCATACTTCCCTTGTGCACCTTTCATTTTCTGCTCCAATTTTTGGTTTAATGACCACGTTTCTGAGCTGTACTTTGTACCATACGCAATTAGAGAATGCAGTGATTGGTAGCCTATCTCACAAGATGTTTACTATGAAGAAGGATCATTCCCCCAAAACGTTGCCGATCATGTGCGAGTTTATATTTCGGGCCACAGTGTTATTGACGAACATGTCGAGTTTCGGTATCTTGCGTAGAGACGTACATCTTGCTTACCGTGCACTCATTCTGCAAATGCAGTTCGGGGACTGAACAGAGAATGGGCCGATGGGCAGAAAGTGCACCGCAGTAAAACACCCCATGAGAGAAACACTGGACAGCTGCTGTCTGCACTTAGAATCACATACGAGATGTCCCATGTTCGAGCGCACGGTGAAGCATGCAGCCCTGTGCATCTCGATGGCCTTTGGTCCAATCTAAAGATTACGTGTGTGCTGAACATGCATGCGTAACATCCTGGGCGCCAGTACACATCACTCACGAAAGTATATTTTCAATAGCGCTTTGGATGCAACGATAACTGCAATCGTGTTGGTGGATTGGCGCAGATGTCAAATTTGCACGAGACACTTGCAGGGCAATGGGTCGTGAATGATGGTGCTGAAACGTTGTTACTCGTTCAACAGAAAATACATTCGGCTGCACAGAGTCGCCAACGTTGTTTTCCACGTGTTGTTTCTTTATGATCGTGCAAGATGAGACAACACAAGTGTCACCGACACGGTATTAAAACGAGACCGTGTTTAAGTGTGATGCTCCGGGTGTAATGGTGAATTATCTTTTTTCAAATGCTAATAATTTTAATCAAGCGAGATGCTATATTGCGAGCCCTTGCACTCTGGTGAATCTTGTAAAAAAGAAGACACGCGTACATTAAATTGAATAAGATGAATAGGTGCATTAGCAAGAGGAATTTCTATTCCATGCTCTGACCTATTTAGCTCTGAACCGATTGAATTTCACATCACTGCTCCAGACTACAAACCCTGCTGGTCTACTTAAAACCTATTTCTCATGTAAATAAATAAATAAATAGGTAGAAAACTTCTAATCCAGAGAAGCTTGTTTGGCTGATATGTCAGTACTGCCCTTTCCTACTCTTTGCATTAGCTACGCACAGTCACTCAAGCGGCAACATTTTATTTTAAGAGGATGGATACAGTGACGGGAAGACTGATTGAATGGATGTGCAGGCAGACAGATACAGGTAGGAGTCATAATAATAAGTGCAGGTGATAATCGACCAAGTCAGAGGCGCGTAGTAAGGCAGGCAGCCAAACAGA